AAATGCTCATATTTTGTCCCCCAACCAGTTGAGGAAAGTCCTTTCCTTCCTAGTTTTTACAATTTTTCCATCTATCAATGCAGTGGTTTGACTAAAAGTTCAAAATTCATTGTTAAAAAAATTAAACCAGCCTTTTCTGTTGCCTTTATGGCTCCTATCATAGCATTTGGGGCTATAATAGGATGCCTAGACCTGTTTTTATTTTTTCGCCCTGTCGCTTCATATTTTTCTGAAAAAATCCGAGAACCAACAAATTAAATTGGTGTGGCCTCAGCTTTGTTAGGAAATTAGTACAACAGTTACTCTATATATAATTTGTTATGATAATGATCAGTTGACAGCTCATTGAGCTTGTCTACATTTATCAAGTCTTGAAATGTTTGGATGAGTTTTTCCTTTCTCTCTATATATTTCTCTAATAACTATTTGCTAGTCCTTCATCCATTATTAATCGTGCACAGTGATGATACATGTACTAGTGAATAATGAATGAACCAGAGAAAGAAGGCTTAAGAATCTGAAAACATCTAGAATTAAGTGTTTGTATGTGACTTGTCGAAGTTTTTCTATTAGAATGTTACAAAACCTTGCTATCAACCTCTTTGGAATTTTGGAAGAGAATCGCTGCCAAGCACACCTGCATGTATAGAGTTTAGAAATATGTGAGTTATTCCTGCTATGTAACCAACAGTCGTTCATTGTTCCTCTAACATACCACAGATGAAACAGTTAATTCAGTCAGCTCTAGGCCATGTTCTATATACATGTAGGCCATGACTTACATAAGCTACATGTATTTTCAATGTTTAAGTTTCTAAAATAAAGAAGAGAGGCTAAGAGATTATTATATAATCTCGCCTGCAATATTATACCTAAAAGTTGTTTGACCCAATCCATTATTGTATCAATAACTGTAAACACACTATCACTACTGGATATTCAACACAATTCTGTAAATATCTAAACCCTAAGACATATCTAAAAGTCCAGTTTTCAATCCTTTCTGTGAAATTTACCCAAGAATAAGATTGGCGAGATGTCATCTGGAATTTGTTGTTGCAGAAATGGGTCACAGAAATCGTAATGCCTTTCTTGCATGCTTGATACCATTAAGACTTGGGCTGTTGCCAATTCTTGTGGCACTTTGAGTCACTTGCACACAATCAGACATCTGGCATATTATCGCATGTCTGGCAAATGTGTCTGGAAATCGAACTCACGGTGTTAAATATCGTAGTCAAAATCATTTTTGTATAGATTTTTGAGATGATTTTGTTCAAATTCTGGAGTGAATTTCATTATTGGACAGATGTTTTTAGATTATCTCAATGTCAGTATGTATTAGCATTTCAAAGAATCATTTAGGATACAATCAGGTACATCAATGATTTTATAATAACATTTTCTACAATATACATTATATGCAGCTGAATGTAGAAGGAATATGTGTAATGTTAATCAAAGCAGACAGATTTCACTGTCTCAAAACTGCATGTAGTCTCCCTCCCACTGCTTTAGTTACTCTAGTTCCACATGTTGACAAGCAGACAGTTTATTTCTGACATAAATCTCTTAAGTAACACCACAGACCTCATTTTTCATCGGAAGTTGTCTAAAAAATGTTTAGTCCATATAGTATATCTATATGCATGCTGCTACATGTAAAAACAGATGAGCTCCATATACATGTATATGTGTGCATGCAGGCACATTATTGTGTTCAATATTTTTTTCCAAGCAAAACATAATTTTTGAGTTACCAACTTCATTGAAAATGCAGGTTCATGATTGATAAGTATGTATAGTTTATGGATTTTCCAGTGTTGAACCACATTATCTTATCATACAGATTTTTCTTACCATATTTTGGAGCATTTTCTTCCACTATCCCAGTACTAGTAGTTATACATGTACCTCAACACTGTACGTGGTGACCTTGTTGACCTCACCTTGACCACTATGACCCTTAGTGACCCCAGCATTTCTTGGTCATTAGGGCATTACATCTACAGGTCACATCTTTCTTGTATTATGCTTTGTTATGTCTATCACATCCTGTTGCCAGACAAAGTGTTTGGGGCAACCTCCAAAATATTACAACAATTTTCTGTTTGTTTATAATCAAATAAAAGGATATTTAGGGTATGTCCAAAGTAGTTACCCTCTGTAAGCTCTTCCTGGTTGCTTTAGAGTATGGTTTATTTTTTCTGTGTTATGAGAGATAGGACCTTGGGAGGTATAGAGAAACCCAATCTCTCAACTGTGAGTGTGACAATCCCTTGTGCCCACATTCAAAGTGGACCTGTCAAGAGTGTTTGTTTTTACTGATAATAGCAAAGAACACCCTAGTAAGCTAGTTTGTGTCCTGTTGCTGAAATGTTTAATTTCTATCTCACCAGAGTTACGATTTATGTTCCTATGACCACAAAATCTTTGCCATAAAAATGTTTGTTCCTGAACTTTGAAAGTGCAACAATGATAATCCATAAATGAAATTTCAGAACATTTTATATTATATACACATCTTTACAACACTTCATGGGAGCTATACTTTTCCTAGGATTACATGTACTTTTCCTTTCTTTTCCCTGAATATCCTGAGGACACAGCTGATAAAATAAGACTGTTTGAAAGTATTGGATTCCTTCTTTCCATCAGTCAATGCAAATCTGATCAAGTTTCAATTTGGAACTGCAGTCACAGTGTCACCAGCAGTATTAGCATGCTTCCGCCCTGCCCATGCCATTAAGTTTGTAGAGATTGATCCGAGTTCCCAGAAAATCATAGGAATAGCAGATAGAATGGTCTGGGAAACATGTATCAGCTGTATTTCTGTAGAAGAATAATTCCTTTACATATACTAGATAACATGTTATAATCACTAATCTAGATGCAAAATTTGTAATTGTACCATTCATATAATACAGGGTTCAAAATTCTCTCACACTCTAGCCGCGCAAGTCATCGTTTTTGTGTGAGCCTTATAATTAATGGAGATGTTAGGTTGACCGGCGCTCAAGTTATCTTTTTTTTTTACTTAGGCCACACCAATTTAATTTCTTGGTTAACGGATTTTTCTAGAAAAATAATGGAGCGGGCGGGCGAAAAAAAATAAAAAATAAAAACAGGCCTAGGCATCCAAAATGGCCCAAAATGGTACGATTGGAGCCATTAAGTCAACACACCAGGCTGGTTCAAAATTTAAACAATGAATTTTGAACTTTTAATGGTAGCACTGCATTGAAAGATGGAATGACTGTAACAAGTAATAAGAAAAGGACTGTTTTCAACTGTTCAGGGCAAAATATGAGCATTTTGCAGTTAATTCTGAATTTTTATTTTTATTTGCAAATCAGAAAAAAATGAAGAGGCGAATCCGTTAACCAAGAAATTAAATTGGTGTGGCCTTAAAGCGACCTTTTAAGAGTTTACAGTGGCCCAGCATATGGCTTCTGAAAAAAATGCACTATGTATGTCCTCCTCAGAAAGCATGTGAGCAATCCCTTTTTATTTACAGGTGGCCTGGCTTATGGTTAACCCTTTAAAATTAACAGCCGGTGTTACGTTGATGGCAACCTGAAATATATATAGGTGGGCAAGCTACATGTAGTTTGGGGCTTTTGTTGCCCAGTGAGCAACCTGAGAAAAAAAGGATTTCGAATTCTGTATATGTACCAGCTGTAGTGAGTGGTTTAGTCAGTCTCTCAAGAATCAAACCCACCCTGACTAGCCTTAGGTTGTGATTTACAATTTTTAGAATCCTCTTATAGGCTTTTACAAGCAGAGCTTCTCCTCAGGAGGTAAAGCCTGTGCCCAATTATCAGGGATGAGGTGACCCTGATATGAACATGGCCAACAAGGTCATGATCCTAAAGCTTTTATCTGACTGACCTGTGAGCCTATTGGATGCCAGGGGGCACATACAGTATGGTACACCATTCAAGGGTTCAAGCATTAGAGTGATGGAAAATATTTCACCTAGATTGAAGTACACATTGAATCATTGTATGGTGGAATTGCAGTTGTCAGTGGGATAGTATAATTTCAGCTTGTTCTAACCATGAGCATAATGAAGGATGATGATCATGATCAAGCACGGGTTGCGAAAATTCCAGTGAGTCAATTTTTATTTAGTTGAAGAACAGTTTAATTCTCATTATAACTCATACCTCTTTCCACCCACTGATGACCAGGACATGATTGTATTATACAGTACCTCAATACCATATATTACTTTCATATAAAAATACAAGTAACTTACGATGACGATATGATAGGCTAGGATCAGTACAGTTAGACTGACCTGTCTCAGGAACTTGCCAGTGACCTGTGGGTCACATTTGGTATTTTAATTGGGTCAAAAATCCGGTATTTTATGACTGGACATGTCTGTTGGTGGGCAGGAGATGGAAGACTCTAGGCTGGTACAAAATGTAGCTGTATATAGTTTCAAACAACTGTCATAGTTTTGTGAGTCAGGAATGATCCAACTACATGTATAGTCATGTAAAACTATATGGTCAAAGCCTTAAACAGAACTGCAAAAGCAGGGCTCAAAATTCATTTTTGGGAATAGGTGCACTACAATGTAGCACGAAAAGTTTTTGGGTGCACCATATATGAAATAGAATATAAGTAGAATGTCAACAAAAAATAATTATATCGCATTTCTAAAGAAAAGTATTACAACAATGATTTTATTATTTTTCTGACAGATACATGTACTGTATACTACTAGACTAGTAATTCATGTATTACATGTACAACATGTATTTTCCTTACATACGTAAACCTACGAAGATATTTGTGTGCACAGGTGCACCCATAGAAAAAAAGTGGGTGCACAGCTGCAAATTTGGGTGCACTAAGGTGCACAATGTTGCACCCAATATTTCAAGCATTTTACACTTAAGCATTGTCTCTTGGCTGATAACAAACTGGAAAAAATATGAAAACAAATGATGATTTATCATAAATTCTGTTCTTTGCTTTATCTGCAGGCCAAGTTGTCTAAAAAGTTCAAGGTGCAGGGTATCCCCACGTTTGTGATCCTGGATGCCTCCACTGGCAAACTCATCACCAAGGACGGCAGATTACGCGTTTCAGAGGACCCAAAGGCCGAGTCTTTCCCCTGGCACCCCAAGCCTCTGTCAGAGATCCTGCAGGGCAAGCTGCTTCGCCGTAATGGGGAGTCAACCGAGGAGGTGGACGTTTCTACACTCGCTGGGCGGCCTGTTGGGCTGTACTTCTCAGCTCATTGGGTAAGGGTATACAGTAATGTAGTTCAGTGTTCTTAGCCGTCCATCTTTCCGTCATTTGACGGAACTTTGCTGCTCATGACAGACAGAAATTTTTACCCTATCGTGTCACTTTAACAGACAAAAATCAGTGTGTAAAGATACAAAATTAAGGTTAGTCTAGGAGCAAAATTTGCCCTTCAAAGTGCATTGGAAATAGCATTGGAGGGGCCAAGATGTAAAAATTTTCCCCTTAGGATTGCCACACCTTTGGCACTTGACATGATGTTACGTCAAAGAGATTTGAGATGACGGCTGGCTAGAACATCCATATAGGTGCTCTTCCTTTAGCCAATGTTATTGTCATATAATTATAAACTATCAAACCAGCAATATTCACCTATTACTCTATGAGAAAGACAACATTTTACAGTGCATCATGCATTCCAATGACAATGTTAGAAAAGGATATCAATGTTGTAAACAGTTTATTGCCTTGATTTTGAATGAGAAGAGTGAACTTGATACATTGTATTGTTCCAATGCAAGAAATCAAAGATTTTGCACACTACATGTCCATACGTTTTGTACTTACCAAGTTATTCCTCCTTACACAGTGTCCTCCCTGTCGTAGCTTCACCCCAGTACTGGCAAAGACGTACCAGAAGATCAAGGATGAGAACAAGGATTTTGAGATCATCTTCGCCAGCTCAGACCGTGCCGAGGAGTCCTTCAACGATTACTTCAAAACCATGCCTTGGCTGGCGTTGCCCTACGAAGACCCCAGAAAAAAGACTCTGTCACAGATGTATGGCATTGCAGGTGGGTGATATACATTTTTTTTTTGTACTGGTGGTGATGATGATAGTGTTGATACAGAGTTCACTTTTCCTAGAGCTATTGCAGAGTGGTACTTGCTCCCACCAATTGCAAGTACAGTAGGGGCATCATCCCTAGATAGCTGTAAGCAATATTAAGAGTTAAGATTTCCAAAGGCTAGGTGTAACAAGTTGTTTGGTACACATACATTCACATGTCTGCGAAGCTGGTGTGTTACACTGAGGGGTGGTTATACCGACTATGGATACAGATCATATAGGGACTGTTTCAGATGTTCATTGATTGTGTAAGTCCAAGCAGTACCCTTTTAAAGTACCTCATGCCAGCTGTCATTTTAGTTTACTGTTAGGTCATGATTGTTCCAAACCTGGGAACAGTCATGCCTTTCAGGCCTTGCTGCTCATAGAAAGCAGGTTCAGATAGACCAGCTAGTGGGCCTTTCCACAGAAGGCCTTTATCATGAAAAAAATTTTAGGTAACTTTATTGATCAGAACATACCAAAATTTAATGTTGAGGGATGTACTTCAAGGTCTAATGTACAAAATGTACTCATTGTAGTGACTGTCATAAGGATCAGATCAACAAAGGAGCTAGCCCACATACCTCACTAAGGAGGGCTAATAATAGCAATCCCTTTGATTCCCTGGACAATCCCAAAGGTTACGCCTAAAGCCCTGAACCTGGTGTGCTTGGAAACAGGATAATGAGATAAAGCTCAGAGGAAAATCCATGCTGGCACCTTTCTGAACCTTACCAATTACCCGATTTTATAAACCATTAGTACCACTTTCCAAGTGCTTTTCATAGCAATGTTCATAGTCATAGCATGTTTTCATAGCAGTGTTCAAAATCCCCATCTGCAGTCTGCATTTTGCAGACTGAGACATTTTCAATATTTTTGAAGAAAAATTATGCAGCCTTCATTTTTTGCAGGCTGAAAAAAGCAAGCTAGGGGTTCAATGGTGTTTAAGAGTTTTTGTGTTTATTACTGACTCTACATAATATACGAGTGATTATGCATGTAAAATGTTTGCCAACATGCAATTTTGTACACACTACAGGTTTAGATCCGGACTTTTAAGTGTGTATTTGCAGAACGTATTTCCGAATTGCAGAACAAAATTTTGGCATTCTGCAATATTGCAGAGCACTGAGAAAAAAGGATTTCTACCACTGCTGATATTCTTCCAATCCACAAGACTCCTAACAAGACATAAGGAATGCACTTCCTTCTCTTGGCCAGTTTCCAGGAGCACATAACCTTCAAAACTTCTTCTTAAGGTGCCAGTCAAGGACCGTTTAAAAGTCTCAGCCCACATTTTAAACTCCATTAGCATTACGAAAAGTGTTTCTCATTCCGTCCTCATCTTTGATGTGAAGCAGACTTGGGCAGTCTGCTGCAGGCTAATCATCACCCTGGCTTGTAGACAGCGGTCATGGGTCCTAGCAACAACGTCAACACAGACCTTAGCTGACATCTGGACCCTCGCCATAGATGTGGAAATGTTCCAGATGACTCTCACAAACTGTTAACATTTTCTGTACAGTCAACCACAATCATACAATGGACAACATTTTGAAAACAGTTGAACAATGGCATTGAAGAGAAGAGATTGATATACTAGTACTATTACTATTACTAGTACTTCCTTCTGTTGTAGAATTATCATTCTCTCTGATCTGTCATACTTCTCATAACTTGAACATTCCATGCACAACATTTTGAAAACAGTTGAACCAAGGAGCTTCTATCACTTAGTTGAACAATGGTATTGAAGAGAAGAGACTGATATACTAGACAAGTACTATTACTATTTTGCTAGTACTTCTTCCTTTTGTTGTAAATATTAACATTTTCTCTGTCATACCTCATAAGTTCGGAACATTATAAGAGAATGCAAAGACTGCATATTTGCTAGTGCCGCCAATAATCACTGTCCCCATTTCTCATCCCTGTGTTTGCTTACATGCAAACATGGCGACCCCAGTGCTATTCAGACACATGTACAGTGTAAACATTAGCACTAGAACAAGTGTATGGCATTTTAATGGACTCCAGAGTGTTCACATACATGTACATGTAGGTCACACAAGACAGAAAAGGTAGCTTTAAGAAAGAATTGTATTGTGTGCTTCTATTGAGTATCATTACAAAATTATATTGAGGTAAACAAAAAGCGCTGTGCTGTTTCTGTATACACAAGTGGCTTTACTTGTACTTACAATAGTTTACATGGCTGACAACAAGTACGCTTCAGCTGTCTTTTATTTGTCGGTTCCCAACTATGCAGAATGCAAAATATGTACTCTCTGGTTTTGTAAAGAAAGATATTGTATTATTGACAAATTGCATCTGATGCATGCCTTTCACAGGAATCCCAACACTGATAATTGTGGAAAACCTGGAGACAGGCAAGATCATTACCAAGGATGGGAGGGGGGCAGTCGGGGCCGACCCAGACGGAAAGGTAGGTTTGCAGACTTTGAGGTCTTGAGTTTTGAGACAAAATGTAGTGTGAAATTCATGTTAAGTGCCTTAATCCCAAAGGCACAAGATTGGTGATTCGAACGACGGGATTCGAACCTGATACCTCTTGGTTCTGAGCAGCACTCTTGTCTGATATAGTGATCAGTGCTACATGTAAAATGTGTACATATGTTCCACAGGAGTTCCCCTGGATCCCCAAGCCTCTGAACATGCTGGAACAACAGTATGCAGGAACCCTGAACGAAGAGACATCAGTCATTCTTTTCACAGGTAAGAAATATTGCATGATTGTTCAGTTGTATTTTTGCATCAAACATGTACATTTAGCATACAGATGCACAAAAGAAACTATTTCAAGCAGAGTTTGAGCTCCTATATAACCTATATTTTCCCTGTTGTAGATGGAAGTGACAAGGGAATGGAGGATGCCAAGCAGGCTCTCCAGCCAATTGCAGATGCATCACATGCCAAGACAGCAGAAAAGGGCGAAGACCCTGACTTGTTCTTCTTCTATGCAGGAGAGGTAAGACTCTGATACTACCAACATTCCTAAGTGCTATGCTCTCATACATTACAATTTACAGTATATACCTTATTTAGATGTTCATGTATTGTCTCTCAATTTTTTTTGTGTGACAAATGGTACTCAATTCAGGGGGTAGTAGTTATTCTCCCCCTGCTGATGTACATTTGAATTAGTGCAATAAAGAAATTGACTAAAGAAATTGAATGGCCTCAAGAGCATGGAATCCAAGCCTTTAGTTTTGCTGAAAATCCACCATAAAATACATCAAATAAGAATCTTCATCATCTGTTTTTCCTACAGGATGAAATTGTGGATTCTCTTCGAGACTTTGCCAGCCTGGAGGATCGCGATCCCCTACTGGTCATCCTGGACATCCCTGACCAGAAGATCTACGTCTGTCCAGAGGAAGAGGTCACCCAGGAAGTGGCCAAAGACTTCGTAGAAAAGTACCAGGCAGGCTCCTTAGAGCCCAAGGCTCTCAGGGGATAGGTCAGGAGGTCAGGGGTCAGCAGGCACAGGGGTTACAGGTCAAGGGTCACATGTCAAGGGTCAATTTTGTACCACTTAATCACTTTTGTGACATTTTGTGTTGTATTACATTGGTGTATGCTACAAGTATAAGAGAAATGGTTAGCTGATGGATCATGGTGGCTCAGCATTTGCTTTGCATCATCATAAAGCCTTTAGATGTCCTTTTAATATTTGGTACATGGAGTAGTGGTATGGTATGAAGGGGTTCAAATAAGCATTAAAGATAAACAGCAACTACTAGTCATTGATAGATGTCAAATACAGTATCCGGAATTTCGAAGTCAATCATTCCTATATACTAGTACTTGCATGCAAAACAGTGTGTGGTGCCTTATATCACATTGAAAGCTTCAGAAGACAAGATCAAATCATGCAAAAACAAAAATAGAATGAAAGTACCATATCTGAAGCTTCTTTAAAGATTTAGAATGATAAAGAGCAGTAAGGTTTTAAAGGGTTAGAACTATGGTTATAGAAAAGCTATTTTTTAAACAGTGAGAATTGAAGAATGTTGTATTATCTACCACCAACACCACTCATTTTAGAATCTATAAATCATTATTTTCTCAATAAAACAGTCATGATACAGATATTACAATAGCATTCTGTTGTTTTTGAATTTGAAGATATATGAAATTGTCAAAATTTGGATTGAGAAAGGAAAACTATTTACTTGTATGTATGCGCGTATGCATTGAAGGGAAAGATATTCTATGTTAAACTTTTTTTACCACCAAAGAGGGACTGAGAAAGTCAACAGCCACACTTAATATATTCAGATACCCTTTACTGCTGCATAAATTAAATGCACAGGCCAATGTGCATATATTGAAGTTAACCTGGAGAAGGTCATGTTTGAAGGGAAACAAACAATGTATTACAAGCATTTTTTGCTGTAGAATTTAAAACCTGGTGACAGTCATTGTGTAGTCCATATTACACAGCATACAAAAATAGATAAGAGAGTATATAAGAATAAAGTACATGTCATTGGTTATTGACTGTGAGTGGCCTTTGAAAGAGTGTAGAACACAGCAACACAATCACCTTTTAAACCTTTATACTTGTGTCAGAAATCGGTGTTTTATTATAAGATGATGATTTAGGTTAATGCACATTATAAATTGGTGTTGATTGAGTGTATGTTCAAGGTGTAAGTAATCGTTGAAAATGTGTCAACTTTGTTGTGATTGATTGTGGTAGTGGTATTTGCAGTGTGTCTTTTCACAGGGCAATTGGCAAGTTTTCAAGCACTAGAAACAGGCTTTTTTAATTGTCTTCTAATAATCACATGTCAATGTAAAATATCTCTAAAATGGTACTACATGTAGTAATATGAGATACAAAGGCTTTTGTTAATTGTACAAAAATTGCCAATTGTATGTAACTTGCCGTGGTGACTGCAGTTATAAAATTGACTGCTTTTGAGAGGTAATTATTGTGAGGTTTGGTTGTACTTTTCCTACAGTTAGCCCAGGTTCTGATATTGTACACAACTTAATATAAATGCCACAGTACTTCAATACTTATTTGGCTTCCTTAACATATCAGTACGAGCTTGCAGGTTCATTTCTTGAATGTATGGATTTTTTTATTGATATCACATTTGGACACACATGTAACTTTTACATTAGCCAGGTCTTCAGAATGTATTGCACTTGTTTGTGTATAAAATAATGTGAACAGTGGAAGGATATATATACTATCATTTCCAATTATGTTTGAAATTGTGAAGATTCACACAAGAGATTTAGTATCAACATTCTTACAGTGTATGACATGATGTGAAGGTTGAAGTTTGTACACAATGGTATTGACAATTCTGGCTGTATACAACATAACTGAACTTTAAAGCTAGCTATGGTGTAGCAGATTATTCAACAGTTCTACAGATAAACTGGCTTCTATTCTTTTTATTGTGATTCACAAAAGTATATGATGCCCCTTGCTGTTTTTAGACTATGTGTATAATCTTATAATGAATTACCTACAGTTTGTAGCTGAATGAAATAAAAGGTGATTTGGCAAATGTGTACTTTCTGACACAACACTGATTTTTTTTAGTGTTTGTTGTTTGTCGTCAACGAGTGTATTTCCAACCATTTGGATGGTCTTCAGCACCAAGGACAGTTGCATTTGTGTGTCTAGCATCAAGGACAGGTGTGTTTGCCTGTGTGTGGATGGGTCTCAGCTCCATTGACACGTCTGTGTGTGGATGGTCTTCGATTCAGCACCAAGGACGGATGTGTTTGTGTGTGGATTGTGTTCAGCATTAAGGACAGATGTATTTGTGAGTTTGGATGGTGTTCAGCACCAAGGAGAGATAAGTATGGGTGTGAGGATGGCGTTCAGCACCAAGGGCAGATATGTATATGTGGGTGAGGGGATGGTGTTGTTCAGCACCAAGGACAGATGTCTTTGTGTATGGATGGTGTTCAGCAATAATTAAGGATATGTTTGTGTGTGGATGGTGTTCAGCACCAAGGACATGACAAGCTTTGGATCAAGTTCTTTCAGTGGGCTGATATAACTCAATATAAGGTGTTGCCCCACTTTCGTAAGAGTAGCTCTTGGAATCACATCCGTTGCACTGATATAGGAGGCAAAGTCTTAAAGAGTAGCATTGCCACTCTTAGCCATCTGCTTGTCGTCTTCTTGCCGCTGTATTCCGTTCCCTTTCAACAAACTGAAACATATGCATACGTGCAGTGTGTGGATTATAAACGTTTGCATCCCTAGCCTGTTCAAACAAGAGCAAAGCGTAGTGTTTACTCAAATATGTGAGCAGGATATGTTGGTGATATGATCATTTCATGTCATGCACAGTCGCTGTTACCCTTGAAAAGAGGTGCATATCGCAAATGGTCTAACAACAACTCTTGCATGTTATATAGCTTTTCTCTCACATTTACGTTACGTTTTTCTCCCTTTATGCATCAGTCAATGTTGTCGCAGCGTCAATTTTATTCTACATATCTTTGAGTATCTCTAGAAACGCAGTACATGTATATACTTAACGCCTCCGACAAGTATTCGTTGGGGCTGTACTAGACTAACTTATCATAGTGTGCCCGATGTTTAGCGTTATCAAGAGTGGAATACTACCGACCTTTGGTTCTGGATTTCAAGCACTGGCGCCACAACGACAAAGTTTCCGTCCTTTTCTGCATGTTGAGGCACCTCCGATAAGTTTCCGTCTAGCTTTTCTGCATTAAGTCCAGGCACTGCGAGAGGTCGTGGCAATGCATATGGCACTGGTTCTTTCCACGTCACCTTCCTCTGCCTTGAGTCTGTAGCCACGGTGTACCAAAGGTATATTATCATCAGGGTACATCCAACGACTGGCATCCATACCAAGATCCTGGGTGTCCTCCTGGACATCATTTACTTATTCCCGTACTTCGTAATACTTGAAGTTGTATAAAAGCAGCGTAAGGGATACAAACGCAGACAAATGAAGTTATATATGAAACAGGAGCTTTGTTTTGATCCACCCAAGCTGACTATTGCCGGATGAGCGTTGTTTATTGTAAAGTTGGCTATCATACCGGGGCTTCATGTGCTTGGTGTACATGTAATAATATGAGCGTCTGAACCATACTACACTTATGTGGCCGGGACCTTAACTCACTGAAGGAACGTCACATTGATTAAGCTTAGGGAATTTTATTTCCAGGAATAAAATTGGTATTACCTGATGACTAATGATAATTACCTTCCTAGCTGTGATTGCTTTACGCATTTTTTGTGTGTCAAACTCGTCACTGGAAGCTTTTACGTATACTTCCTACTTCCTAGATTGATACTTATAATGCCGTATCGCCTAGTGAACTGAGAAAGTCAACAGTTTTAAGTCGGGTTTTCTGTGATAATTTTTTTTCCAATTTACATATCTGCGAAAATCCCATCTAAAACGACGGCCAGATTGTGACGTACAAGATTTGTTCGCAATTGCAATCGATACCGGATGGGCGTGGCTCTCTTTCCCGCTATTCAGGAGTGACCTCTGACCTTTCAAGATGGCCGCCGTGAGCTAAAAATTCTCGTCTTCACGCTTCTATCTTGTAAATTTCTCAAAAATAGTCCAAATTCTACACATCTTCATACGCCAGCCTTTGCAGGTAAGACCCAATTCAACACTAGGTAACAGTGAATTATTCTTACCTAGCTTAATATGGCGTTACGTGAATTTTTTTTAATACTGAGCATATGGTATGCAAGAACAGGTGGCCGTTGATATAACGTTACAAGTTTTACTTCCTCCTCTTTCATGTGTGTTGCTTGTAAACAAATTGACGATCGTTTGATTGGTTAGTTCGTTGATTGATTGATTGATTGATTGATTGATTGATTGATTGATTGATTGATTGATTGATTGATTGATCTGTAGTGTACTTTACGTTCAGATCTAGAAGATATGGGGTTGTTGGGGACATCAGTGTCCTTGCTGGGCGTGTTACTGGCTGTCCTGGGATATCTGGTGTGGACAGGAGTGGACCTCGGACCACTCAACCCACTGGCACAAATGGTCAAGCCTTACCTGGAAAAGGTAGGAGTCTCTATTATGTGTTGTGTATTTTTGTTGTCCCTAGCTTTAACCCTTTAAGTGTCCCAGCACGATTCTATGTCTCACCCAAATTTATCAGCCCTTCCATATATTTATTGTTGTTTAAATTTCAGACATTTGACATTCAATGTGTTCAATATATTGACGTTGATATTTATGGATAAAATATCAAATACTTAAGGCGGTTGATTCTTTGTACATGCACATCCCTATTTTGTAGTTTTAATACAAAACTTCTGACATTTTTACTCAATAAGACTGTAGTACAGATTCAGTGTAAATGTTATAAACAGTGAAATACTGGCCTGTATAGATTGAATATATTAAGTATATTTGGTATTAAGTATATTTGGTATTAAGTTACAGTTACTTCTTATTGAAAATTGTTTAAACAAGTTATGGGGCTCATTCATTCACAGTAACTCACAATGCAGTAATAATGTATTCATGCACTACAATGAAGGTGTCCACAGAAGAACCTCCTGAGCGCCTGTTTACTACACACCAGCTGAGTAAATACACGGGAAAGTCAGGCAGTCCTGGGCTGTACCTGGGCATCCTGGGGAAAGTGTTTGATGTGAAGAAGGGCAAGAAACACTACGGGCCAAAGGGGGGGTACAGCTTCTTTGCAGGTAATTATAAGGTTCTTTTTTTTGTTCTTTTGTACCTTTATTTAATTTAAAACTAAAAAAATGCTGTATTACTAATATTACTACTGTGGGACTGTAACAGTTATACTTCAGTTAGAAAATTTTGCTGCATCAGGGAATGGAGGATTAACATTTATTTTCTATTGATGCCAAAATACATCTTTTGACGCCATTTATATGAAGAATCAAGGCTCAAAATACCCAAATGCAATCTGCTGAACAATTTGATATTGCAATTTGGTTAGCTATATAGTATGAAAAAAGAAGACAGCCTTGCTATTTTGAATCACCTATTGTAAATGAAAACAGAAATAAATGATGTATGTCAAGTATCAAAAATGGTGTTGAATAACCTGTTTATCCCAGCACACTTATTGATGATAGATGATAAAAGTCTAAATATAAGTTGCTAATGTCATGGAAATCATTATAAACAACTTCCTAAAATTAGTAAGGTTTTGAAAAAACATATTTGATTTGTTCCATGTTCTGTGTGTTCCCAGGCCGTGACGGCACCAGAGCGTTTGTCACAGGAGACTTTACAGAGGCAGGTTTGGTGGACAACGTGGACGGCCTGGTGCCCAGGGACTTGATAGGGATCAAGGAGTGGATACAGATGTATGAGAAGGAGTACAAGTATGTAGGTAAGCAGGCCACACCTTATATAATGTTCTTCTATACTGTACAGAAGCTTGGGCTTTACATTCAACTAATGTGAATTAAAGACACTCAAAGTTTTGAGCTTTATATTGAGTGACCTCAAGGGCATGACTTTTCAAAAAGAAGACAAGCACTCTTGAAATCTTTTTCCCTCCTCACTCTTGACTTGTTTATTTATTCTATTTGATATCTTATACTAGGACTGCGTACCGGTACATAAGTACCAGTACCAGTACGGTAGTGTGAAAATCAATTAGGTACAGCTACAAAATACCGAATCACTAAGTTCCAGTACATCGGAATTGAGAAAGTTCAGAAGAACTGTACACATGTATATTGATCTCATTTGTGTCATTTAGCCTCTATACACTTGAAGAAGCCACACAGGTTAAACCTGTCTTGTGACAGACTGAATAAAAGTTCTAGACAGGAACTATGCGGCTCCAGATGTCTTACTGAGGAACGATTGTGTGTGCGAGATGTTGGTTAGCTTGAGGAATGAAGCTCCTCTACTATATATACATTTTGCACTATATACTGTTCTCTGTTCAGGAAAATTGATTGGCAGATACTATAATGATGAAGGGAACCCTACTAAGGAGCTGTTGGATGTGGAAGACAAGATGAAGGCTGCTCACTCTGAGAAGAACGCTGAGGAGGAACTCAAGAAAACCTTCCCACCATGCAACAGTATGTACACCAAGGAGGATGGAGCTAAAGTTTTTTGTAGCAAAAAAAGGTGGTTCTTTTTTATATTCTTAAATATCTATATGTATGTACACATTGAGTTGATCCTAGAATAGACACGAGAAATTCGTAAATCATAGCTCTAGATGTAAACAGTTGTTTTTTTCAATACTAAAGAGTATTGAAAGTCTACTTTGACAGAATGTTCAAAATGTTTTAGCACCTGCTAGTACATGTTTGCTGTTGAGAAATGTCAAATTAAATGTAAAAACTTTTTTTCAACACAAGACAAATTGTTCTCACCTAGAGCTTTCAATCAGTTAAACTCTGGTCTTCCTCATTCTACCAGACTGACCCAGTGAGACTTATGTGGCTTCTCTGAAGTGTGACGTCAACACTTAGTCAATGGGTCAGTCTACTGAGGAAGACCAAAGTTACTGGTCAAAAGCTCTAGGTGAGAACAATTTCTCTTGTGTTGGAACAAAAGTTTTAACTGTAAACATACATTGTATTTCTTATTTCCCCTTTGCCTCCCAGTGGTGGTATAGAGCGGGACTGGGTTGGGGTGCCCCGGAAGCTGTATAAACCCGGCTCGGACAGATATCGCTGTGCCTGCGTCAAGAACACAGGACCCCCTGCAGGGGACCCTGGAGCAGACCAACACAAGGACAGGGGGGACCTGGACAACCCTCTAGTCAAGGAGTACGACGGGTGTGCTTCAGATGACACTGTGTGTAGGACATAACTGTATGGAGTGGGAGAGGTGATGTGCAACTCAGGGCTTGAAATACTGTGTGCATATTATGCATCTTATAATTAGTGCAGATAAAATTGGAGCTGTGCAGGAATTTGTGATGTCTACCTGCACTGGTCCATATACTGCTGCTTTATATAGAAATGTAGGTGTATGACATTGTGGATTTTTTTTTTCATTGACCGTATACAAGAATGGCAATGGTTTCTGAACAGTTTTTAGTGTGATGCAAACTTTTGAGTTCTGAGACAGAGTAGTGCAGATAAAATTTGTCTGGTACAGGTAATTTTCAACATTACCTGCAGTATTTCAAGCCCTGGAAAAATGTGACCTTTCCCCATATGTACTCAGGCCTTAAACCTTCTTATACTGTTGTGAATTGCCAATGTGATTGTTTTTAAATGAAGATGTATAACCCTGTTCTGTATCTGTATCTGTATAGCCGGTATAACCGCCTTTCGGCGTAACACACCAGCTTCGCAGGCACGCGGCGCGGCGGCAGCTGGCTATATTACACCGATCGACTTGTTACACCTAACCCTTGAACTTCTAGCTTTAGACATTGTTTAAAGCTATCTATTGACAGTGCCCCTACTGTACTTGGTGACAGTGAGTTCCACTCTGCGATAGTTCTAGGAAAGAATGAATTCTTGAACACCTCAATCCTTGGTTGATAACTCTGGTACTTGAATGCGTGGCTATTTCTTGTTCTCTTCTGAGCTGGTATTAGGTACTTAGTAGTTGGGACATCCACCAGTTTATTAGTCATTTTGTACATCATGCATAGTCTAGACATCTTTCTTCTGTCTTCAAGTGAGGTCCACTGTAGGTTTCTTTTCATTTCCGTGACACTAGCACCTCTTACATAGTTGTTCATACAGAATCTTGCAGCTTGATTCTGTACCCTTTCCAATTTGTCTTTGTCTTTCTTTGTATATGGATCCCATACTGTCGCAGCGTATTCTAGGTTCGGTCTTACAAGTGACGTGTATGCAAGTGATTTTACTCTCGTTGGACATGCCCACAGATTACGTTTATTATATATAATAATCACTCCCAATGTCTGTTTCGCCTTAGTTGTGATATTATTAACATGTGCACCCCACTTCAGTCCGTTTGTCAGCGTGACGCCCAGATACGGATGGATTTTTGTGGTTGCTAAAGCCTGACCACAAAACTGGTAGCTAGTTGCATGTGGTGTTCGTTTGTTTGTTATGTGCATAATGTAGCATTTTTCGGGATTAAACTGCATGAGCCATTTGCTTTGCCATTCTTCCAGGGTGTTCAGGTCTTTTTGGAGAAGTTGTGAGTCGGTCTGTGTAGAAAGCTCTACATACAATAGACAGTCATCGGCAAATAACCTCACATTTGAGTCAAGCTGATCTGGTAGGTCATTTATATACAAGAGAAAGAGCAATGGCCCCAGGACGGTTCCTTGAGGGACCCCAGACGCTACTTTAACTGGAGCCGACGCCTTCCCTTCAACCACTACTGTTTGCTCCCTGTTGGTCAGGAAAGCCTTTAACCAATTCAGCGTAGGGCCTTGGATTCCATAATACTCCAGTTCTAGCCAGCACATCTGTCTTTCTTTTATTTGACAGAATTTTGCCATCTTTAACACATGAAAATCAGTGTGTAACGATATGGAAAATGATATCATTAGTCTACCAGCAAAATTCGCCCCTCAAAATACAGGAAATAGCATTTAGATGGTCAACATTTCAAACTTTTTACTAGGGGAGTATGCCCCTGGATCACCCTAGGATGGTTACTCCTATGGCGCTCAGCATGATGTCATGATGTACATCAAATGAAATTGAGATGATGGAAAAGAAATTCATGCTGGCTAGAACACTGGTGTATTAGATATTTTTGTCTACTTAATTTTGGTCCCAGAGTTTTAAGGTCTTCTAATACGTACTGTAACAAAGCAGAAGTGCCATAGATTATCATTTTATTTCATTTTAAATTTGTTTTCTATAGCTGCATAATAACAGTTACAATGTTAAAAATACAAATCTGTATTTTCATCAGGAATATGGAATGTAAATGTTTATTGAATATCATAGGTTTGTTACACACAGATAATTCTGTGAACAATTGAACACAAACTTATAGTTTAAAATCATGCTTTTTATTTCAAATTTGTACATGGATGATAATGATTAAGATATGCAAGTCATACAGAAAGTAGTGGTGAGATGATGTAAATCTGTGAGATGTTACCCTTGTCAGGACAATACAGTGACAATACTGTAAGTTAGCCCCACAGATCATGGTTAAAAATCCTTGTAAGTTGGTAAACACTGCATGTAGTACATTGTATGTAGTTAGAACAATACTTAGTAGTCAACACTCTTATTATTATATAGTGGTAAGCATTGCAAATAGGCAGATAAAATATTTAGCAACGTAAGTTGTAGTAGTATGTACTACATGTAGTTGTAAAATAGCATACAGCTGTTGGAGCAGCACTTGTAATAGCTTCAAGAAAAAGAAAACTTTAAGACATTCCAATACTGTTGGCTTTCTTTAGTTTACTGTCTTTGATGATTATATGGTGCAGGTGGTTCATAGTAATGTAATATGTACATTATTTTTGTGGTATACAATTTAATGTACATATTACATTTGTGGTATACAAGTTCTTGTGATGATTATATTAAGATACACATGACATAATGTTGTAAAATGGGTACCATGTATTTTGCCTTTTTTTTTGGAACCAGGGAATTTTGAAGACACTGTATTTATTTTTATTACAGACAACTGATATGTAGCAAAAGTTCAAAGTGCAGCTTTAGGAGGTGTGAAGCGTGCTATCCTGTAGGGCCCCATGTTTAAGAAAGGCGGCCTGTCTGTGGCCAGTTCACTCAGGAGTCTTCCCACTGCCGCCCCCAGTTTGAATCCATGGCCTGCAAAAACAACAAGAATTCAGAGATCTCAGACCTCCATAAAACCATGCTGTTTACTTGTCTTAACATATTAGGAAGGTGTGAAAATCTCAGGAAAAATGGCTCCTTAAGTTTACAACTACTGATGCAATGTAGTTTACAGTCTCCTTTTGTAATCCCCATTATCATACAAGGGAAAAACATTAGCTGTCAGTGAGGTCATGTAATGAAAAACACCTGTAAAAACAGCGAGCACTACCATGTACAAGTGATTAATGACTTTTCCCCTCTGGTATAGACTGAACACAACCATATCCATGCAGCAACAAACACAGACACACACATACACACACACATACCAAAAGCAATACCTCCATTTTTCAAGGAGGTAAGCAAAGGCTCAAATTGATCTATTTGATAGAACACATTTAAGGTATCTATAGCTAATTAGCAAAGCAGACATTCTACCCATCTAAGAGGATAGGAAAAAGGAAGAATTGCAGACCTGAGAATCCAGTGCCAATGACTATGTTGTGAAACCTTGGATGCCGGTCTAGTATGAACTCAGCATCCGGAGTGTTCTGTGAGACACAAAGTATACTCATTCTATAATTACATCAAAATGAGTCATCAAAATTTAGACTTAAATTTTCTATTTCTGGTTAACACAATGCAATCTATAATGCGCGAGATCTGAATGATACTGTAATCCAACCACAAGTACAGTAATATTTTAGAGTAATGTTAACATTCTCTCTTCATAGTATTGCATAAAAGCAGCCTAACTTACCGTGTACATGCAGGTTTCGACCACGGCTGGCTTGTCCTCCAGACCCGGTAGGTGGCGCCTCACGAGGTTACTCAGGTAACGTACATCCTCCTCCAGATGTTCCCGGATGTTGACGTCACGTTGTTCGGGGTTAGCGACGTGACCTGTCTTCCAGTTTACGTGACGACAAATCTGAGAAAAAGATATGCCTAGATCTTTAAGAGTCTATATAACTAATGTAATTTTGTTGTTTTTATTTAGGAAGCTTTACCGCATTTGTAGAAGAATTGACAGACGTAGCAGGTGACTATCACCTCTTCAAGATGTCAAACCTGAGACCAGACTGTAAGGTCTGAACCACTCACACCGGGAAGGACCCCTGCTCTTTTCGGTAAGTGTGGTGGGATCTTTAACGTGCTCAAGGTGTAGATCTCCTAGACAGGACCTCTGGCTTTGCGTCATATCTTAGAGGACGTCCCTAACCGAAGCCAGGTATTCATGTACATACTTTACTTTCATTTACATGTGGGTGAGAAAATGGGTGCCTTTCCCAAGGACACAACAGTGGGACCCGAAAGGCAACACATCAAAATCTACAGGTAAGGGTAAAGGTAAATTTTTTCTACCTTGACCATATTTGGGTACTCCAGGCTAGGTATGCCGTACACGTCATCATCCTCGTCCTTGATGACCGGGAAGTTAGCCGCCAGACTGTGAGTAGAGGTCGGCTGCTTCTCTCTGAAGTAACACACGTTGATCCGGAGAGGCTGGGAAAGATATTTCCAATGAATCGGGTGTCCACAGTTAGACTTTGGAGTTTAATGAGTGTCTGCCTTATAAATGGAATTCCCTTTTTGCTTATATTTATATTAAGTCAAAGGCGGTTTTGAACCTCCTTGTAACGTTTCAATTATGTTGCTGATTTGTAAGAGTTACTAATACTGACGTTCTCCACTTTTGTTGTTGGGGCTAGAAAACAGAACTGCTGTCTTATATTACTCTCAAAGCAGAAGTTTTGCCTTCGGCCTTTTTTTGACGTGTTTTTATGCATTTATATATATCGGGCTTTGTTTTCTAGAATTCTGTGCTGGTACCTTTTTTTATGCGAACACAACTGGGTGGCAAATGGTTCCTTGCCATTTTGATACTGTCTTTTTTTTATTCCAACATGTAATCACCAGACGTGGTGACGACACACTCAAGTTTTTTCAACTTATATTAATGCCGCCACCAACACAGGGGACAAATACATGACAGGATCATTTACACCTGAGCGAAGTGAGGAAAGTCGTGTAAAGTGCCTTTCCCAAGGGCACAAGATCGGTGGCATGTCAGGACTCGAACCCGGGACTTTAAGTTCCGAGTCGCGCACTCTGCCGCTACGCCACACGACCCCACGATACTGTCTTTGCAATATCTGCTTGGAGATTAGGGTTTGATATAAATGTACTTACTTTTAACGGCAGGTTGAGTCCCAAGTCGCAGAGGATGCCGGGAGCCCATGCCCCACACGTCATCACCAGTCTCCTGGTCCTGTACGTCATGGTTGCCGTGGTAACGGTTATCGTCTGTCCTGGGACCACCTTCACGATCCGTTCGCCATCTTTGATGCGGCCGCCTCTCCTCACAAAAAGTTCCTGAACCAAATTATTTATTTATTTATTTATTTATTACAACTTTGCCACAAGGACAGGACGTGCCACAAGGACCTCAAATTAGAGAAGATAATGAGAATGTTACCTCAGTTTTGAGTGTTTTTGGCTATATAGCTCCTGCAGTGTTTGGTCTAGAACTAAAACTTTGCCCTTGGCATTTCGTGAATCAGTGAGTGGATCATTATTTTCTGACGAAGGAGATCGAACGAAAATTCATGGTCAGATCCTTTTAGTGTGGAAACAAAAACTTTAAACTTTACTTTTTTGATATAGGAAAAAAGCTCCTTTTAGATACGGACATACATGTACATCCAACGTCAGTAATAAAAGGACCCTCGACAGAAAATCAGGTTTGAGAACTAGCGCGAACCTGCAGACACCTGACGGCCGTGTCGGCCTTGATGACAGCGGCGTCCTCCTCCAGCACACCGACGTGCCCGGCCGGGAACCGCAGCATCGGGAACCTCCGCCTCAGCTCCCCCGTCTGGAGCCGGCTGTTCCGGGCGCCCACCCCGTCCAGCGTGTCGGCAATGGCGTGGATCTTCGGGTTCTCTGAACGGGCCCACAGCAGGCGGGGAGTGGGGCTGTTCAAGACAAAAAAAGTTGAAAGAATGAACGGATGATCGGGTCGTGTGGCGTAACGGCAGAGTCCCGGGTTCAAGTCCTGTCATGCACTTGATAAAGGCACTTTACACGACTTTCCTCTCATGTCTATCCTGTATTTGTCCTCTCGCGTTGATATAACAGTAAACTTGAGTACTTGAGTGTGCCGTACCCATGTCTTGTCATGAAATGTTGTAATAAACGAAATTAACAAAAAAAAGAATGAACGGATGAGGGACGTACATAGACCAATCAGAGAAACCAAAATTTGCCTCAACAGCGACGGGGGACGACATCGTTTACCAGATACATGTACCTTTGATCTAATGTTAACGTCACACTTCAGAAAAGCCATGTAACAAGTCTCACTGGGTCAGTCTATTGAAGAAGACCAGAGTGACTGGTCGAAAGCTCTAGGTGAAGTTTTATCTTCAAACACGTAACTGCCAACACAGATGAAGTTTCGTGATAGCAAAATTCGTCTCCTTGAAAACAAGTTCTGATGTGAAATTCTGCTGTTTAAAGCGGCGGTTACATTCAATGATACATTTTTTTACTCACACCAGAAGCGTAGTTCCCAATTCCTTTTCAACCTGCTGCCAGATTCGGATGGATGCCGTCACCATGTCTGCGTAGTGCGCATGCTCGGCGATGTAGGACTTTCGGACGATGCGGGTCTGACCACAGGAGCTTCCCCGTGTGTGTGGCAGGAAAAACTGCGCGTTGGAACAACGAAGAACAGTTACCAAACCGCCATTAGCGAATTCAAGACTTGGGACTAGGGCTGCGTACCTAAACGCAACATCAGGTACAGGTACCGGTACCGGTACAGAGGTTTAGGTACAGGTCCGGACCTGTACCTGTACCTGAACAATTTGACAAATTAACACGTGTTCTTCACTTTTTCAATCATGACACAAACAATAATAAAGTGTTGACAACTTGTCAGTATCTTCCAATCACAACCCTGGATCAGCCACACTCTCGCGATGTCTCGTGAGACTGAGGATCTCAAATCAATCGACGGTGTTTACGTCTTTTCCAGTGCTAATTTTTCGTCTTTGTGGTAGGATTTACCTATCTTTAGTCATATACATGGTGTAAACTAGCTATTTCGGTATATACTCGTTACTTCATGATCCGGTATTTTGGACCTGTACCGAAACGATTTTTACGGTACTGGACCGGTACAGTGTACCGGTCCGCAGCCCTACTTGGGACCCGGAATCCACGAAGGAAAAAATTACCTTCTAAAAGCGCCATCTACCGGCATTACATCTAACTTCTGGTCTATCCTAATATATAGAGTGACCTTGGTCGTTGAACTGGCGCTACTGCAAACGTAAACACGCTGCTTGTGGTGCACGCTCCAAATTGTATTTTTCAAAATCGTTTCATGTTATCTTTTATTCACAGCAGAATTTGGACATGCGTTTTAGTTTTGCCGCCTGAATAGCATGTAACTGATAGTGATTCAATATTTAATAAGACTCCATGGTCGGTGAAAAGTATATTATGCATGTTGTGGATATGAGTCCAAAGCTCAGCCCATATACAGGGACTGGCATATTCGTGCACAAGTCGTCCTTGAGATAACTAGCGACCCGTAATTCCTCGAGCCTATATTCATTACCGCGCCTGTCCCATTGACACACCACTGCCTGCTATCCATGTAAACACTTCGATATTGCGGCATGCGACACAATCGCTGTGAAAGAAAACAACATGCAGACTGACATGACATGTTGAGTTTGCTCTTTGTAGTTTGTACCAGACTCCCGTCTGAGTTCAAACATATGTCTGTTTACAATATGCTGCGAGCCCGGAAGTCATGACCTTCACTCATGACCTTGGACCTTCATGCAGGGTACCGGTGTGTATTGCATCATACATTGTATGTACGTAACAGTGCACGTGAGTGAGTTAAATGTTAAATACACCAACACAAATATGTGGCGTTTGGATTCTGTACTTTGTACTTTGGTAGACTTCGAGTTGAATGTCAAAGGCACCAACACAATTATAATATGGCGTCTGGATTTTGTAGACTTCGTCTGGCTTAAGGTTGCCAAACGGGTAATTCAAATGCACATATACAAACTGTACGACAGTATCATGCCCGCTTTGTTTATCTCACCTGTTCCAGAAGAAGGGTCTTGCTGCCGCCCTGCGCCAGGTGAAACGCCGTGGACGACCCCATCACCCCAGCCCCAACCACGATCACGTCCCAAACATCCTCACGTTCTTCTGCCATGTTCCCCGTTATGCCTCGAAGAAAAACACGATCTTAAAGGGTCAATGTCCAGACGTCAGTGGTGCCCCATTAAGTGTGCTGCAGCGCCCCCTGGTCTCTTGGTTGTACACGACAACACACAGAAAAGGTTTATATTTTAACGCAGGTTTATAACTTTTATAGGTTATTCGATAATAATAATAATAATATAATAAATAACTGTTCTCGGGTACCAATCTGCGGCTAATTGCCCAAAGGTAAAGCCGGATCGGCACAACAAATCAGTATGAGTCCTTAATGTTCTTGTACAGTCCGTTCCACTTTTCCTTCTGCCTTGCCTGGTCTCGTAGCCACTTAAGAACGTAGGCCTCGGCTTTAATGTTCTGCTGGAAGTACAACTTGACGTCGTCTAGTAGACAGTCCAGAAGACCTCCTCGGGGCCTGCCTTTCCTTGGCGAGAGTTTTCTGCTAAAGGCGATGTTGAGGGCCTTTTGTGCAGGTGAGTCAGGTGACATGCGGAGAATGTGTCCGAAGAAAGTCCATCTGCGCCGGTGGACTTCATTTTGAAGGGGAGAGGAGTTACAGATCTTGTACAGGTTGGTGTTACTGATGTGGTGTGGGTGGACATACCCAGCTAAGCGTCTTAACTGCTTCCTGTGCCAGGTGTCGATCTTGCTGGCTAACTGTTCCGTTAACCCCCATGTACCACAGTTGTATAGCATTACAGGTAAGACGTAAACGTTAAAGAGTTTAAGCTTTAGCTCCAGGGAGACAGGTTGTGCTCCCCACATGTACCACATCTTCCTAACTGCTGCGTTGGCCAACTGCATTCTCCCGTCGATATCATCAGCGATGCCTAGCCGGGAGCCCAGAGACTTCGTTTTACTCCATGTCTCCTCCTCCCTCTCCCTTTTCCAACAGATATGTATTCGTTCAGTCTTGGTGGCATTGGCCTGTAGCTTCCATTCTGGCGGAACCTTTATCACCTGCTCGTGTATGTTTTCTAGATGTTGGTGGGATGTACTTATGAAATCAAGATCATCAGCATATTGGGTCTCTGGTGGTAGCTTGAGCCGCTTGTCTTCGGCAGGGGTTGGTGGGTAGGTCTCACGCAGATCACGGAGGGCTGCCTCATAGTAGATGTTGAAGAGCTGTGGACTTAAGCTGTCACCCTGGGGTGAGCCGACAACTGCTTCAAACGGAGGGGCTGCTTCTCCTCGGACGCGTACCGCGAGGGTGGTGTCTGTCAAGAGAGCATGCACCATTCGCACTTCGGAGGTTATTCGATACTTTACAATTAGACAAGATATGTATGTAAGAAAATATCAAAGCAGGACATGTTTAAACACTTGATGTCAAACAAGAACGAATGTACAGTAGACAAACTATGTAATTATGTTTCCAAATGTTTCAAAAAGAGAGAAGAAAGGGCAACTAACAGTAGATGATAGGTAGTTTATAGTATTATTGAAATGTATAGATTCCAAGCACTTTGCATTAGAATATAGCGTACCAGTATGAAATACTCATGTTTTGTATACTGGATATCCTCTTATGCATTTAGCCCATCTGGGCAAGAACATGCAATAAAGATTCATATCATATATACGTCACGCCTGGAAGGAAAATACCCTATTATAATTATAGGGCCAATGTTCAGAAGTCAGTGGTGTCCTATTACGTGCTGCAGTGCCCCTGATCTCTTCTTTCTACACGACAAGACCCAGAAGAATATAACACAGGTTTATAAGAGAAAGGCAGAAATGATATATATTACAAACCTGGAAGGGCAATTTTGATGTAGCGGTGGAAATTTGCATCGAGAAAAATATATTGATACGGAGGTTAAAAATCAAGATTTTTTTGCTATCCTAAACGCTATAAATTGGTTTTCCTGTGTGTGGAAGGCATGTTCAGCACCAAGGACAGGTTTTACTTTGTGTGGAAGGCATGTTCAGCACCAAGGACAGGATTCGGCAGGCCTACTATGGGTATGCCTAAACACCTCAACCGACCGCGTCTTGGCCTAAGATGCAGTGTACATGGGCTAAGAACTCTCTCTAACGCTCTGGATACATTGTAATGTAATTATGAATATGAAAAACAATTAAACGACTTTACAGTATATGAAAATTGGACAAGAGTGCTATGTTTCATACTGTGGTAACATAACAAGTATTCGTGAAAACGTTTATTTGGCGATACCACTCAAGTACCCAGCGGTAGATGCATTTTCATCCATTTTTTTTACCCTGATATAAGATTATTGGTCTTTGTAATTATATAGATTATCTTCCACCTTCTTCGCCACATAATTATAAGTGCCTATCACCGAGACAGGCCGTCATTGGTTGTCATAATTAGATTACCAGCTTCACATTAATTAAACACGGCCGTTTTGCACACCTGTGTAAAAGTGGCATCTTCTATCTGTTCAAAATGGCGGTTTCGTACGACGGGAATATTCTAGTGTGATTTTCTTTACAAGTTTTTGGTTACTTTTTGGAGTTCTCGTCGGTAGAATGTTTTTCTAAGTGTGCAGCAGAATGTTAGGAAGTTTCAGTCGTGGATTTGTGCCGTTCTGGTTATGTTTTGAAGAGAAAATGCGGATTTCCTGACCTGGCGAATTTTGGAGAACATAGAAAACAAAATGGCGAGACAGTTGGGAGGAGTAGCGTGGCATGGAGACGAACTTCGCTTACAAGTATTGTTGCAGGTAAACCAGCAAATTGTTTAGCTGACATTATTCCCTAGCAACCATAGTACGAACATGTCAAGTTATTTTCCGTAAGAAACGACCTAGTTCTGTATTCGAGAGCGACCATTCCTAATTTTAGACAGGCTTTGAAAAAGTTAAGGGTATTTTCGACAACATTTTCAATGTGCGGTGCGCTTGTAGAGTAGTAAATTTATGTGCACGTCTTTTTTGGCCAATTGTTCAGTGTTTTGAGGTTATATTTGTTGGAAAAAAACTTGTGCATTTTCTTTTCTTTATCTCCTCGTGGTTCAAAGCACCTGTCGGAATGTACCCGTGCACATAATTAAAATTGATATTTTTGATGATCCCGCCAAAAACTCACATAAACAAGATGGGGTCCTCAATGCTTCAACTTAGTTCAAGGCGCCAACATGAATACGATTTAAAACGTTTGACCATACTTTAGTTCTTCATTATTATTGGCGATGTATTACTAGTATGTATAATTTTAAAGCTTGGTGGAATGAAGAGATTTTACAGGTGAGACAATGCTTTTAACTTACAAAGCAGTTTACCTCAGATTTGTTTCTTTCAAGATAAAAACTTTTGGATCAGAAGAAAGTCTGGCTTTTTACAATGTTTATGTAACGTTCCCCAGTAAAGAAAAAAACAGTTGTGTTGTAGGCAGTATAATTGTAATATCCTAGTTCTTAGTACAGGTGAATTGCTCCAATATATACTGACTTTTGTTTTCCTCTCCCCACATGGCTCATGGTAGAAGGAAGGAAGGAAGGAAGGACTAGACTTTTACCAGTAAAGCAGTGAGAGAAGACACAGGCTGGGATGAAGTTGTAAGTATAGTTTATTTGTGCAACACAACCAAGTACACACACTTGCATACATTTCTATCCTTATACCCTCTAACTCTGCTCTGCACAATTTCCTTTTCCACTTACTTGTAACCTTCACTGTCAAACTTTCACGGTGGTTAAATTTGGCTCAAATTATTATTTGCTCTTATGTACTTGAATTTACGTACTTTGAACCAAATGCATGTTCCACTTGCGGTTATTTACAGAAAACCTGCGCCTTCAGGCCATTTTTTCACGAGTACCTTGTATCAGAAAGAAATTTTTGAACAAATAAACTGTTTTCTGGAAAGTACACCTATTCAGTCATTTAGGTGTGGACATGTAACATGTAAAAATGCTATATTGCAAATTCAAAATGCTATTGCAAATTCAAATATCAAGGAGCATCCAATTAACTTGTTGGAACGAAAAGATTTGAGTTTTTAAGGGATTTTTTTTGTAGAATCACTAAGTTAACAAAACTCTTGTGTCCAGACTATTGTGAAAAGTTTCACAGTTAGCCCCAAATTGTCTCTCAAGTAACTTGATACTTTGCTGAACATGCCCAGCCACAGAAAAGAATACCAGACCACCATGCTCATTTCTTTTTTATACTTGTTAACCTTCACAACTCTTTAAAGGCTTCACATTCTGAACTTCTTGTCTTTGGACCTTTACTCACAACATCTTTCTTCACCCTTCACTCAAACTTGCATGGCCCTTTTCCTGACGCTTTGGACAAAAATTACACTTACCGGTATTTCCCTAACCACTCCTTAACTATTTACTTAAAATCTTCCTCTGCTTTTGCACGCTCAACTTTTCGGTCGAAGGCCCCTTTCCCACTACGGTAAAATTGTCCGGATCAAGCCAAATTGATTTGCTTCTGCTTCAAGCCGGATCAAAGTGAATCAATTCGGCTTATCCGGACAATTTTACCGTAGTGGGAATGGGGCACTCTAACTTGCACTGCTTGTAATTACACGGTACGTCACTCTTTTCTGTGCTCTGATGCTTCACTTACATTCTGACACTCTTTTCCTTGCCTTTTAGCCTGGGTGCCATCCTCCGTAGTTTTTCCCCACTCCCTAATGTCACTGGGCACCACGGTCCAGTGACATTAGGGAGCGGGCAAAAACTACAGAGGATGGCACCCAGGCTACTTGCCTTTCATCCTTGAACTCTGGTTTTAATTGCACGGTACGTCACCCTTTCTTGTGCTCCACGTTTCCTGTCAACTTTTCCAAACACTTAGTCACACTCAGTTCTTCCACCTTGAACACAAGACAACACTCCACTCTGAGGGTCTGGATGCCTTTTTTGAGAAGCCGATCACTGTTGTTGCAAAATGTAATTGGCCACTTGAATTCCACATTTTTATCTTGAATTCATTGCAAAATTGTCACTTTGGACCTCAGAACACTTTCAAATTGTTGATGAATTTTTTGCCAAAACTCTGCCTGCCAAAAAACACTTAGCATACGTGGGACCTTCAGGTAGATAATTAATTGGATCAAAGTTTTCCCGCCAAAAAACTTAGTATATGGGCATCCTGACCTTTGACCTTTACTCATTTCCCACCACACTTCTACTTGCTACACCCAACCAACTCACACTGTTCCAATGGTTTGAACCTTTACGCTTAATTTCTTCAAACACTTGTGATACTCATGCTATGTCAGACCAACCTTCCGAAACACTTAGTTACTTGAGTGAGACTTTTCTGCCAGAATGATTGTCGCTCTCTACTGGTCAGTCAATTGCACAGGAATGCTGGTGTGTCGAAGCACCGTGTCTCCGCAAAGACATCCCCAGGGGAGCAAACTTCTGTGCATTGACTAACCAGTAGAGAGCGACAATCATTCTGGCAGAAAAGTCTCACTCAAGTAACTAAGTGTTTCGGAAGGTTGGTCTGACATAGCATGAGTATCACAAGTGTTTGGAGAAATTAAGCGTAAAGGTTCAAACCATTGGAACAGTGTGAGTTGGTTGGGTGTAGCAAGTAGAAGTGTGGTGGGAAATGAGTAAAGGTCAAAGGTCAGGATGCCCATATACTAAGTTTTTTGGCGGGAAAACTTTAATCCAATTAATTATCTACTTGAGGGTCCCACGTATGCTAAGTGTTTTTTGGCAGGCAGGGTTTTGGCAAAAATTTTTTTACACAATTCATCAATGAAGTGTTCAGGTCCAATTTTGGGGGAATTAAACCTGCAAATTACACAATAACGATTAACTAAGTAAAGGTGTCAAGTTTTTTGTTGGAAAAGTGTGACAGAATGTGTGAGTGAACTTAAACAGGCCTATATACATATCAAGCAACCAAACCTAGCGTCGAAGCCTGGAGGAGAAAACCTCTGGGCCAGGCTAACAAAAATACACCAAGCCCCTCTCCGTTAGCGTAGTAGGCCTGATGACGGACAAAGTTGTCCGTCAACAAGTCTACTACACAGAGTCAAGGCATGTGTAAGTTTGAACCATAAGACAGAAGTTCCTCCTCCAGGCTAAGCCCAGGGACAAGAAGTGGAAGCATAGAACATACTACCCTGGGTGCCAGACTCGTTTCGGGATGTTTCTCTTAGGCAGCCAGAAGCCCTTTGCCCGTCTGTCTAAATTACCGCTAAGGGGAAGTCTAGCCCGTAGCAGTAACTTACACAGGCAGGTGAAGGGCTTCTGGCTGCCAAAAGGGGAACAGCTAGCAGCCCGAAACGAGTCTGGCACCAAGGTAAGAACATATAGAAAGAGAGGAATTATGTTTTGTCATGCAGTGATAGAAACCTCCTATCAAACTTTTGTTACCACTGTTTACGTACTTGCAACAATTCAAAACTCTGCTCCAAAATCCAGGCCTAGTCTCAAGCTCATCAAATAAAGTCTGTCAGCATAAAACATCGCCGTCAAACTTGAACGAGACACGACACGAGAACACGACACGAGACCTGAATTTTGCAACAGAAGGTAATAGTGTTGCTGCAAGTTCATCAACAGTGATAACAAAGTCTGGAGTCTACATGACTTCAAAGAAATCAGCGAAACAAAACTACACTATTTTACTTCCTCACATTATTCACTCAAAAGTTCTTTCCCTATATTTACACAATTTTAATGATATCTATTTTTAAACTGCCCTTTAAAGCTATCTATGCTAAATGTAGTTGCAACAATTGACTTCAAAACTTGAGGCATGTGTAAGTTTGAACCCTGGGACAGAAGTTCCTCCTCCAGGCTAAGCCCAGGGACAAGAAGTGGATATATAGAACATGCTGAAAACAGGAATTGTGTTTTATCATGCAGCGATATAGACTCAAACTCTGTTAATGTACTTGCAACAATTCAAACTTTTTGAGCTGATCAACCTTTTCTATCTCCATGATCTGACACCTGAGTGATAAAACATTGTACAATTGGTTTTCCTACATTGACAATGAAAATAAAAGTGTCCTCACACAAGTTTACACATGTTGCAATTGTTTAAAAGTCAATGGAATGCCTATCAATGCCCTTTTTTCAAATCATCTGCATAGCAAAATATCATATATAATCTTGATTGTGTTTGACCTACATTTTAGGCATTTTCGATAGCGAAAGAGAAACATACAATTTTAGGTAAATTAAGGCCAAACACAATTTGCTTTGAAAATAAGGCAAAATTCGATATTATCTTTCATGGATTTAGAACTTAAAGGAACATTCTGGGCCATGGATATTACAATTACTCAAAGAATAAAGTTGCCATAAAGTTACACCTGACTGAAGGATAAAAAAAAAAAAATTCGATCAAGCATCTCAAAACATTTGGTAAGTTTCAGGCTCAGATTTTGAACAGCTTTCGCCGTAATCCTTGGACTAATGGCGCAATCGTATTTTGACTGCGTAGCTTTTTTGGCTCTGTGTTTTGTGGCGAGTGTAAACTTGGTGACGGGATATTTCACATTTTAGATTCCTGATTCGGGTAGGGCACAGGAAGAGGATAAAATATATCATTGGATCCTAATATCTGGACCGTTCCAGATGAAATGCGAAAATGAATAGGGAACATCATGATTGTGAAAACCTCAGAACCTTTCAAAGGTATTCTCTTACTATCAGTCAAAATACTAATTCTGTCTATGATACCAATTCAATGTTGGATGAAACTTAACATGTACTTGCTGCACTACATGGGTCCTGTCCCTAGTGCTGAAATTGGTATGCCTCTGTACACACTAGATATAATAGATAGTAAACTATTTGCTGATTGTCGACCATAAGCTTAAAGATACATAAAGAAATCTCTGCTGTTGGGATGGTAGAAATTTTATGTCTTATAAAGATTCTTTATGGACACAACAAAAAGTACAGGGACTTTTATGGTCTTCTACAACTAAAGATCTAACAAAGCTATTACGTGTGTGGATAACGTCATCTTGCGTACAGAATATATGCATGCAGTAACTATAAGGGTGTAACTATATGTAATTGTCTCCCCTGAGAATTTAGTTGAATTTATCTATATAGGATACAGACCTGCTAGGGATTCAAAACCAGCACCACAACATCGCCATTTGTTACCTCCATGAAAAATGGAGGTATTGTTTTTGGCGTGTCTGCGTTGTTTGTCTGGAGAGCTCCGAGGACTACCTTTCATGTTAAACTATAGCTTTGCACCTTTTCCTGTTCTATGGCTCAGGCTCGTTTCTAGCAGCATAATTCTTCTTATCTCCAAGCAGATTCTAGCGTGGCAAAAGACACCCTTGTGGCGTATGGACTCTCTAGCCAATGGATACTGCCTGGCCAATTTGATACTGTCTTTTACCACTATAGGATATTACATATCTTGGAGATTACATATCTTCATACTACCGGGTATACTCATATTAAACCTGCAGAATCAAACATCTAATAACTCTGAACTTTCTAGATGACAAAGTCTGTATTACTGCCACTGGAATTCACATACCCTAAAGTTGTAGATAGTGTTTCTCTATCTGCAGTGTATGTTAGCAGTTCAATGTGTGTGGTGTAATGTTGTTGAAGATGATTTATAAAACCGTACAACCTAAATCTGTACGTGCTACATGTTCTTTGGAATAGTATTTCAATATAATAGGAAAACTATGGAAGAACATTTCACACATACAGATACGAGTACATGAGTAGTTGTAGCTCTGTAGATAAGTACCTTATCTGTGTTATCTTAGACCATTGGTAACTCTCTGTATATTTAAGTGCTAAACTCCCTGTGAACTGTTAGACCATGTATCTGTTCATATAGAGTTAACATACGGAGTAATAAACACGGCTCAGCATAAGTAATCTGTTTGGGAATCTCTCTCTATGTTAAGATATATAGATGCTAAGATACCAAGCTATACCACCAAACCTTACACTTCTTTATAGTACATGATTCACAAAGTACAACACAAAGTGGTAGCGCACTCAATTCTTTATTTCCATACCAACATTGCAGACATACAAAATAGCATGTTGTCATGGTATATCAATTGTATACATGAATATATACATACTACAATTATATGAACAGTACTCGGAGGATAAATTAACAAAAGTGAATCCATGTACAATAAGGGCTAAACGTCCAGACCAACACTGAGTAAATTGGGAGTTTCCCAAATTAGGGTAAGTCCCAATTTACTCAGTGTTGGTCTACGTTTAGCCCTTTTTGTCATAATACCAACATAGATGAACTTTTTTGATGCTAAACGTGAATCCAATATAAAGGAAGTACAGATGAAAATACATATGTAACAAAATGATAAACATAGATGCCCCAACTTAATGCAATGTTGTATCGAAGGTCAAGTCCAGATAGTAACTGTTTTGGGTAGATACTCAAAGCAAAAGGTTAAGCTAAGAAAAAAGTGACCACACTGGGAGTCAGTCGTACGTGAACAATAATTTGCTAGAGGCAAACTTGGTACAAGAAGCCCCGGCACCGCGTCAAGGTGTTGCCTCCATTGCCGAGGTAAATTGAGACGCCATCCTGACAACAGCCACTCACAGTCTCCATATAATGACGACAAAGCAGAAAGGTTCAGAGAGTTTCACTCAGCTTACAGTTGTTTTGTAATTCGAAAATTCATGATGTTGGAACGGAATGTGAACAGCCAGAAGTGATGAAGGCAAAGTTATTTGTTGCCCTGTCTTGCTAAGTTTTTTTTTTGTCCCTGCCTATCTAATGTTCCAATTTGTTTATTGATTAAGTCCTGACTACAGTTATGGATTAGGACTGTCTAATTTAGTCTTGTTAAGCCTCATTTTTCTTCACTGTTCACAATCTTTTAAAATCGAATTGTGTCTTTCTTCGTTACATACCTGAGCCGAGTGTACTCTTAAGAAAATATATTAAGATTAAACTACCGGCAGTTGTGTCAGGATGAGCGTCGGTTTGCCAAAACTACTTGTGCGCTAATTTCACCACTAGTGCCTAGGACCCAAATCGTTTAACGCTAAGTCCTAGTCCGTCTACCACCCATCCCATCTATACCGTCCGTGTCAACAGACAAAACAATATGAAATACAATGAATTCTTCACATAAACAGCATCATTAAATGGACAACACATTCCATGGACCATAGATTATTTTCTTTTGGTCCTGATGTTCACTGGCGATGTTCACCCAGCAAAGTACGATGGTAGTCACGGGCGTCATCTGTATTATTGGACAAACATAAAAACAAAAAAGGTACAAAGAATTAACAAACATGACCTGACAAAACTCACAGGAAGGCTATAGCGAAGCAACAATTTGCAAAGAACAAAATTAATGTCTTTTACTTTACAGTTAAACAATTTAGCAGCTATACCTGAATCGTGGAGACAAAACAAGAGACGTGCAGTAAGGCAAGAACCGAGTGAAATTCTAGTAATAAAAAGATCAGCACCTTCATCGACACACTGAAGTAGGCTGCTGGACTCAGAAACATCACCACAGCAGAACTACGCTCACTGATGGAGGACAGAGACGAGTGGAGATGAACCCATCGTCTCCCGTGTTGACATCGCTGATGTCCTCACTCAAGACTTCCCGTTCGTGATGCACCTGTAGTGCTATAAGAAATGGAAGAAGGAGGCATGATTAATCTTTGGATGATAAGACATTAAGGTATTTTACAACAATGCACTGGAGCACAAACTGCACCATGTACTTTACACAAGGAGCATGATACAAAAACAATACACTCCGGATCCATTCATTCGTTTATTCATTCATTCGTTCATTTGCGGCCATCCATTTATCCATCTTTCATTCATCCATCCATCCATCCATTTTTGATACAGACTGATCTTTGGCGCAGTGGTAACCAGGAGACAATCCACGTCCTTCTACCAGCCGGTCTATAGGATATCATAGGAGAAGACAGTCTTCCAGTACATGGGGGAGGGGGGCCTGTGTTGTAAGAACAGAAACAACAGGAAGAAGGTTTAGTTGAAAGCAAAGTCACCTTGACTCGCACTTAGTACTGTACTTAAATACTACTATGGGAACCTGACGACTTAGTATTTCCCTACCCTGTACAGGGAAGGGAAACTAGAACATTTACTTTACATATATGAGGAGCACCCCACAAATCTATTCATTGAACAGCTGCAGTCCTGTCCTGGTACTTTCGTCTTTCATCAAGCAGAGTCTTCAGAACCATTGAGCCAGGTGCAATTGCAGTTAGTTCCTTCTGGCAGTCAGTTGCTTCAGTAAGGAGATGTCTTCGGGTTGGTAGAACCTCTCGTTCTTTGGCCAGATTAAGGTGTAAACTGTAAAGTTGGAAGAAATAAAGAATGACACACGTTAACGGCAAGTATAGGATACAAAATACGTCTTGATTCCACCTATCCTGGGAGACCCAAGCGATACCAAACATTTATGCCTACCCTGTACTGGATACACAAAGTTTAACATACAAGAAAGACAAGGAGCATTACATAGAGATTCACTCATTATCATTTAGTCATTGTGCCATCGTCTTGCCAACCAGTCCGTTATTCTCGGATGAACTTGACTCGGTGGTGGACTAATCGATGGAAATGAAGCGACCCTGAAACAGAAAAGAATGGCATGAAACAAATTCTGATTCAGTATTTTTGCAAGCTATACTATATTACATATTAGACATGTGCATTGCAAACTTATTTTGTGTCTTCTCACTTTGCAAAGTAATTTACTGTGTGTGTGCGAAGAAAGAACCACCAAGAACAACCAACACTGCGATTGTTTTGTATTGTACAGTACTTTATTCAATGTACAAATGGTTACAATTGCTCAAGTACAGAGTAGAACATCACTTAACAATTTGACTTGTTGTGCGTGCGTGGGTAACAAACAAGCAGTAGCATATAGGTACGATATAGCCACGTGGGGGGGGGGCTAGGGAAATTAAAGTAACTACTGTACAACTTACACCCATAAGGCACCCCGGGGGTTCGGTACGAGCCTAACAGACGTTATCAGTCCTTAACGTTCGCGTATTATTCAACAAAACTGTATTACATTATCTACAAACACATTACCCATCTACCCATCCCTTCCCAAATGGGGAAAACAGAAAAGCAAGTCATGAGTTGGGCCTAACCCCAGGAAAACTACGTTAACAAGTTTGACCCCCCTTTTAGGCATGGGAGGAAGGAAAACATGTTAATAACGCATATTGGACAACTGAATATACTAGTGAAGAGTAGTAGAGATGTAAGAAATCTTGTGTAGATTTCACAAAAGTTCCTACATAAAAATCCATCACTGGGTTCTAAACAAATCATTAGAATCCATCAATGGATTCTAAATAAAACCTTGCAACTAATATTTAATATCCATCAAATTCCTAAGTGCACGTCTTTGGAATTCTTATGGATTTTAGCGGTGCCAATTCACATGGGTTCTAACTGAAATTCTACAACATGTTTGTGTAAGTGTGTGCGAGTGTTTGCAAAAGAACGACACCACTACAAAAGAACGACACCACTACATTGTTGCTCACAGTGATATTTTTGTAACCGCGCTGCACGTGGGCATTTAAAAACTCAATGATCTTCGCAAATAATTTTCAAAAGCGCTTAAAACTATACAACGTTTACATTCATATATACCACACACAACGTCGCGAGATGCCCCTTAAATTCTGTTACTAAATCTAAATCACAAAAGCAACCACGTGAAATGCCACCGCTAAAATAAGTCTAACTCGTGTAACATAGTAAGGAATGTCGCGAACCATTCACGTGACATTCCTTACACGGTCACCCATCCAATTCCAAAGAGAAAGTCTTGGGAATTCTATGGATTTTGACATAGTACATGACACTGATTCATACAACAAGTCAAGTTACAATGTTTTCCGCGCCGCAAGCTTTAGCGCCGTCGCCTCAACTCAAAGAGAATTCCGAATTACACTGTACTAGGCTCTAATACTCTATACAACGTCAATGCACGAATCCGACACTATATAAAAAGCACGAATTACAAGTATACATCGCACGACACAACGTCAGCGCACATACTACAAGAATACAAGAAAACGCACGAGTTTACTTGTACATATATAACGCACGAGTTACAATTATACAACGCACGCATCTTCTCTTTGGTAAGGCACAACACTACGTCAGCGCACATACTACAAGAATACAAGAAAACGCACGAGTTTACTTGTACAGATATAACGCACGAGTTACAATTATACAACGCACGCATATTCTCTTTGGTAAGGCAATTGTCAGCCCGCCGTCTCAACGGAGAAGACAGTTGTTGGGGGAGGGGTGCGCCGCGCTAGAAAATCATAAACACTTACCTTCTCAGACGTGAAGACTGTTATGCCAGACAACTGGAGCACACGAGAAGAAAGCCCGGCTCCGGACTGCTCCATTCATTTCTACAGGTAAATCCCGAAGTCACACCTGGAAAGAAATTTCATGTAACTGCCCAAACTATGATGCGAGTAAAGTTCTGGCTGATGTCCTAGTATTTATTTTCCTGGCAACATATATAAGACGTGTTAGGTCACAATCCTACATTTAATTTCTTCGTTTTTAAGGGGCAATAACTAATTCAATCCCCCTATGTGGACGTGAACCATGGTTCCATCCATCATCACGGTTTCACCTGTGTCACCTGCGCGTAACACATGTTGCAAACGGTCTAATGAAGTAATATGCATACGCATATTAATTACATTCGCAACCGGGCAATCTTATTGGCTGGTGAAATGCTTGCGTTAAAGAGCTCATGGCACCGAAATTCAACATAAAGATTCACACCACAGTACAGTTCAGAACTGTGACAGGATTGAACATCGAAAAATTAAAACAAAATCCTACATCCAGACTATTCTCACCATAGCACCATCAAACATTGCGACATTATCCTCTGCGCTTTAATGGCATACAGCCGATAGTGATTTCATATCAATTAGGACTACTCGGTAGGTGAAAGTTGTACGTTGTGAATGAACTCCGAGTACGGCCCAAATGTAGGACTGGCATATTCGTGCACAAGTCGATCGTCCTTGAGATAACTGGTGACCTCAACTCGACTCAAACTCAAAAGTCGGCACCTACATGCGCTTGGAAGTTAGGCCACAGCAAGTAATTTTTCTGGATGACATCAGCGCGCGCATTGATTTTCGTCTGATTTTGAAAAAAAATTGTTGCCTTCTGAAATGCTGAAAAAGGGCAAAGATGTCTGTTGCCATGGCCCATGCCGGATTGTGGATGGCAGATAAATATGAAGAGAGGAGGTCAAGGCTCTGATTTTTTGTTTTGTCTTTTACTTTGATGCAGTGATGTATTTCATTCCTTTTATACGTGATGTTCCCACTGAATCAAAACCATCTGTGCAATGATTGAAAACATAGCACAATGTAGGTATAATTTCTTGTTGAAGAAAGTCTGTGATGTCAAATGTAGGGCTCTTTTTTTGCCTGCCTTGTTTTTTTTCGCCCTATCGCATTAGAGTCGGAGTCTACGGGGGATGTCATCCATAAAATTTACATGCTGTGTCCTTGCGGTGCCAAAGTCCAGGTCAAGATGGCGGAGGTATGGGACGCAGTAGTGGTGGGGGCGGGGATAGAAGGGTCCGCCACCGCCTTTCACCTGGCTAAGAACGGCTGCAAAACACTTCTCATCGAGCAGGTAAGGCAAGGAAACGTTCTTGAAACATGCAGAGAAAATTAAGCCTCGTACTTACACCTACAAAGTATCACACTGATTCATGTTGTACAAGAAATATCTATTGTTAAGGTTGCTATATTCGAGGACGCAAAGTTGAACTGAGACACATCGCAATGTGTACAATGGTATATATAACACACGGAAAAGGTTTATAACGCAGGCTTATAAGAGAAAGACTATACTCAGCCGGTGAAAGTTTATGAATGAGCCCCGAGCACGGCCCATATACAGGGACTGGCATATTCGAGTACGAGTCGTCCTTGTCCTGAAGATAGTAACCAGCGACCCGTCCCTGAGCGTATTCTTTACCACGCCGGACCACTCCCTGAAATCTTGTCACACTATTAGAGCTTCATTATAGACCAAAATTACACAACGTTTTCAAGACGCTGGATTTTCGCACCTGTTCCCTGCAGTTCCCCTTGCCGCACAGTAGAGGGAGCTCCCACGGTGCCAGCCGGATCATCCGAAAGGCGTACGTCCAGCAGCACTACGCACGGATGATGAACGAAGCGTACCCTATCTGGGAACAGGTGGAGCGGGAAACAGGCACACAGCTCTACATGTAAGGTGGACACAAATGTCTAAAGACCGATCCTACAATGCCCATCTGCACCAAATGTAGACATGCAAAGCAAAGCATAGAAGTGGAAACAGTTGATCTTACTTTTGGATTAACTTCTGATTGACATTCAGGATTAGTTTAATCCAGTGCTATATTTGCCCTACACCCTGTTGCCTAAATCTTGACACTGTAAGATGATACAAACCCATACTGAACTGAGCATGTGACTTGTACTGTAATACGTGTAGCTGTAGTGTAGTTATACATGTACATGTAGTTGTAGTTGTAAATACATGTAGCTGTAGTTGTAGTAATACATGTAGCTGTTAGTGTAGTTGTAGTTGTAGTTATAGTATACATGTAGCTGTAGTTGTAGTTATACATGTAGCTGTAGTTGTAGTAATACATATAGCTGTAGTAGTTGTTGTTGTTGTAGTTAGTGTAATACATATAGCTGTAGCTGTAGTTGTAGCCGCTAAGGGTTGTGAGTCAGCAAAATTTCTTCTATTTATTCACAGAAAAACTGGTGGGATGTTGGTAGGACCAGGATCATCCCAGGAGCTGGCCGAGACAGAGCGGAGTCTGTCAGGTGCAGGGAGTGAGTTTGAGAGACTCAGTTCTGATGACCTGAAGCTGAGATTCCCAAACCTGAGCTTCCCTGCAGACTACCGAGCAGTTCTGGACCCTGAGGCAGGGGTGCTGAAGGCTGACAAGGCACTCAGGTGCTTCCAGGTCAGAACTAACAAATTATCTCATTGGAATATATAAAGTCAGTTAGTATAATGGAGACTATGACATTAAACTGTGCATAACAATGGGATGGTACAGTTCCTTTACAATTAAATTTTTATACAAATTAAAAACATTTAAAAAGCATTTGAAGTCCTTGATTAAGTTCAGGGACAAGTTATTGGAATAGAACCATTAAAAATATCTTGAAAGTTAGGCTAAAAGCTTGTAGATCTACCTTGACTATTGTCATTAAATCATAGTTTTCTTGCAACGGGTCTAAAGTTCTAAATACTAAGTCTGGCACTAAAGAATGTTTGTGTACCAATTCCAAGTAACAGACAATAAGTGTAAACTTGACTTGACGTGACTTTATTGGGATCCACACTTAGCTTTTAAAAAATGTAACTATTCTTCCTGTGGTCCTTTAAGACACACATGACTTTTGGAGCTATTTTCTCTCCTGCACCAGGATCTGTTTGTGAAGTATGGCGGAAGGATACATGATGAGGAGAAGGTGGTGCGGATTGACCCAGGTGATGTGGTGACCCTCCACACGTCCAAGTCCATGTACAAGACACGCAAACTTCTCCTCCTACCAGGGCCCTGGGCGGGCAAACTGTTGGGACCTCTGGGGCTCCACCCACCTCTTAAGGTGGTGATTTTCGTACTTTAAACAAACAAGAGATAACGTACAAGTACAAATACAGGAAAAGGTATTGTCATTCCATAGCACTAATTTGTACACAGTCAGTAAACATCTACATATGGCTTATGCTTGCATATGACCAATTGTTAAATGTAATACAAGCATCTCCCATGTCTCTGTTCATTTGTAGCCTACACGTGTCAGTGTACTGTATTGGAGAGAGAAGGGACCAGGCACCTACTCACCAAAGAAGGGTTTCCCTATCTTCATGGACGCGGCACATGTGTATGCTCTTCCCTCCTTAGAGTATCCCGGAATATTCAAGGTACTTTTATACATTGACATCAAGTCTTATTGGACTTCTCTTGAGTTTGATGTTTAAGCACCAAGGACAGAACCATTTACTGTTACAGCAGAGTTTGTAGGATAGGATCCCATTTCAGCACTAAGGACAGGACCATGTACTGTAGCAGGGGTGGTACAATGTAGGATAGGATCCCATTTCAGCACTAAGGACAGAGCCATGCACTGTAGCATGGGTGGTAGGGTAGGATCACATTTCAGCACTAAGGACAGGACCATGTACTGTAGCAGGGGTGGTAGGGTAGGATCACATTTCAGCACTAAGGACAGGACCATGTACTGTAGCAGGGGTGGTAGGGTAGGACCGCATTTAGTTTAAAGGATTAGTCCACTCCATATATATACATGTAACATTGTTTTGATTCCTATCTGCAGCTGTGCTACCATTCTGGTCCAGTGATTGATCCAGATGACAGAGATGGTGTTGCAGGTAGTCGAGGTAACCAGGAGATTGTGAGGATGATGTGTGACTATGTCAGGAAACACTTCCCTGGGTTAGAGAGTGTTCCAGCTATTCAGGAGTCCTGCATATATACTGTAAGTTTTCAGTATTATTTAGTAATTTCCAATTTACAGTAACAAATTGTAGTAAACCTTTAAGTATTACGTACAAATCCATAGGTAAAATCCTCATAATTAGTAGGTGTCAATTCACTGATGTGGTTTTAAAGTCTTGCTTTCTTGTACCTTAAGTTCACATGTTCAGTTGACTGGTTTTGTGTTCACTTAACAAAAAACGATATCATTTTCTGATATTTGATGTATTATGGTGTATGTTACTGAAAGCTCTCTGTTCGTGTTCATACTTTAGACAAAAAACATGACTCTTTTCTTTATATGCCAATGTCATACCGTATGCTGACAACTGTTTGTGTTTATCTTGTGAATTCCTCTGTAGAACACCCCTGATGAAGACTTCATCCTGGATCGCCACCCACAGTACAGGAACATCATCATAGGGGCCGGCTTCTCAGGTAAACATCAGAAATAGTCACTCTGGATACATGTATGTCTTATACCTTCATTCTGAGATTAACCTTCAGCCTGCTAAGGCAGCCTTTAGGCACCATATTTGTTATTGGTTACCAGGTTGAGCAGCAGGGAGAAGGTTAAGTAAGAATGTGTGACAATCTCTCACTGACTTGTGCAATTGTTTCTCTTCTCACCTTACAGGACATGGCTTTAAGCTGGCCCCAGTGGTGGGGAAGTTACTGTGTGAACTGGCTATGGACAAGCAGCCATCTTACGACATGACACCGTTCTCCCTAAATAGGTTCAACAACACGGCAACTCCTCAAGCCAAACTCTGAATGACATTGTTTGACATGTTATCATTTTAAATGTTACCTGTCAGAAACCCAGCATTTTATGATGTAACGTTAATATCGTTAGATCATGTTATTAATTGGCATCAAATGTGCAATTTACCCTCCAAAACCTAGCAAAAGATAATTCAGGCTTTCTTGGTTGAACCTCTAATTGCCATTCTCTCATTGGTTGAACTTCTAATTTTGATGGACATTCGGGATCGGTCTGTTGACGCCAGGTATTCCTCCAGGTTTGTGCATGCAAATTAACGCAGGTGCGGCAATGCTGGATGAAACCCTTGTTTGCGTCTAAACTGGGGAATAAAATGAAGAAGTGTGTCATAAAATGATAAATATATGTCATAACGATTATACCCGGTAACTTTCGCTGACCTTAACTTTCCTTTATCTTTCCTGACCTTAACGACCCTCATCTTTTCAACATGACTGATAAGAGGAGAGTCAGCGTCACCAAGGACTCCTGGAGAGTCCTCGCTGCCGACAGAAGCCTCTGGCGACAGCTGTCTGCGGCCGCCATGCTTCTTCCCTGAAGCACGCGGATGATTGATTGATAATCTATATATAAATCAGGTGTCACTGTTCTTTTCAGCTTACAACATGGCGGGGGCGAGTTTGTGTTTCTCTCTTATTTTCCTACCTTGTGTAAGGAGTTGCTAATTCTATGCGCGGAGGATGTAAAGTTGTTCTACAGCATCCTTAACAACGAAATAATGTGTGCTTTGTACAGAATTGTTTTTTTAATCTTAATTTGTCATTGAATATGTTGTGCCATATGCCATGTAAAATCCATAGAATTCCCAAGACTTACTCTTTGGTATTGGATGGGTGAATATGTAAGGAATTTTGTATTCAATAAGGGAGAATCTTAGTGGAGGCATTTCACATGGTTATGTTTTGTGATAGTTCCTTTGTTAGGATGTATGCTTATATATTGCTTGCAGTGTGCAGATCATGTGAATCTTTTACAGCAAGGTACACATCAATTATCTTTTTGTTAGTAAGTCAGTTTATTGATTTAGCAACAAAAAGGGGCATGCATCTCACGACATTGTTATACATGTAGTTGTAACGTGCGTGGTATAGATGTTAACTTTGTACAGTTTTAAGCTGTGCGTTTTATAAAAGTAACTCGTGAATACAGTAGAGACTTAAACTATGATGCCCACATGCAGCCCATTTGGATTAAGATATACAACAACAAAAACTCATAAGCTTTGTGCTTTTATTCCAATGCTCTCATATCTATGTGAATAAAATAATTAATTACTGTACCAAGTGAATGTCTCATCCTCATCACTTTGTTTTCCTTTTGCCTCTGAGTGATCAGATAAAAATAAGCTTGACCTTTTGATTATTGCATGACAATTATTACTCAAAATGTCTGCATGACTCAGGTTTAGGCCATCATCTAAAAACTCTTCAAACCATCGCAAAGGAAACCAGGTAAGTGATAACGACAATCTATAGAAGCAGGCTAGCAGAGCTACCTGTATCCAGCGGAAGTTATGTCAGAAATGAGAGGATGGACGTATATATGTTCTACAGTAAGCACTCCTTGCTGTAAGTACAGTATGTATACCATTTTGTATCCCAATATAAAACATTTTGTGAACAGCTAGATCTGTTCAAAACTATGACTGGCACGAGGAACGAGAGTAAAAAAGGTCACAAACAGTTGGAATATACTGTAATATACAACAAAGGTTTTGGTAATGAATTCTACTAGTCAATAATTTGATGGCTATTTTAAGAATGTATACATATTGTAGCACCTTAATTTATATATATATGCCCAATCTAATATTTCATATTAGAGCATAAAGTCCAAAGGCTTCTTTCTAGTGGACTTTTAAAGTTCTTTGATGAAAAAACATCTTATTGTTACATTTTAATGTTACATTTAACATTTTAATGTTACATAATGATACCATGAAAATCATCACTGCACAAGTGTTTTTGGTAGTCAGCAAGGTACACAACATTTATCTGACTTATATACATAGACCTGTTGTTTGTTACAGACAGATATTGACAGTGAGCAGATACATGTGCATTGTGCGTGTATTAAATCTCAATTGCACTTGATTTTAGTTTATCAAAGTATCAATGTTTGGATTTATTTATTTCCAAATGCTGTGGTAACGTTACCTCTGATTTACCTCAGATTTAGACTCCTGTCTGACCATGTATGAAATTCAATGTGTTTGAGTAAGAATTAACAGAGCAGACCATATACGAAGGTAAACAATTATGTATTTGCTTTGCAAATGTTACCTTTCTAGTTTTATATCCAATTAAAGATTTATTCATATGTTTATCAAGACTAAGGTAGTAGGTATTTGAGGTAATTATACATATAAAATGATCTATATGCACTTTGCCCATCAAACAATATAGTTCAGAGTTTGGCTTGAGGAGTTGCCGTGTTGTGGAACCTATCTAGGGAGAACGGTGTCATGTCGTAAGATGGCTGCTTGTCCATAGCCAGTTCACACAGTAACTTCCCCACCACTGGTGCCAGCTTAAAGCCATGTCCTGTAAGGTGAGAAGAGAAACAGTTGCACAAGTCAGTGAGGGATTGTCACACATTAGGGTTCAAAATACTGGGTGCATGTGCACCTTAGTGCCCCCAAAATTGGAGCTGTGCACTCAAATATTTTCGTAGGTTCATGTATATAAAGATGTTGAATGTATAGTAGTATACAGCATATTCTTAACATCTAAGTGTAAGAAAAGTAACGTGAAAGTTATTGTTGACTGTTGTAGTACTTTTTTAAAACAATGAAACATGATTAGTTATTGGTGACATTCTACTTATTTTATTCTATATGGTGCACGCAAAAAAAATTGTGCACCCAATTTTTTAGGTGGGGTGCACCAGTGCAACTATTCCCAAAAATGAATTTCGAGCCCTGCACGGTGCACATTCTTACTTGACCTTCTCCCTGCTGTTTAACCTGGTAACCAATATAAATGTGGTGCCTGAAGGCTGCCTTAGCAGGCTGAAGGTTAATCTCAGAATGAAGGTATAAGTCATACATGTATCCAGTGTGAGTATTTCTGATGTTTACCTGAGAAGCCGGCCCCTATGATGATGTTCCTGTACTGTGGGTGACGATCCAGGATGAAGTCTTCATCAGGGGTGTTCTACAGAGGAATTCACAAGATAAACACAAACAGTTGTCAGCATACGGTATGACATTAGCAAATAAAGAAAAGACTAGTGTTTTTTTTGTCTTAAGTGTGCACACAAACATAAAGCTTTCAGGGACGTACACCATAATACATGATAGCCAGAAAATGATACATACATTTAATTTGTCTTTGCAATGTGAACACAAAACCAGTCATCTGACCATGCAAACTTAAGGTACAACTATGTAAGACTTTAAAACCACATCAATGAATTGAAACCTACTGCTAAATTGAACATTTTACACAAGGTCCTGTCCTTAGTGCTGAAATGTGATCCTACCCTCCCACCCCTGCTACAGTACATGGTCCTGTCCTTAGTGCTGAAATGTGATCCTACCCTACCACCCCTGCTACAGTACATGGTCCTGTCCTTAGTTTTACATAAGGATTCGTAAATCATACTTAAATGTTCACTGTACTTAGTTATATTGAAAATCACTAAATAATACTGAAAACTTACAGTATATATGCAGGACTCCTGAATAGCTGGAACACTCTCTAACCCAGGGAAGTGTTTCCTGACATAGTCACACATCATCCTCACAATCTCCTGGTTACCTCGACTACCTGCAACACCATCTCTGTCGTCTGGATCAATCACTGGACCAGAATGGTAGCACAGCTGCAGATAAAAAAACAGAAAAAACAGCAGAAAATTTAGCCTTTTGAAAGGCATACAGTGCAATGTCAGAGTGGCAAAACTGGATTTTCAAAGTGAATTTTCTAGTCATTCTTTTAATGTAGTAAGTTGAATCAATGCACCTTATACTGCCCAGGTATTGCTGTTATAGATTGTAGATACCCTGTAACCATGCACATGTACATATGTAAAATACTGGGAACGCATCTACAAATGTATAGCTACAACACCTGCACTATGCAATGTGAACCAGTCAGAATTGTGCTGAAGAAGGTCACCGAAATGTCGGGTGAATTGGTTGTATAAGAGTCTGTTTATGAAAGTAAGAATTCAGTCTCATCGATAGTGACATGTTATTAACTCTATTAAGAAGATATTATCATTAATTAATTAATAATCTTTACACTATAGCACTAGTGTAAGAATTAGGAGAGTAGAAACTGAAAGACACTCCTGGTCCCGGGCCAGGGTTCGAACCCACGACCAAACTGGGCACCAGTCCACATGCTGACGCTGTAACGATTTGGCTAAAATGTCTAGACCCATCGGCCAGGTCAGTTGGTAGCGCCTATCAACCCCCACTGTTACACCTGTTAGAAAGAAAGGCAAAGGGGTTTCTCCTCCCTTTTACAGCCACTGCCATAAGTCAATGTGCCATCCCTCTCATTTTTTTTTTCATTTTGGAATTAACTGTTAGTACCATCTATGCCCATTTTTTTCTCACCAAAACTGAAAATCACAATCACACTTCCTGCTATACCTTAAATTTCCCAGGGTATTCCCAGCTGGGCATTCCGTACAGTTCTAGTTCAGACATTCGGAATGACTCGTCTGGTATCCAGACTTTAACCCATGGAAACCCTCGGGAGGAAGAGTACATTCCGGGCACTTTTTCCTGCCAGTATGGTACAGTGATTCTAACTGCCTGTGAAGTAAAGATGATGTCTATATGGTTAAACATGTGGACAGATAGTGTGTTTTTTTCGGACTGTGCAGGTAACCAACATTTCATTCTTAAGAAAAGTATTGTCATGGTGAGATCTTTAAAGACCGTACGTAAAAACTTTTGAGCCAATAATTTCATAAGGTTGGTGAATGATTGAATAACAAAGTTCTTTATTCACAACCACTTGTTTACAAGAGCCAATGTTTTGATGACCGTCTGTCATCTTCATCAAGGATCCGGATATGATGGTTTGCTGTGAACTGTGAACCAGTTACTAGCTTCATTGCCCAGTGAACCAGCAACACCTTAAGCCTCAGTGTACAGCAAACCAATCATTATAGCCCTCAGATGTAGGTGACAGACGGTCATCAAAATTTTGGCTCTTGAAAACAAGTGATTGTGAATAAAAAACTTCAATACTCATTCATCTTTTGAGTTCATCTGTTGAAGTCTCTAGTACAGTGTGATAAATTTCTTGAGAGTGATATGATGGTTACACAGCACAGCCCCTGATGAAAGATACCTTGAATATTCCTGGGTACTCTAAGCAGGGAAGACCATATTTATGGAGAGTGGTGTGGTCTACAAACACAGGGAAACCCTTCTTTAGGGCGTACGTGCCTGGCTGCTTCTCTCGCCAGTATAGCACACTGATGCGTACAGGCTAGGAAAACGGTAACATCATCTCAAGTTGAAGACACAATGACATACAAGTATAGATACATTACATTACTATCATAAAACTGTTATCATGAAATACTGTAGGGCAACTTTTATTTCATAACAAATTACCATAATTGAGCTAAAACATGTATAGTACATGGCTGCAAAAACACATGGCTATTGTACATATTCCTTCCACCCCATTGAAAAAAAATGTTGCAACCAGTACTGTCTCTTAGCTTGCTTACACTGAAACATAAGAGACATTTCTGATTGTGTAAGAGACATTACTGGTTCTGTAAATTAAAGAAAATCCCAATATCAAAAGCATTTCATGTTTAAGATTGTGTAAAATCATCACCTTAAGAGGTGGGTGAAGTCCCAGAGGTCCCAACAGTTTCCCCGCCCAGGGCCCTGGTAGGAGGAGAAGTTTGCGTGTCTTGTACGCGGACTTGGACGTGTGGACGGTCACCACATCACCTGGGTCAATCCGCACCACCTTCTCCTCATCATGTATCCTTCCGCCATACTTCACAAACAGATCCTGACGCAGGAGAGAAAATAGCTCCAAAGGTTTACACTTATTGTCTGTTACTTGGAAGTGACGCTTGGAAGTTTATACCCGATGCAAGGAAACTATGAGTAATGACAACTAGAAATTCTTACTCATTTGCAAAGCAACTGCATAATGTTTACCTTTGCATATGGTCTATTTTGTTAATTCTTACTCAAACACATTCACATATATGGCGACAGGAGTCTAAATCACTCCTACTATAAAATTGCAACATTATGTAACCCAACACCAGTTAGTGACAGTCTGGGTCAGAGGTCAGGAACGGAAGAAGAAGAGGAGGAAACTGAGCAAAAACAATATGTTTTCCTTCGGTAAACATAATAATCAAGGTAGATCTACAAGCTTTTAGCCTAACTTTAAAAAATATTTTTTGATTTCCTATTCCAATGAGATAATTTGTAACTTCTGACCTGGAAGCACCTGAGTGCCTTGTCAGCCTTCAGCACCCCTGCCTCAGGGTCCAGAACTGCTCGGTAGTCTGCAGGGAAGCTCAGGTTTGGGAATCTCAGCTTCAGGTCATCAGAACTGAGTCTCTCAAACTCACTCCCTGCACCTGACAGACTCCGCTCTGTCTCAGCCAGCTGTTTGGATGACCGCGGTCCTACCATCAGACCACCGGTTTTCCTTGTGAAAAAAATAACAAACCGTGAAACAACATATTATCAAAGCTGAACCACTTCATCCTTAGAGGCTGTTACTAGTTACTACACACTACACACGCAGTAACAAACATTTGTGGTCTGAGAAAAATGGAATGTTAGCAGAACAATCCGTTTTTGCAGCAAAAATGATTTGGCGAATTGTTTGTTCACCATACAGAAGTTACCGCAAAAAAACGCGAATATAAGTACCAGGAAAAAAAATTATGATTTTCAGTTAAGTGCAGTTATCATTCAGTACTACTGGGCAGTGTCTACAAGGGAATAGCACGTATATACCACCTGAATAGACCAACCCTGAATGTCAATCATAATAGAAATTAATCCAAAAGTAAGATCAACTGTTTCCATTTCTATGCTTTGCTTTGCATGTATACATTAGGTGAAGATGGGCAGGACTATAGGATCGGTCTGTTGACATTTGTGTCCACCTTACATGTAGAGCTGTGTGCCTGTTTCCCGCTCCACCTGTTCCCAGATAGGGTACGCTTCGTTCATCATCCGTGCATAGTGCTGCTGGACGTACGCCTTTCGGATGATCCGGCTGGCACCGTGGGAGCTCCCTCTACTGTGCGGCAAGGGGAACTGCAGGGAAGCAACGGAGCAAATTCAGCAGCTTTAAAACGTTGATATATAATTCTCTGATCTACAATAAAGGTGGAGTTAAAAAGTGTTGTATTAAGCATGTCCTTTGTAGCAGTAGCAGTAACACCTATATGTGACCTAGATTGCAAACTGTAAACTGACTGTCCTTGGTTTGTTTACGTAACTTGGAGTCAATCATGATCAATCATTAAGGCTGTATTCTGCGGAAGTAAGTAAGAGACTTAAACTTTACTGCATGTTTCAAGAACGCTTCCTTGCCTTACCTGCTCGATGAGAAGTGTTCGGCAGCCGTTCTTAGCCAGGTGAAAGGCCGTGACGGACCCTTCTATCCCCGCCCCCACCACTACTGCGTCCCACACTTCCGCCATCTTTACCTTCTAACCTTAATTGGGACCTTCCACTGAAATAGTAGGGGAGGCCGCAAAATATATTCTCCTATTTTGATCTTTCATATGAAAGAAATTCTTCATGCAAACTTGGCTGTATTTTTCCCATCTTTTCTATCTCTTTAGACGTAGTGGAAGTTACGAAATCGATGTTTAAACTAACTCTTTGCGTTTTGCAAAACCTGATATTAAATCAAACCTCCCGACATGGCATCGGGCCTCTCAGACATGTAACGTTCTTTTAAACATTTAACTTTCAAAAACTTTCCCAAGTCCACCTCTGGTATTTCTGGCTATGAAAGTATCTATATTTAAAAAAAACAACAATGATATGCAGGGTAGAGGGTAGTCCTTTGTAATTATTTTTGCGATCTTTGTCCTTTTGCGTGGACAATTTGTGATCGGTGCCGTACTGTCTCAGGCCTCTCAGGACTAGTCAGGACTGGTCAGGTCTGGTTCCAACCAGTGTGACAACTAAGCTTAAGCAAAGGTCACGCAACAAACCTCTGACAAACATAAATTTTGGGGAAGATTGACAACCGGCTCAACCAGTTAACACACGCCCTTTTTTTCTGCAATAATATTTTGTTGCCGCTAAATGGCGCTTTTGATCCATGGCGTGCTGCTATATTTTCAATGTGTATAAGATGTATATAACGTAACGGTATTGGTTATGTTGACGGAAATAGTTCAGTTATGATTTCTAGATTATTGGGTTCATGATATTGGCAAATGATCTAGAGTATCTCTTCAATTGAATGATTAATTCTTGTGTACCTGCAAATATCCAAAGGTGCATTTACAACATTTAATAAAGGCTGCTACTGGGCTAGCAACAGAAGTTTTATTACATCAACAAAAGCTTTGCAACATTTTCACTGTACATTCCAGGTCTATGAATTGACAACATATTACATAAACTAAGTTATGCACTGCTCATACATAAATATGAATTGATTGACACTATCTGACACCTTTATATCAAGATGCTTTGAGTCCAGTTCATTCTATTTTTCTGTGGAGAATAATCACAATTTATTAAACTACCTACTAGTACCTAGTGCATTTTGTAATAGAATCTGTTGATCCATGATCATTGGGAGGAAAGATCCTTGCCATAGGTACACCTGTATATTTTTCTATTCACAGCTAATGCAACCACTGTGGTTACCTCCTCTCACTATGAGGAGGAATGATTGTCAGTGATTGTCCAGTTTTTTCTATGAAAAGTTGCAAATTCTCAACCGTCCATACTCCAGTGGTGGCGTCTCTCGTGCAGTACGTTCGTAACGTTCCCTTCTCCCGACCGCCGACCACGGGAATATCCAGCTTGGCGTATCCGAGGTGCGGCTGCACATTATTCACTTCTGTATCGCCAAGGTCAAGGTGCCTGTAGAGGTTGGAAAAGTTTGACATTGGAGAGGTAACACAAACAGGAACAAACTGTTTCATGGTGATTTCCAAAAATATGCTCAGGTCAGATGGTAAGGACATAGCACATGCATGATACATATACAGTCAAACCTGTCTATAAAGACCACTCAATGGACTTACCGGTAAGCAATTTGGTCACTATAGACAGGTGGTCTCTAATATGAGGAACCATTACCATTTATGCAGAATTTTCACCGCCGATTACGAATTACGTTTAAGTCTCAGAGCTTTATTTGCAACTAATGTACTACATGTATTATGAATTACGTTGATTTTTTGGGAGGCTGCCTATGGATTACAAAGTCTAAAAAGGCCTGATTACACCTTACAAAAAAGGGCACACAGGCCCGGGGGGGGGGGAGTCTATAGCTCTATCATACGTACCTGGTTCTAAGAGGAGGTGCCCCGAGTGCTACCATGGCTGCAGAGTCCTGACTTAAGGCCTCCAGGGACTTCTTGTAGTACTCCCCGGCTGCCAGGCTGTTCTGGAGCCGGTTCCGCATGAGGAAGGCGCTCCCCAGGGCCAGGGCACCTCCGTACAGGGCTATCCTTTTCAGTAGCTCTGTACTCACCATACTTAGCTCGGTAGTAAGAAATTATGTTCCTGTATGATAAGAAAACTTCGTTGCAGGACATGGCACAAGGCAACAAGTATTGAATATACATGTAGCACAATTAAGTATAGAATAAAATTTAACATCCTATATAATTAATTACTAGGCTAATCACGAGTTGTGATACTTTTCTTATAACAAAGTATTTTACATAACTATTAGATGTAACATGCAACAATTTCTGTACAGTACGTAGATGAACAAGTGAACATGGCAATGGTAGTGTATTAATAATCATGATATATATAATTATTCGTTCTCTATATAGAGGTGGATAATATGATTTTTTAAATCGATAATACTGTAATAAAACTCGTAAGTATCGACTCTGGTAACATGATTTGTAAAGAATCGGTGGCTAGAAAATTTATCATAACATACGCGTATACCAGGACACCAAGTGTGGGGAGGGGGCTCGTCACTGAATGACATCCAGTAAATTTCTAGCGGGGACCAATCAGAGGGCTGCTGAATAATTTGAATAATTTATCAAGGCCCACAGACGCGGTTCTTTCACTTGTAAATTAGCCAATTACCACCGAGCCGGTGGCACACGATGGGCGAAAACATGTATTTCACACCCATTGTACGTCGACATAAAGCGCTTATACATTACAAGCAGAATTTTCGTAGGACTGCCATTACTTTAGTTTGCAGCATGTGTATTGAGAACGAGTATCTTCATAATTCTGCTGGTTGTTTGTAGAAGAACGGCAAAATAAAACAGTTTTCAATACCAACACGACTTAGCAGATAACACGTAATGAAGCCCATTTTTTACGCAGATTGTAGCACTACGTAATATTACACAAACTAACAGTAGATGTTTTAAGGAATTCACAGAAATGACAATGATAGATAATGTAACGGATAAACATTATACAGCACAAAATAAAGAGTAACAGTAATGTAGTCGTCTTTGGCCGGGTATGGCAAGTTATAGTACGTACATGTATCGGTTCAATCTTTAACGGGTAAGTTGACAGCAACAAGCAAGATGCATAGGTTCTATTACTTTTGTAGCTCACTTGCGTCTAGATTTGGGACGAACCCATGTTACTTTTTCGCCGCAGTTTTTCATGTAGTGGTTACTTCGACAGCCTTTCCGCTGACGCAAACATATTAGTTTGAGGTTCCACAGTTCTTACAACGTTAGCGCTTGAAGTGGTGTTTTCCAAGTTTGTTGGTCTGGTGATGTTGTCTTTGTTGGCTTGTTGTCTGTCATTTCCCTCCATTTTTATGTTTGGCGGCCCGTCTTCGATGGGTTGGGTTTGGTTCACAACTTGATCTCGGCTTCGCTAAGATCCGTTCCTTCCCGTACGTAGTGGTCGCTCCATTAGCGCTAGTGCAGCCACATTTGAATGTGTAAAACTTAATGTCTACAGTCCCGTTTTGATTCGTTCATCAAAGTAGATTTTACTAAGGTATGACTTTACTAACTGATTGTGGAAGTACTAGTACTTAGTACTGAAGTAAACAAGAAACAATATACGCGCTCTGGTTGAGTTCAAGGCATTTACAAGAAACAAGGTGCTAATAGCCGCTAGTCGGTGACGCGTCAGCATGCAGCCCTATAATTGGTCCCCGCTAGAAATCTACTGGATGTCATATAGTGTACACGGGGGAGGGGGGTATCGCTAGCCTTTCCCCAGGAAGGTCTCCGTCGCCTTGGAAAGTGTAAGCGCCCCCCAAGTATGACAAAACCTTGAAGTCTACTTACAGCTGATCACATACACCTTGTGGTCAACATCCATTCAATGTAGAACAGAAAACAAGAGCCGGAGAATACGAGGCATGCATGCAACTCACTCACACACAGGGAGAGAAGTTGCAGACGACCTTTGGGTCAAAGGTGACTTGATAGGTCAAGGGTTACTAGCACTAACTGTATCCTGATTACCCACATCTTACGACTCTGTTCTTCACGTCATCATCAGTATTAATCACTGATACCTGGCAGTTACCTTGTTTCGCGTGTTAACAGACTTTATTTCTCGACTGTAATATCATCCCTGTTCTATAGTTTCACTTTTGTTACTCTCCAAGCAGAGGTTCGGGTTTAGGTTTATTTTTGGCGTGTTTTTAGGCTTTTTTATCGGGCTTTCTTTGTTGCACTGGTATCTTTTTTTTACGCCAACCCGCAAAAAAAGATACCAGTGCAAGAAAAAATATATATATAAAGAGGCCCCGAAACCCGAAAAAAAGAAACCAAAACCCAAACCTTTGCTTAGAGAGGAGCAATGTTCCTTCTCGGTGGATATGACCTCTGTTGCCTTTGCCCAACGGGCAACACTTAAGGTTTCTGAGTCTTCAGGTTGGATCATGGCAATTATGGTAGGAATATACTCATGCACACGCAACTTGGATGAAATACACCCCTCTTTTAAAGTGGCACCGTCCGTTAGCAATGTAACTTTCTTACCAAGTGGTTAATTTTGTCGAACTTGTCAATTTCTGTACTTTTTCCGCCACTCAACGCGTTCACATATAACATTACCTTTGTTGTCTTTGCCCACTTTTAGAACCACCAACAGTAACGTTACACTCAATTCCCCTATTCTTTTTGTCTACATAACCAAAATAGCAACAGCACTGTACTGGCAGATCACCACCGGTACAACCTGTTTCTGACCTAATTACTAGTATTCAGGAATGTCCTGGGATGTGGCACACTGTCTGCGAAACGACCCGTAACGCCACACCTTTGTGCGTCAAACGCTTCTATGCAGACGTCATCAAAGACCGCTTTCTTTCGTCACTACGTTGAAGCAAATGACAACGGAAAGGGGGACTATGATACAGGTGATCTAGGAAACACCAAAAGGACTGCAGATGCCTCTCTAGAAGTACATCGGAGCCGAGGAAATCCGATGTAGCCAACCTGAGGTGAACGAAATATCGGCATACAGATCCGCCTAGAGACAACAGGTTTAAACCCGAGGAATTTTACTTCCTGCTCGTGATAATCTGACTTCCTGCTCGTGATAATCTGTTACGCTTGGACACAGGGAACCTAGTGTCTATCACCCTTTATGATGTGCTACGTGTTTAGTGTGAAAGGAAAACCTTGGATCATCTAGTCATCAAGACCTACAACCAAACGTCGTCGCAACTCTACCACAGGCCAACATTAGGACGTAAGACCAATAGATTTTTGGGTAGGCAAACCCCACTGATACTTATGCCAGGTCCTGAGCTATACCCGAAGCACACAGAACTGGATTTTGTGTATAACAACTACAGACGGTGGAAACGCAAAATGGCTGTCTCCAATGCGAGACGCTTGGGTCGCCATGTCGTGAACGTGCTCGGGTGGCTGCTGTTGGCCGGACAAATGTTCTGGGCACCCCGACTAGTCACAGAGGACACAGCCTGTAACTGTGCTACATTATCAAGAGCCAGGTAAGTGTTAGAAATGTGTTTCTGTCATATTTCACCACTATGGACGACGCTATGTACATGTGTAATTACTTCATCCTATACAGTATTGTTTTTGACTTGTCTGTCTGCTATGTGATAAGAGGTGAAAATATTCTAGTCAAACTTTCTAGTCAAAACACATGATGGAAATACGACTATATATTGAGTTTCTTTCGCTACACAACCCTAAGTTCTGAACATGTATACCGGCCGACGTTTCCGTAACTCCTCGGCTGCTGAATTTACCATACTGATTATAAACCAGAATTATATGGCGATATCTTTGAACCATCTAACACACTTCGTAAAATGCTGTACGTGTTGTCTAAACTGATTGCAAAGTGGAAAAGAAAGCCCTCAGGGAATTCTAAAATGTACTTCTGTAGAACTCTTGTAACATTTGAAAAGGGGAAAGTCGAGAACTACTGGTTCAAATCAGAGTATAATGATTGATTAACTGAACCATTCAAATATTATGTATGAGAAAATGAACACAATGTCACAACCTATTTAGATTATTCAGTACCCTACTTGTCATGCGCGGTGATTGGTCTAGAGGAATCACGTGATGCATCTCACTCTAGCTCTATATAGGGCAAGCGGAGGAAGATCTCTATCAGTGAGCATTCCAGAGGTTCTCCGTCCGCCCAACCCTCGACATTTTCGGGGGGGGGGGGGGCAGCGGGCGCCATGACCTTAATGATACTTAGGGCTCCAGACGGCAGTATCCCCATCACTCATTCCGGAGGAAGAGGACTGCGCATGATAAATAGAATACTTCTGTTTACCTATGCATATCTTTTCTATGTATAGTACCAACGCAACTTTATAGCATAATAATAACTCGATATATTCAACTTTCAATCATATCTTTATTCTGCCAATTCCATTCAGATCTGTTAAAGGCGCCAATACCAACAACTGGGACAGAAGAAGCTTGAGAAGACTTTTCGAAACAACAGAGACAGGGGACTTCCCGGATAAAGAAGAAGCTCAAGCGACACTGCTGAACGATCCCAGTCTTCTGGAAAAGCTTCCGGATCGAGAGTTTGATCCACAAGCCGGAGAAAAAATGAGGTGAGCCAAAACATACAATACTAGAAAGGTAACATTTGCAAAGCAAATGCATAATGATAATGTTTACCTTCGTATAAGGTCTGCTCTGTTAATTCTTACTCAAACACATTCATGTCATATGGTCAGACAGGAGTCTAAATCCCTCCTGCTAAGAAAAGTGATTTTATGGTGGGGGAAAACCAACATGTTCAGTGATACTGATTTCAGTGAGAAGTATATAATTAACATACAGTAACGTAACAGAAACAAAAATTGTACACAATTTTTATTCAAACATATACATGTATGAGATGTAACATCTGTGTCCATAATATCACCAGGGTCCATAATATCGCCACCTTGAGAAATAGTGTGCTTAAAGATATTTTTACTGTAAAAATATATTTTTATTTTTATAAAAAAATATTTTTACTGTACATTTGATGTGTGAAGGAGTGCATACCAAAAGTACGTTACAGTAAAAATATCTTAAAGCACACTGTTTCTCAAGGTGGCGATATTATGGACCCTGGTGATATTATGGACACAGATGTTAAACAGAGAAGGAGGAAACATATTAAAGTAACATGCAAAAATTCAACATTGTATTGAACCTGTCTTTCGACTGTTCAATATTGCATTACATATTTTTTTATTGATTTTAGGACTGAGTTGCTAAAGAAGACTGGACTCCGGGAGTATCTTTACGCCACCAAGAAAAACTTCCCTGTTGGAGCCACCATCCCTGCCTTACAGGAAATAGACAATACGGTGAAACAGATCCTACCAGTGCACCATGCGGTCTTCCCAGAGGTACGGCTTTAACATAACAGCAGTCAGATATCTGCAATAGTATCTTTATCTTTTTTTATATTTCAACATTTATCACATGGCGATGCCACACTCAATTTTTTATTATTTTTTTAAATATTTATGCCGCCACCAACGCAGACAAACGCACAACAACAGCCATACTCATTTCACCTGAAATAAGTGAGGAATTCGAACTCGGGGCCTCTTGGTTCCTCTTGGTTTTAAACATTCGGGTGTGGACGGGAGGTTCGGTCATGGTTAGCAGGCGGTTGTCTGGCATTCATGAGTAGGTAGAGGCGTGGCTGGGGTCAAATCTGATCTAAATTTTACTCAAATTCGATTCTTTTAGAAAAGTAGGCGTGGCCTAAATCTTGTCGTACAACAAAAAAAAACCTAACACATTATTCCTCTAGGATATCCAGTTGCCGAATTCCCCTATGCAGAAATGTAGTGTGGTTCTAAATGGTGGAATTTTGCGAGGAAGCCGATGTGGAAAGGAAATAGATTCGTCAGACTATGTCTTCAGGTGAGAAGAAATCGTTTTACACATAAGATTGTTAGGATTGTCAAGATTGTAAAAGACTGAGTTGAGTAAAAAGAGGAAAGGTTTTCTAATTGTAGCTGCAGCGTTTTTTGTTGTTGTAGCTTGAATCAAGGACGCAATACCCTTCCTTGAATTGGGGTTCGTTTAATAGTAAAATGAATACTAGTAATCTGTTTACGAAAGTCTGTTTTCTCAAGTTTGTGCTTTTGTCATGTTTGTTTATTTCTGTGTTTGTTTGTTTGCTGAATGCAGGGACGACATCCCACCTGTAACGTATCAAGCTTTCAGAAACAAAGATGGCGACTTCGATCAACGTCACGTGACTTACTACAGAGACGTCGGCAACAAGACCAACTTTGTGGCACTGAATATGTCACATGTCGTCTTCGATTAGTGAGTCGGACGATTAGATTTCTCCCATAATTTACTAAAAAAAATCCCCCTCTAGTGGCACAAATGGCAGCAGGTTATTTTTTCTTCCGTCTTTTCGTCTTTTATTTAAATCCGGAGGCATGATGATGATGATGATGATGTCTGTCAAAGTCATTTTGGTCAAACACTACTCTCCAAGCAGAGGCTTGGGTTTTGGGTTATTTTTGGCGTGTTTTAGGCTTTTTTTTATCGGGGTTTCTTATTTGCACCTGAATTTTTTTTTCACCCAACCCAACAAATTTCAATGCAAAAAAAGAAACCCCGATAAAAAAGCCTATTATAGAAAAAACGCGCCAAAAATAAGCCAAAACTGGCCAAACCTCTGCTTGGAGAGTAGTCAAATACCGACATTATTCTTGGTCTGTTAAACACAGTTTTAAAGGAGACATGCAGCCTGCAGAGACATATCTTGTAGTGTATCGACGGTACCTGAAACAGTACAAGGAACAGGGGAGCCTCATCTGGACCCACCTCTTCCCGATCGAATCCGAGACTTTGGTGAGTTATTTCCGCTAGAAGTTCTCTCGTCCCACACAGTACACACTGTAAGCCATCAATCTTCAAAATACCACCCATGTCAAAGGCATCCAATGCAGTTTTTAGGAATGTGAAAAACTCGATTCTTCAAAGCCAATATTCTAGTCATTTATCGGGATATCTACATACTGAGTTGAAACCACAGTGTCCAATGTACTAGTATATTGACCCTCATGGAGGAAAAATACCCAAAATTCTGACGAAAAATGGTTAATGGAAGGGCGCTGGGCTGATTTTTAGGGTACCACCCAGAAAATGATGGACTCATCTTGGGGCTTCTTTCTGCAGTTCTAGTGCCAAAAGTATGAAAAGCTGAAGCAAATGTGCGAATATGAAGCAGTATGTGTCAATATCACAAAAATTGCCTTATTCAGAATATTTCCAGTTTTGCTGCCCTGAAATCGCATCGGATGCCTTTAAGCTCAAAAAAGGTACACAATCCCCCCCAAAATCGTTAGTTTATCATATGCATAAGGACTCCCCCTCCCCGAATTTAAATGCACCATCCTCTATACATGGTATGTCGTTCAAGTTTAAATTCAAGGCTCATAGAACTACATGTCTTCACTAGTCGAGCAGTTAGGTTTCACAAAGCAGTAGACATGTAAAACATGAAACGCAGTATTCACCTTTTTCCGATGAGTTTTAAAGAGAGCATTGTGCCAATGAATAATGTGTTGCAATATGTTTTGAACCGCTAGGCTCTGAGGGCGCTACGCTCCATGTTCATCAGTACGGTTTTCCAAAGGCTGGGCGTGGCCAGTACCATGGTAACGTCACACCCCAGGTTCATACAAGGTGTGCAGGGCTTCTGGAAGGAGCTGAATCTCAGGAGTCCACGCGCGTCACATGGTGAGTCATTATGAAATAGAAAAGGGTAGATGCAAACAATTGTCTGTTAACGACAGAGTATGTAAATATTGTACAGGAAACGCAGTGGAGGATGAAATGCACTTTATTTGCCATTGCCCTCATTATAGCGCCGAAAGAGATAAGCTATTTGAAATGGTCACCAAAATGTTCCCTAGCTTTATTCACCTTCCCAGCCTACAAAAAACTGCATTTCTATTAACACCTCCCAATTCATACTTCTCGCAAAATGTTGCTCCAAAACTTCAGCCAACCATGGTCGATTGGTTGTCAAAACAGAAACTACAAATGCTGAATGTATGACTTTTTCGACTGATGTTCGACATTAAATATGAGAGATTTATTTCATTTATTTTATTTTATTTTATTCACATGGATTTTTGAGCATTAGACAGGAAGCACTCGTTGTGCTTATGTGAATCCGCTACTCATAAAACATAATACAAAGTAAACATAAAGATGACATATGTGAGATTACTTATCATTTTCTGACTCTCAAAAAAAACATGCAGACTGAAGATAATATTTCAGCCTGATAAGAGTGATATTCTATTTCTCGTTTGAGAGCAAACTGCTCTCTTTATGAAATTTGTTCAGCTAATATGATATTTTATATCTTTGATTCTCAGGTCTGATCATGACAGCCATTTCCATGGCACTGTGCGAGGAAACCCACCTCTATGGCGTCTGGCCCTTCCCGGTGGACTACGAAGGCCGACAGGTACATTACCGCTACTACTACGGAAGCGATTCCGACCAGATGCGCGAAAACTCAGAGTACGACTTTCAAGAGGAATTCGACCTTTTGCGAATATTACACAAAAGAGGATTGTTAAAACTACACATTGGGACGTGTAGCGCTTGAAACACAAATTTAGTCCTTTTTGTTAACTTAATATGAAAGACATACAATATGACTTAGGCATACAATATGACTTAATGTTAGAAACATTATATTTGTTACCAAACGTCTGTGGATCCAGAGATATAGTACTGCAACATGATCTTTATTTTATGTCATGTCTAACATTAGTTAATATTTGCACCAACAGTTGTTATAGAATAATATTTTACTCTGTGAGTTCTAACTGAGCCATCGTTGGCACGTTATAGTTCTGCCACGAATACATATAACGAGTAGGCATGAAATAAAACGTATATAACTAGAAAGGTAACATTTCCAAAGCAAATGCATAATGTTTACCTTTGCATATGGTATGCTCTGTTTCTCACATCCATATATATGTTCAGACAGGAGTCTAAATCCCTCCTGCTGTAAAATTGCAACATGATGTAACCCAACACCGTTAACATGGTGACAGATGTCTGGTTAAGGACATTGACCTTATTGGTTCGGAGAAGAAGAGGAAGAAACAGGGTAAAAACAATATGTTTTCCTTCGGTAAACATATAATAAGTAAGATAAGTGATGAATAGAACGTATAGTCTGTACACATGCGTCTAAGTGTAGCACAGACTAAATATAATACTAGTAATTGAAAAATAAAGTTTTAATACAGAGTTTTTTTAACGGTGTCGCTCAATGCAAGGCCAATTATTTTTGGCCACTTCTAGGCATAGAGCTAGAGGTACTTAAGTGAGTATAATGTAGTTATGTCAGGAAATGGCGGTGGACCTTTGTTTTGAAGCTTTGTGGATTGTAATCGGACGGAAAGCAGCTGTTTGGAAGAGAGTTCCATAATTTTGCAGTCCGGGGAAAGAAGCTGTTGTTGTAAAATGAATTGGAGACAGGTATGTTAACGGTGTATTGATGAGAGCTGGAAGAGAACCTAGTGGCACGCTGAAAGGTTCTGAGCGGCGGAACAAGAAGTGCAAGTTCTCCTGAACATCGACCGTGAAAATATCTGTAAAAGAGGGATAGGGATGCGACATTGCGTCTGTGTGAGAGGAAATCCAGCTTTGCGGTCAGAGAATGGCCGATGGCAACACAGATTCTCCTTTGAATGCGGTCTAAAATATGTAGGCAATCTTTTGGGGCACCAGCCCAGAGATGCGAGCAATACTCTATGCAAGGACGGAGACTAAGTTTTGAAGTGATTGGTCATTCATTATCCTGATGAAGGCAATAGTGGTCATTCAAAATTTGATCTCTGTGTAATCCTTGTGTTGGAATAAAGTTCAACATTGTACTATGATTACTACCAACATAACTTTCATGACGCTCATACTATGTTCCCCAAATCAACACATACGCCTGGAGGGACAAAGAGCACACGACTCGTTGCTAACAGACGTTGTAAGAATGTCGTGAAGTTGTTCTAACGACATAATACAGTCCGCGAGAAGAGCAAACACTTTATCCGACACGACCCAGCTTTTCAGCACGATCACGACGACAGTTGCTCGACAAATAACGACAACACGATCTGAGCGGAGTTAACAACACAAGGTCGTGATGGTTTGTGGCTACCGTTTCCAGCGGGTACTACTGTAACTCGCTTTGTCTTCGCGGTAGCAAAATTTCATCACGATCTGAGGAAAATGGACGTGTTCACAGAACTTATCTTCACGGAAAGGGGGAGGAGGGCCAAAGACAAATAATTTGATAACGATAATGATAAAGATCACGGTAAAATAAGTGACAACCGTGAACATTAAAGTACCGTGAAAAAAACAAGAATTACAGTATGTGACGTCATGTACAGATGGGGGCGTAGTTTAGAAGAGGGTAGCTAGCCCGGGTGACAGTACACTAAAGTAGAGGAAACGGTCTGCATGACAATTTATGCTTGACGCGGTCACTGGAAGTGCACGTGCATCCTACATGTTCAAAGACAAACCTTGCCGCGGCTCAAGAATTCGCAGATCTCATACCCCCATGCAATTTCATGTTGCAATCCCCTTCTTTGTCATGCAAGGGAAACAACACAAGTTGTCAAGGAGGCCATGTAACGAAAAACACCTGTAAAACAGCCAGTGCTACCAGATGTTAACGTGTTTAATGACTTTCTCTCTCTGGGACAGACTGAACCCAACCATATCCATTGCAACCGGACCCGAGGGCCATGTACAAACACAGAAACACACACACACACAGAGAGAGAGAGAGAGAGAGGGGGGGGGAGGAGAGAGAGAGACACACACACACACACACACACACACACACACACACACACACACACACACACACACACAGACAGACAGATGAAAAACAATACCTCCTTTTTTCATGGAGGTAACGATAAACACGAGAAAACAGTGTGCTTTTCCCACGCAAGCCGAAGACAGGGACATTTGAGAAGCATGCATGGGAATAACGTTTGTCTTCTCCCCGCCTGGACACAGAACACACCGCGTTCTGTTTGTCCGGGAATGCTGACCTTTAGGGATGGTCCGAGGGAACGTGATAAAAGATCCCGCACCTCTCCCTCTGTCTCCCTCTCTGCCAAGTCCATTGACATTCACCAGATTCATTCTTAAAGACGCTGTCGTAGAATCGGCCTCAATAACGCAATAACTTGTTTCAAGTTAAAACTTTTGCTCCAACACAAAGAAGTTCTCTCACCTAGAGCTTTCGACCAGCCAATCTTGTCTTCCTCAGTAGAATGACTCAGTGAGGCTTGTCACGTGGCTTCTGTGAAGTTTGACGTCAACACTGGGTCAATAACACAATACTTGTTAGTACTAGCATCTACGCTCTGACATCGTATGGTCTTCTAGAATCTTGAGACACATTCGAGTTTCACTATAAAGAAAGAATCACAACAGCACTAAACTAATGTTTTTGGACAGAAAAGATTTCATATGGCTCTTCCCTGTCTCTTGTAATCTTTTTTTAAGAATGATGAGAGTGAAAATCTTTACATTTAGCCGTTAAATTTCTATAAGAAGCATGTGATGCGTTTCCGTTGAGAAAAGTTGATATCTGAATATGAAATATTCGTACATATTCTGAAGGTTGTTTATAGAGAATGTCTATCAAACGTTGAGTTTTTACACTTGGACAGTTACTAGTACTACTTTAATTTGTAATTTCAGTTCTTTACACTTTCTACGTATGACGCACGTGTCTGCTATGACGTGAAACGATGTACGTATTGTCGGGGTCCCCTGAGGGAAGCCGTCTGCCGTACCAGATGTTCTCGGGCGGTTCACTTCAGTTCGCTCCTCACCCAGGCGGCAAAATGGTCGCGCCGCCTGCGTAGCACCTCACGACTTCGTTTCCTAACTCAATTACACGGTTGACTGAAGGTTGGTGTGATGAACATCAACACTAATTAACGTTTGAAAAAACGTTTGGAGACGTGAGGAGGAGGTAGTGTTGAGATGTGGAGCGCTAGAGAAGTGTTGTTTTCTACGACGCGAAGAACGAGTTGCTGAAGAAGATGGCGGGTTGTTCTCGAGAGTTTCGCTGGTCATCCTTACTCCTCAACCACGAGGACCCTCGGGCGTTCTACAGGTCCCCGGTAGGTCTCAAGTTTAACTCTTTCTTGGCACACTTGTAGGACATTTGGGACATTGCTGTTGTTGTAATGTTCTTAAATACGATCTGACCCTATTCCAAACCTTACCCTATTCCAATCCTTGCCAGAACCCATCCTGATCCCAATCCTAACCCGCGAATCAATCTTGATCCCAATCTTAGTCCGAATCCATCCCGATCCCAACCCAATCCCGAACTCAGACGGATGTCTTCCAACAGTGGCGTCTTCGGACAATCCTTGCTTAATCTGATAGGAGACAGGGTCAAGTTAGGAGCTGTCCAAAAACTGCGTCAATGGTCTGATACAGCAGTAGTTCGATTAGAGAGGGGATGTTCCAAGTTTGCAACGAAGATCGACTCCATGTATGCGTGACAAAATAGTTAGTCTTTGTATTATTTTATACTTCGTGCAGCATTCTTATTCTTAGCCTTATGCTTAGTTATGCATTTACGTACCGCATCGCCTGAATTCGAAACCGTAAAAAATTGACAAGAGTCATCAACCTACAGACCGGGGAGAACAAATAAATGGCAAAAGACGAAATATTCTAGATCTCTTGCACCAAATTCAAGGCATCCCTATAAACAAATTCAATGCTGAATATTTTGTTTCATTGTACAAAGAGTTTAGTAGCCAAAAGGAAATTTCGTTTGTTTGGTAGAATGGTGTGGTATTCGTTATATCTAGTTTACTAATTGAAAAGATTTTCCATCTTGTTACGTTTTCGCTTTTCGCGACAGGTACAATGCTTCACCCACTTTGTAAAAACGAGCTGTCAAAGAAAGCTAAGCTAAGCCATGTTTACGAGATAGTTTGCCCTTGTATGACGTCATGAAAGTGACCCTTACTGGCAGTGCGTGTGGCCTACTGCTACTGCACTTATACTGCATTGGACGTATACGTATTTTCACCAAGAAACCAAAGTTTGAATCACACACTGAAAATGTGGTGTAGTTGTTTGACTGGGCCCTAAACAGACAGTCTGAAGGGGAAAAGAGCCAGCTTGTCTCAAAATCTCTATCTTCTTTAGAAAGCCTAGTTTTTCTTTCTTTCAAGAGACAAACGCTTTTTCTTCAACTTGCAGTGTGTTACGAAAAAAAACCCTCAAATGCGATAGTTCACATTCCAAGTGTCTTTTACTATAATTTTCCAACAACGATGCTGTGATATGTACCAATGAGATACACTGTACGTTGAGATAATTCGGATAATTCTTTAGAAAAAAAGCTTCGCGAACCCGCGAGTTTTTGTTGATTTGCAACAGACTGCGATGTCGTCTTCCTGACTGACGGTAAATGTCAGGAGTTCGAAGTGCGGACCCCTGGCGACCTTCGCCGGAAGGACACGCCCACCCCCATTGTTCCAACCTAACCTTGACTTCCTTTTATGAAGAATTCCCGCTGTTACCTAGGCCCGGACATAAATCAAGTGTCAGCCGGTAGTTACCCTTGTTCAAAGGCATGTTTGTCGCTAACAATGACAGGCAGTGCGCAGAGGCTTGCATCCCGATATGCTCGTTACCCCCGATTACACGTTGCTAGGACGGGAGAGACGTTGAACTCAGCCACGCTAATGAGTCGTAATATTGATGTGTCTGCTTCTCCGCTTCTGATCAAAGAAGGTTTTCAAGTTCCTGAAAGTGGGCAATCTCTGGAGGACTCCCCAGGCCTTCACAGAGCGGTGGACACATTGTATCGTCAGTTGAATACAATTCTGCCAATTCCGCATAGCACCAGCACTGTTGAAAGTGTTGAAAGACTGTTTAAACTTAAAATTCCAGGCTTACATAGCTAATAATAAGGTTTATTGCAAGTTCTTGTCCGTAGGCTAATTGCGTGTACATGGAAATAAAGAATGGACAATAGTATGTGACTACTCTAACTACTTAACACTAATAAAATCTAACTTATAGGTTTCGACTTCTTTTTTTTCGACACAGGGGAAGACGAATGATCCCACTTTTCTATGATGTGTGGGTTTTGTGATGTTATAAGGAGAGTAGTTTTCTTTTCGTGATAATGATAATGATGAAGTTGATGATGTCCTAATAAAGTCCTAACTTTGTCATCTGAAATCAGGTCCAATATCAATACTTGGTCTTCTTGAAATAATGACCCGGTCTGGTAAAAATTAAGACAATGTTAGAACGGTAACACCCATGTCCTTTACTTTGTGTCTAGTGGTTGGTGAATCTGTGCATAGTTATAGTCTGTCCTGTCGCATTAGATTTGAAGTCTGAGGAGGATGTCATCCATAAAATTTACTTGCTGTGGCCTAAATGCTAAATATGAAATAATTCGACCTGTTCGTTTGTTGTTGCTTTTTTAGTAGTGGATGAAGATTTTCGCGTAAGATAAAATCATACTAGTAGTATAATGGGAACTTTGAACCAATGCCGTATATTTCTCCTTTGTTTCAGTGGTTGGTGAACCAGAGGATTTTCCTGGCCTACCGTGTGACGTTAGCTGTGGTGTTGGTGGCCATCTTGGTGTGGGACTTCCTAGACGGACCTTACAACAAGTGGCACATCTACTACACCAACTGGGGCTTCACTCTTCTTACCTGCCACGCCGTGTGGGCCGCTATCGTCTGCGTGATTGGCTACAGAAACGAGCGAAGCACGAACGATTCCGAGTCGGACCGATCGTCCTCGAGCGACGACGACGACGTCCGAGCGCCACCCGAGCTCAGCCACGGCTACGTCGAAGTGCCCGAGGTCAAAAGCTACGACGTGAACAAAATAAAGGACCCGCTGAAATGGTACCATAAAGTAGAATGGGTTCTTTTCAACATCGCTATCCCGCTCGCTTTCTATCTGACAACGGCCTACTGCGGTTTCCTTTCCTCCGGCACTTTTAAAGTCATCAGCGTTTTCGAACATATCATGAACACCGTCCTCGCTACGTTAGACCTGTTTATCTGTGGTATTCCCGTGAGGTTGCTTCATATCGTACACGTCTTCATGTTCGGCTGGATCTACGCGGGGTTCACCATCGTGTACTGGGCGGCAGGCGGGACCAACGCCGAGGGGGAACCGTACGTCTACTGGTTCGTGGACTACTCCTCGCACCCCGGCCGGGCGGCGTGCTTCATCGCCGGCAGCGCGCTCGTCGGCACCTCGGCTATCTACCTCTTCGTGTACGGACTGTACAGGCTTCGGGTTGCCATGGTAACGTGCGTGACGGGCGTCAAGGCCAGGAAGGTCGCTGCGGTGCGGAGTATTTCCACCGACTCCACAAAACCCTGTATCACTTTGGAAGCCTGAATGGCGGACAGGGAAATAGCGCTATGATTGTCAACTCACACATACCCATCCTCACAAAGCTGGGGTATCATCCATTCCCAGTAGCCTCTACCAGGCTTCGGGAAGCAGCTACAAAGAATAGAAATAGGCCAAATAGACAGATAGCACGCCGGGAAAGTTGGTCCGCTAAGAGTACTGTTAGGCAAACTGTACTCTTTCCATCAGCTTCCCAAAGCCTGACAGAGGCTGCATTCCGATCAACTTCGCGTGGAACTTATTTATTTCCCCCTCTCCTTCCAACCAGTAAATATAACTATGTCCTACGAAAACTCACGACATAGATCGTGAGCGACGAAGAACGCCATAACTTTTATGATAAAAACTTATATATATCGACAGGCAACTTAAAGCCATTTCAGCAATGTAAGCTGCATCTAACAGTGATGTTTTATCTATATAATTATAGAATGATAGATTTGTGGCACGACCATAGTTGAAATAATTCTACAATGGCTATGCCATAAAAAATTGATACGCAGCTACGTAGAGCTAGTTTGAATCTTAATGCATCATTATATATAATGAAAACTATATTATACAACGGTAGTGATATTGTATGGATGATTATATAATGTAAATAGATTTAGGAAAAGAACTGTTGGACGACTTATGAATGGTAAATGTACGTTCAGCTAGAGACTTGTTATAATCATAAGTATGTGTATACAACAAACTATTAAAATGTCAATCAATAATCAAACAACAGTAACAAATGCAAAACATTTTACCTCGAAACTAATCACAACACAATAAGAGCTATTGAATGGAGTTGTCATCGTTATCGTTATCGATACATATGTATCATTTTGTCTTGATACATATACATTTTGTATTGTATATAATGTTATTGTTATCATTTTATTATCGATTACATATATTACGCGCATATGGTTTCTGTTATTCGGTATAGATGCCCATATATTTGCATGTTGGCTCTTGAATATATATTTGATGTATGTTATCATACGCCTACTTCAATTATGTACATCTGTCAATTAGACAGAATACAATGTTGTTTGTATTTTAAAATGACAACCAATATGTTGTGACAAATAACTGCCGCCCGTTCATATCTGTAAATGGGCACTTCTAGGTAGTTTTAGTCTCCTGAGTAAATGTGACTAGAAATAAAAGACTTATTTCTCGAACGTTAATGATGCCCCTTGAACGTTTACCTTTTAAATAGTTTAACAGCAGAATTGGGTTCCTCTTCCTCTTAATTACATATGTCAAAAGTTTGAATTGTGTCCTATCATGGAACGCAGCAGATTTACAGAGGGTCGGTTTCTGAGTTATCCTACTTAAAACATTTTCATACAAACGCTCTGCAGTTCCCAAACAAGCTGCTATGGGGCCCAAACTTACTTCACTTCTTTCTAAGCACAATAGCTACCTACCATCCAAACATCATGACCCAAACATGTCCAGATCACGAGATATCAAAACCGGAAGCTCCGCTGCAGTACTAAAACAAGCCGCCAGGGGGCCCAAATATAATCATTTCGAGCTCTCATCAAGACCTACCCACCTAGCAAATATCAAGATAATCCATCTAAGCCTTCTCGAGCTATGTTGTTCACACACACACACACACTCACACACGCACAGACACACACAGACGCAGCCACGAAAACATGCCCTTCTTGGCGAAGGTAACTAGAAGCTAGAGATGATCTTAAGTTATCTGCTTGCCACTCACATGTAATTTCTACGTATGACTCCGCCCCCTTCTTACGTCATCGCCGTTTGTAAACACAGTTGAAGTTCCAGTGACGTATGCAATCACGTGATAACAACGTGTCCCCGTCCTCATTACCTATTTAACAGACGTTTGGACATTCCTTTTCCATTGTCAACACTTCAAATCATCTTACTGACAGGTGAGTTGGCTGAGTACGAGTAGGGGCCCGGGGTCATTTGTATGGCACATCATACTTAAAATTATTAATAGACAGTATATATTTCAGCTGCTCGACCGCCATACTCTTGTCAGAAGTTCTTCTTCTAAACTGCGTTGAAAGTGGCTGTGGTGACAAAAATAGCGTCTGTCTGTACGGGTTTGCGTTTCTAAACGCTTGCTCATTTTTACTCATACACATGCACCGGTATTTGTCATTGTAGTCAGGGAGTTAAGTCAGAATGGTCAGAATGTATGTTATTCATAATATTCTCTTTAGGGAAGTCAGTCTTTAGTCAGACCTTGCGACTACCTATACTTCACATACATGTATGTACGTTCGCATAATGTTGCCCTGGTTATACGCCACAGGCTACTGTATCTAAGGCAAACAGGAGTTTACTGAGTCTTTACAACATCAAATAGGAGTCTATAAAACATCCAGATTTCTTGAGAAAAGAGTGACAGAATCTTGTCTTGTGCTTATGTCGTTGTTTGCACAATGTGCTGCGTCCACTCGCCAAATGTGTAGAATCCATAGCGTCATACATATATAGGCTGTGACAGTGTGCCTAGCGCCTGGCTAGTTTGTGGATACTCAGTATCTGTGATCTGTCAGGAGACTGGTTTGACCGGATCGACTACAGTTCTCGTCTGAATATGATGTCATCTATGGAAGGTCAGAGGTTATCCAGGGAGGGCTGCCGTCGTTTGTGTGTGAAAAGTAAGGCCAGAGAAATTACAGGGAGGGGATTACTGAATTGTATGTAGTAACACTGTATCAGTATGTAAATTGTAAAGCAACACATGCAGAATGCTTGCAGTTCTCATCTTGCCCACAAGGGTCACAAAAGCACCACCTGTACCTTCAATGTTTACGGGTTTTGTAGTCTAGTGAGGGGACGGGTAGCTGTTAATTTGACACTAAGTTTTCTTCATCTTTTCTACAGGTGCAGTTCTATTCGAATTCTACTTGGTCACTTCTTCCGCGTGAGTGTTCTTCGATATAAACAGCCTCGAAACACAACATGGAAGAAATCGTCCCGCTCAAAGAAGAGGATCTCTTCCCCTGTCCTCTCTATGACCGTAGGTGGTTTCAGATTCTCCGCCTGGTCGCGATTCCACTCGTACTGTACTTGTGTGATATAATCACAGACGTACTGCTGGCGGTTCAGTACTATAACAGCGGGGACACTGTCTGGTCCTCCTGGACTTTAGGACTTGTCGTCTTGTCCCTCATTATCACCAACGTTTCCTCAGCATGGCTCAACAGGAACGAAGCTAAGAACAAGCCTGCTATGATCAGGCGTGGCTGGTGTGTGTTGTACCTCCTACAGCTGGGTATATTCCTGGAGTACGGGGACTTGTTTGTGAAGGTGTGGAGGAGGCAGTTTATCCGAGTTCGCGGAGTATCCGTGTTGAAGAACATGTACAATCTTCCCATTCTACACATGATGGGCGCCATGTTGGAGAGCGTACCTCAGCTGTGTCTACAGATCTGCATCCTCGCCAGCACTGGGCAGCAGGTGAGCATCCTGACGAAGGTCACCTTGGCGCTGTCGCTGCTGTCTGCTGTCAAGGCAGCTGTCGTGCTGCTGTACTACACGTCGTCCCTCATGGTGGAGAAGCTGACAGGCGGACTGGTAGCCAGAGTGGTGTTGATCGTCATTTGGAAGCTGATAGAAATCAGCGCCCGCACTCTTGCCATTGGACTGTTCGCATCCACCTTCAGTGAATGGGTACTAGTTCCCATCGGTGTTCAATGGCTAACCATGATGTTTGTGACATTCTGCACAGATGAAGAGGACCAAGGGTGCGTGGAGGTGTTCTTCAGCGGCCTAGCCATGGCGTTAGACACGGCCACGACGGTAAAGACCCTGGATCACAAGCGGAGGTTCTGGTTGAACTCCGTGCTGACTCTGATCGGGAACGTGGCCATGGCGTCGGTGTGGGTGTCTCAGCGGGCCGGGAAGGACTGGTTCGACATGCCGGCCCTGGTGTACGTGGTGCTCGGGTCGGTGATGGGGGCGGTGATCGGGGTGGTGGAGATGGTGATACGGGGAGAGATCACGTGCTGTTCCGACGACACAGAGGACTATGAAACGGCCAACGCCATAACGGCGAAACAGGAGCAAGATGATGCGGAGAATCCGTCAGATGAAGAAGAAGAGGATTCAGTGTGAAACATTATAAACGGGGGCAATACAAAAATCAAGTCAAAGTGTGGTCCGATCTGCTCATAAATGTAACGTCAGAATGTATTGGTTAGCTATATATAGAAGAACATTTTATCTTTGAGTTTACTAGTAAAATCAGATCGTACTTAACTTCTGTGAGCGCAAATAAATAATGATACTATTCAAGGTTTTTTTTTATAGTAACCAGGGTATGTATTATTTATTGTTCTCAAATCTATAGATATAGAACTAAGTCTCCCACATCATTACATCTTACATGTATCCATCGTTTGACAAACCGGATATGTTGATTTACATGGTTATAGATATCAATGTAGAGCTGGATGGATAGATTGCCAAAGCTCAGAGAGTATTAAAACATTGAAATGACTGTATGTGGCTGTGTACGTGACTTAGACGCAACCATGTAGTCGCAAGAGGTAACAAACGTTGATAGAAAATATTAAAGGTAAAAAGGTCTATGCATCGGTACGGTATTACAATGTACATCATAATTAGGCCCAGTCAGCGCAAATGACGACAAACGATACGATAGCCACTCATTGTTTGCAGAACTCTCGTAGAGTTCTGACCCGCAATATCCGGTCTTTGTCTCAGCAGTCCTCCAGACTTAGACTGTCAATAACAAAGTCCGGCGGAGTTACCTCAGGCCAAACTAAGGAGAGTCACAAACGTTAACGGCAGTGGCAAATTCATATACATAACAGTCAAACTTTCAGCTTTTTTTAAAGGTACAATTGAACTGCACTTTCATGACGAGGTGGATTTTGACCCATGTACACCCGTACATTCAATTTAGAACGTTTGACTCCGGTTATTAGTACACATAGGTCTTTCAAGACCCAAACATCCCTCTATTTACACTTAAATTAAAGCAAAACATGAGTGATTTCTTGTCCGTTTCTCAGTAACTGACGTTTTGGACTTTATAACAAAACATTGTCCATACAATTGCAAACCGGCCTGACCTTTGATTTAGGGTTTTCGGATCGTAAACATGTTTATTTTGTCCCAGCTGCCCCACGAAGCCTTGTTTGCAAGCTCTTGACTTTTAAGTCTGGACAAAAACTTCTGCAACACACAGTGGACTTAAAGATATAGAAGCAAGAATGAAGAAGATCTGGGCTGTTCTACTCGTCCTGTGGGCCTGTGTACCTGGCCGTTGTCTGGTGGTGGGAGGGCTGGCGAGAGCCGGGGAAGGTGCGGCAAGATACCGCCGGGAAGTGACCGACACCGGTACGTAGGGGCTGATCAAAATAGCACGGAAACATTCTCGCCATTCTATATCCAAAATGTATGCTATGCATAGCGCCCGTATATCAACCATATATATAATATTTTTATGATCATAAATTCAGCAACCGTTCCTCAAGATGGTTGTAGGGCCTGAAATAGACAGAATTGAATTTGCTAGTAAATCGGTTTCTTTGTCTTCGAATTCGTCGTAGCATTTGTATACGTTGTTCTGACATGTACTGTCCTCTCAGCTCAGGACTGCAGTGCGGAACTAAATCGCCAGAGAGAGCTGAACAGGGTTCTCAAGGAGGAGAATGCACAACTTACTCGCCTGTTGGTCGCACAGCAACCAGAAAGCCGACAGGAGGCAGACAGACCTCCATCCGTACAGATCATCCGAACGGAAGAGGGGGCGGAAACCAAGGGTCCAGGATTTGAACTCAGGTATTTCCGTGGTATCAATCCATCTAGCACGTCAACAGAACGTACTGATTATGTGCAAAACCCTGATTTTCCACGGTTTTTGCTGGATATTTAGTCATCATTGGATTACACTTTTTCCGCTTTCAGAAGATATATTTTCCAACACAAGTTAGAAAACTATAGGCGGAATGCCATTCTTAAATACGCGAATTCCACCTTAAATAAGACGAATTGTCGAAGTGCAATGCACAATACATTACGGGTTTCGCACAGATGCAGTACCTTCTGCCAACGTGCTCACGTATCCTCGTGTGTATTTGTTGCAAGGTAAATAAGAAATAAAATCGAGCATTCACAGAAGTTTGAAACCGTGAGTGAATATCTCTCTAGGCATGAAAGTTCATCTGTATTACATCAAAACATATTTAGCCTTTTCGTCATAGAATATCTCTCTTGTTTCTGTGACGTCAGACTGCGCGGGGGCGAGGCGGCTCACAGAGGCCGTGTGGAGTTGAAGGTGCTCGGGTCAGAGGTCACAGACTGGGGGGTTATCTGTGACGACGGCTGGGACAAGCGGGAGGCAGATGTCGTCTGTAGGTTGCTAGGATACAGGTACGTCATCGTTCCACTTCAGAGGCATCACACAGGTCTCTCTACACGACTACACTAAATAGAATTTAACTAGAAAGGTAGTATTTGCTAAGCAAAGGCATAATGTTAACCTTCACATGCCACAAACTACTGTTTATTACTCTACTCAAACACATTCAGATATATGATGAGAGGCAACATAATGTAACCCAACACCACAGGCTGTCTGCTACAGCACCAGTTACCATGGTGACAGACGTCTGGTGCAGATCGACGTCATTGACCTCTGCCTTTGGAGAAGAGAAGAAACAGAGCAAAAACAATATGTTTCCTTCTCGGAAGGTAAACATAATTAATGCAGTACCCAAAGATGCGTTTTTTGTAAATATCATTGATATTGTTAATGATGTTTTAGCGAGGCGAAGCGAGCGACCAAAAACTCACGTTTTGGCCACGGAGATCTCAACTTCATCACAGACGACGTCTTCTGCCTTGGGAACGAGACCAGTCTTCTGGAGTGTCGCCATGGCAACTGGTGGGGGTCGGACTGTGACCCGAGAGAAGTGGCGGGAGTCATCTGTCTGCGGGAAGAAGGTGTGTGTGTGTGTGTGTGTGTGTGTGTGTGTGTGTGTGTGTGTGTGTGTGTGTGTGTGTGTGTGTGTGTGTGTGTGTGTGTGTTTGCGCGCGCGCGCGCGCGCGTGTGTGAATTAGTAACAGTGCCTAAAACACGAAAACTTAAAACATGAAAACCAAGGAAGAATAGAGTTATTCATACAGCGGTTGTAGTTGGTCTATTGTTACGAGTACACGTAGATGTGCAGTCAAACCTGCCAAGGTGACCACCTCTTCAAGCTGGCCATGGTGACCGCTTTTACTCGGTCCCCAAAAATTTCCCCATTGGCTAGCATTAAGAGACCTGTCTAAGGTGACCACCTGGCCAACGTGACCGTGACCACCGTGAGTTGGGCCCGATGCCTGCCCATGGCGACCACATCATTTTCGATCATGTTGATTATTGATGATAACTAATGAGAAATCATGGAGAAACCAGCCAGTTTGCATCGACTGCTGGACGATGCATTCACCTCAGAACTGAAGATGCTTACAGTATTTGACATTAAAACATCTCGACTTGGAAACCATATATGGGGATGGTCTATCATTACAAGTTTACAGGTACATGTACTACGGTATTAGCTACTATATGTATTAGCTACTATATCAGCAAATAATGCCATGTTATTAACTTGTTTTCTGTTCCAGTTGATCTGATAGACGAAGGTCCGGAGGTTCCACAGCCAAGTTACGACTTCTGTTACGTTGGAAACGGGGAGTCGTATCGTGGCAGCCACAGCTCAACGGAAAGTGGCGCCCCCTGTCTGAAATGGAGTGAAACACATGACAGGCCGTAACCATTCAATTTTTTATACATTTTTGTTAAGTACATAATATTCTTTATAAGTATTAACATCTTATTTACGTAATTTAGCTAGTATATCATAATAATGAAAATCATAAAATACGTTTCTTTTAACTCTGTATCTAACGATTCGTCTGTTGTGTTTTTTTTTTTTTCATTTAGATTTAATACTCGCCGTTTTGGCCAAGGACAACGTGGAATAGGTGATCACAACTACTGCCGCAACCCTGACGGGGACTCGCGCCTTTGGTGTTACGTGGCCGGAGAGGAGCGTTTCGCCTATTGTGACCTACTCCAATGTAACGGTGAGTGTTACTTGTTAGTCAACCGTGTGGAAGGCACTTCAGTACCATGTAACGTCTAGTAGGTCAATGCTTTAAAAATAACCTTAATAAAGGGCATTATGGAACATTTTTAGAAGCAAAACGTAAATATATTAATTGACAAAAATCTTCGTGTGATTGTAATTTACTTCAACTCTTCAACTTTTCCACATATCTGTTCCACAGTTGACTGTTACACCGGGGATGGAGGAGAGTACCAGGGAGACAAGAGAACCGACAGGGACGGTAACCTGTGCGTCAGGTGGGACCAGGTGGGCGCCACGTCACACGGCAGTCCAGGTAAGGGTCACATGAGAACCAGGCTGACTGGTTTCAAAGTTGCTCTACATGTTGATATGTGTATGTTGATTTGTGTTGATGATATTACATCTAGCAGTGTGGTATAATATCTCAGAAAACGGCTGCTTGTTTAGTATCGTATTCTAGTGATTTGTGGCCGATATCGAAGAAAAAAAAGAGACGCCTCATGTAGCTAGCACCTTTTCGTCATCATTTCATACTTGAAGCGTTTGAAATAGCCCCAAAACAAACGCTTTACTTAAAAGTATGAAATGCTGACGAAAATGTGCTACGACATTGCAGTAAATGTGAATATCAGGCAGATTCCTCATTAAGAATATTGTCTTGTCGCCCTGAAATTGCTTCACAAAAACCTTGTTTTTTTATCTTCCTCTTATCTATATCTATCTATCCACCCCCTCCCCGACCACACACAGGTAACCATAAGAAGTGCCGTAACCCCACCGGTGCGGCGGAGCCCTGGTGCTACATCCGGCAGGGTGATGACGACTTCCGCCCTTCGCCCTGCGGCCTCACGAAGTGCAGTAACCCGGATTACGAAGGTCATGAGTGGGATTTATACAATATATTGGTTTTATATCGGTTTTATTCGAAGAATATTTCGCCGCCCGAAGGCTAAATTACATGTCCCGTGCATTAGTTATGTTAATTATATTGCAATGTTAATCTGACCATTTATTTTCTCTCTGGGCAGCCAAAATAGGGAGCTGCAAGGGAGACCGGTTCAGATGCGTATCCGACAACGTGTAAGCAGTTTTGATATATTTCACTCGTATATTGCATACATCTTAATCATATACATGTATCTTCATTCCATTGATTCAGTTAAATGGTCGTAATTACTGACTGCTGTTCCTGTGTTGGCCGCTAGGTGCATCCCTACACTGTTCAGGTGCGATCATGACGTAGACTGTGAGGATGCCAGCGACGAAGATGGGTGCGGTAAGTGATATCCTAAACTCTAGAACTTCCAATTTTTTCCCAAATTTTTATTCATCCTTTTGATGCGTTCTAGAGATTTAGAACAACACTGCATGGCAGGACGGTAAATAAATGCTCTTTTACCTCCATGCTCTTAGTAAAGCGTCTTATTCCCTTCCCCTCGCCCAGACGACGGCACGGTTGGCGGTTACCGGCTGTACCGCCAGGCGGCGCTGCGGGTCCGTCCGCAGGTGCACGTGTACCATCACGTGGATCCCGAGACGTGCATGCAGCACTGCGCAGCCGCCAATGACGTCATCTTCACCTGTCGGTCCTTCGACTACGACAAGGAGCACCGGTCATGCGCACTGTCGTGAGCAAAATTCTATACCTTCGACGTATGGAGTTCATGACACACGTTTTACCGTTCCACAAAGTTCAACAACAAACTAGTTACCATGGTGACAGACGTCTGGTTTAGGTCATTGACCTTATTGGTTTAGAGAAGAAGAAAAAGAAGAAGAGGAAACAGAGCAAGCACATTATGCTTTCCTTCGTTAAACATAATTTACGCGACCCTAAATTCGTAAATTCGGGCGACCCTAAATTAGGGGGACTTCAAGTTATATATAATGGTTTATTTCAAATTCAAGTAACACCTCGCAGCCAATGGCTGAATTATGTGATACATTTACAATTGATTAATAGATTTACGCAAGTAAGCAGTCTAACGTATAATATTTAAAATCGAGGTATGTAGGTAGCGCATTGAATAAAAACAATTGATAACAAGTGGTTGGTTAAAACATTGAACATTTAAGTTAAAAGCATATCGGGATAAAATGATTAGGTGTGGCGCAACGAGTAGATTCTAGTATGTACATTTGAATAAAATTTCTGGGGATATTAAATAACATTTGAGTACACGTACATACAAATAGATGGCAGCATTAAGTTATAAGTAGGGCAACGAAGTAAAGAGTAGCTACAAATTCAGCATCCGTATCATGTGAGGAATTGCACTTGTTCGGTATCTTTCAGTTCTACAGAAGACAGTGTCCAGTTTAAGGGATGAGCGGGTCGTCCTACCACTGATTTCAACTCTTGGAGGTGGCAATAAGTGTCTGTGCAGCTTAGATCGTTCAAGTGATCTAGCGAAGTTCGTTGTCAGTTTGTCACGGCGTGACTTGAGTGTTGGAAGGTTGAACTGTGCGCATGCCTTGTGGTAAGAGGTGAAATCCTCACTCAAGATGATTCTCAACGCACGGCGCTGAGAGTTGTGTGTGAGTGTGTAAATTTCGTTACAGTGCCATAACAGTAGGCCCCAAAATCTGTACATTTCCTTTTCAGGGCCTTTAACACAGATGCTGCTGGTGGGTTGAATAGAGGCGCGGACTTCGACAAGTTTGACCACTACGAACGGCTGGAACACGGTGATGCAACGGCTTTTTGTTTGATTTTATAATTATTCTTCAGACCGAAGTCTGTGTACTAGTATTAAAATCAGGTAGAAAGTATGATTTCGTATTGGTAAAAGAAAACCATAGTACACTGCAGACACTGTAAAGTAGGACCAATGCAACAGACAACGTTCTGAGGTATCATAGCAGATAACGTAACTAATGTCCTACATTTACAACTTGCATCTTTGTCACCTTTGAGAGTTGTAACGAAAATACACTCTATTTCTTTTTAGTTGGTAACTTCAACTGCACGTTGTTGCCCGACGGACCATATTTTCAGTGTGGGAACGAGAAGTGCATACAGGAGCGCCTAGTGTGCGATGGGAACGACGACTGTGGCGATTTTACCGACGAGGAAACTTGTGGTAAGAAAACAAAATGCACTGATGTACACTAAACCAAAATGGTATGTACATGTGAATATTTTTGTAAAATTTTATATAATTTTTTCTTCAAGTTTTCTTGAAAAGGAAATGAGACAAAGCCTATTTAAGGACGACAAATTTTCTGTGACTTATTCTCAGTTTCTAGAACTTTTCTTGTCGAAACAATCCCACCAAAAATAAACTCTTTCCCTGAAGGTGAGCAGGCACCGTTTGAAGTCCGTCTGTCGGGAGGGTTCGCGCCTTGGCAAGGTCGTGTAGAGGTCAGGTACAACGGGACCTGGGGACTGATCTGTGATGATTCATGGGATATCCAGGACGGTCACGTGGTGTGCCGAGAGCTGGGCTATCCTCTGTAAGAACTCCCGAAGTAACAACTTTTTCTGTCGAAGTTTCTTCTCACAATGGCTTTGTTTCTTTGTATCATTGCAATTGTGTTAATGTAGACGCAAATTTTACTCAAAAAATATCAATTTGAGGTTTCGCTGCACCTTTCCGTTTAAGGTCTTTAAGGGGACCCGCATACCCTTTTCCGTAGATCGTAATGGTCCATTTTAATTCTACGTAGAGCGTAGACGGACTGCTCTAAATCAACGTAGAGGGTAATTGGCGCATTTTGCGTCGAGCGTATTTGCCATTTTAATTCTACGTAATGCGTTGTTATAGCCACTTGGAATTTATCGTAAAGCGAAAGCGAGAGGTTTCCGAATTCCGCCTAGAGTGTTGTCGAACACCCCCCCCACCAACACACACATGTAGCCCCCCCCCCTCTTTAAGCCTGTTTTCTGCCCGTTAGAATATTCGTTGGTGCACATTTAAAATTTGATATTTGTAGAGGAGCGGAATGGACGGACACACGGTCCCGGTTTGGCGGGAACAGCCTGGGGTTCCTGCTGGATGAAGTGGTGTGTGACGGGACCGAGTCGTCCCTCACACAGTGTGAGCACGGACCCTGGGGACAGCACGACTGCAGCTTCTTCGAGGTGGCAGGGGTCAGGTGTCGGATCGGGGAGCCGGAAGGTAAGGTCAGGGGTTGGCTGGGGAAGTCGGACGGTCGATTAGTGTGAGGATTTGATGCCCAGCAAGGTGTCATACCAGGCCTCGAAATTTATTTTCTTACTATTGTCCCAACTCTAGATCTGTACCAAAAATAAATTTCAATTGTCCCGAAGTGAGGATAAACTGTCCCAACCCGTTTTTTTAAGAATTGTAGGACTTCAACTTGAAATCAGCTTTATGTTGCTTATGTTCACTCCCAGGTGCACTATAATAACAGTGTAGACAGGAAATTCGAGAGGACTTTTCCGGATCCAAAAAAGCCGGGAAGTGTGCCTGATAAACAAAAGAAGGGCTCAGACATTCTGACTTTGATTATTTTTCTATTGTCCCAAAAATGTACCAAAGTGTCTTTTTAGTTGTCCTAGCCTAAATTTTAGTGGTCAGTGGCCACTGGACCACCTTTAATTTCGAGCCCTGCATACGCGACTGAGGTACATTTTATTCAGTCATGTAGGCCCTCTTTCAAACGTACAGTTTTTCACAGTTTGTACCTGACTGTGCTGATGAGCGCTCTGTCTTCTTAGTGTTAGTTAGACGTGTGGTTATCTGAATATCTCAATTTTTGCAGGCTGTCTTCATTATGAGTTTGAATGCACAGTTCCCGGCATCCTCGGCGGCTGTGTTCCCAGGTCGTTTCTGTGTGACGGAGAGGCGGACTGCGGAGACGGAAGTGACGAAAGATTCTGCGGTGAGGCTCGTTCCCAGAACATAGTGACGGTTATACCTCTCCTTAGTGCTGAAATGCCTTCAAGTCGCATGTGTGGTACTATGCAACTTATTATCATTCCTCTTGATTTCTTAAATGATTTGTTGTTGCTTTCTTATCATAAAGAGATGTTACAAATTGAATCGCAGGGTTCTCACCAACTACACCGAAGCCCACTCCAGCAGAACCTCGTTCCCAGGACCTTCCGTGCGGCATCACGGCCCACCTCCCGGGCCTAGACCAGGGGCTGCGCGTCAAACGATCACGTGACTGGGAGTTTGTTGAGCCAACCGGCGGCCAGGAAACAGGCGGGCCCATGCTGGCCTCCATCGTGGGGGGTTGGCCCGCAAGGAAAGGGGAGTTCCCGTGGCAGGTCAGTAACTAGAGTATAGAAAAACGAGTTTTCACCCCCGTTTAGTATCGTGTTCTAGCCGCAAAAGCGCCACCTACCTCTGCTACTTATAGCGACAAGAAACAGTACTCCAGTCAGAAGATGTCTGAAAGGCATCGAATCATAAGCAGGTCTGATTGTGTAAAAGAAAACCCTGATATCCTATGAGTTTTTCCTTTAAATTTGTAACAATTTTAGTAGAAGATGATAATTCACGGTGCAACGCAAATGGCATTCTGCTCTACATTTTCTTTTCTTTTTCTCACACAGGTGGCAATACGGGAAGACGGAAAGTACCACTCATGTGGGGGTGTCCTGATCGACAAGTGCTGGGTTCTGACGGCCGCGCATTGTTTTGAACAGTAAGCTGACTTCATCATTTTGTTCTGTTATATTTTGTGTGACTGTATTTCGTCCGTTACGTTTGATCAATTACGTTGTCAGTTTTCAAAGGGGCATTATCCAGCAGTTTGCACCGAAAATTTAAATTTTAATGGAGCATTCATGTGATTGTAATTTACTTTCACGTTTCAACATATTTGTGCAATTTTGTCACATCTCTGACATTTACACTTGTAATGCATCATATATTAGCACATACACTCCCGGAATAACACTTGTTTGCCATGGAGTACGGTTGATTCAACTTACTTTGTAAATGGCTATAATTTATGCTTCTGTATCCTCCTGATGACACAGCTTTAATGTTTTCCTTTTAGATACCCCAACAAGACATACAGCATTGTGGTTGGAGAGATGAACAGTAAGGTGGAAGAGGGAACAGAACAGGAGTTTGACATTCTTGAGGTCCATGTTCACGAGAATTACACAGAGGATGTGGCAGACTCCAATGATTATGACATCGCTCTGTTACGGTAGGGCTTTCTTCCATTTTCCCCTACTACTATGTACATCCAATGAAATCATTTCGTAAGGACACGATGCCTGTTGTCTGTTGTAGTTATGGTCATGATTGCCACCAATATTATAATTTTACCATGTACAGCGATCTAGTTATACATGTTGCCTTTGCATCGCGGACTGCCAAACCTTATTCGTTTTGGAACTTCTATAACTCTGTCAGTTATATTTTCTTTGTTTTCGTGGTGAGGCCAATATCTGTAGCCTTAAGAGTTGTCCACCACTTTGTACTGTACATTTTCATGTTTAGCTAGAAATAAATAAATAAAAGAATGATTTCACTCAACGAAAGGATATATTTCGCTATGTACAAAAACTGATACATTCTATGAGGTTTCTTATGAATATTATAAAAATATTGTTCCTGAAATTGTACATTTTCACGCAGGCTCCGTACAAAGAACTGGCGCTGCGCCCGGCTGACCGACCATGTGCGCACGGCCTGTCTGCCAACCTCTCCTAACCAGTTCCCAGACGGGTACATGTGTGCCATCAGCGGATGGGGGAACACCAGTACGCCTTGTTTATCTGTTTGTTTATCTATCTATTTGTTTGTTTGTTTGTGTGTGTGTGTGTGTGTGTGTGTGTTCAACATACGAAGAATGCAAACTCATCGAGTCACGAAAAAGGAAAGAAAACAACAAAAGGAGCCGTACTCTATGTCTTAGTAACAGGGTTACGGGCGGTGCCTATCCCTCTCCTTGGTGCTGAAATGCCTGTAGGGCATTACTACTGTTATACAGATGCCCATGGTGTGGTCATTGATACCGTGATAGTGCTGCACACCATACGATGCCCACTGACAAATTAAAATATAGAAACCTACAGTGGTTACGGTACTATATTAAAAAATCAGGTTTTGTCCTCCTTTCACGCCAGATTGTTGAATCAATTGCAGATATAGGATCAAGGGCTTTTCTGTAAAGCAATATGATACCAACAGTATCATAATAATGCATGTGGAGAAACGGAGGTATGATAAACTTGCCATGCTTTCCTATCCTCTTCCCCATCAGACTCAGATGAGTTCAGCCCCAGCACGTTGATGAAAGCCCGTGTGCCGCTGCTCCCCCATGCGGATTGCAGCCGTCGGTACAGGAAGAAGATGACGCCCAGGATGCTGTGCGCCGGCTACCTGCAGACGGGCGGTGTTGACACCTGTAACGTACGTCACCTGTAATGCTCTTAACGGACAGTTTTCGTTTTCTATTAAGTGTTTTTTTATTGCAACGTCAAAGGCCACCAAGGCAGCACCGCTGATGTGGCCTTCTGACATAATATTGACTTAATTTTAGAGATGGCATCCTCTGAAAATCCCCCAAACAAGTGCGTACGGGCAAGTAATATAAAAAAAAATCCTGCCAAAGCTGGTATTGTGACTTCGCGGTAGTACATAGCGACTTTTACGACAAGCTGGCACATGCTGGCCTTTTGCGAGTTTTTTTTAGTTCGTTAGTGGAGCTTCGGCTGCCTGGGTGCCATTCTTTACATGGACTACAGAGGATGGCACCCAGGTCAGAGCCTCCTTTGAGCTGATTTTTCTTTGAGAATAAGCGAAAATCAATGCGCGCCCAGATGTCATTCATAAAATAAAATCAGTGTGGCCTTATTAACATTCACGTATAAATAACACCAAAACATCTATTGGAGGTAGAGATGTAAACCCACCGTAACGTACTTTTAAATCACCGATGTTTAATCCAGGGAGACTCCGGCGGGCCTCTGGTCTGTGAGCGGGACGGCAGGTGGACGGTGTGGGGCATCACCTCCTTCGGCTTCGGCTGCGCCTCCCCGGGTTTCCCAGGCATCTACACCCGCGTGACCGAGTTCCTACCCTGGATCAACAATATCATCGGGGAAATCGTACAGCTACCTTAGGGGGCTTGCCTGTGCGGGGATGTGGAGCTTATCGTCAGACCACAGTCATTATTGGTCTTTTATCATTTTTTGTAAAATCCTTTTCCTCAGTAACGTTATTGAGGAAACCTGACTGTGGCTTGGGGGACTTGCCTATGGGGGAATGTAGAGCTTCTTGTCAGACGAGTCATTATTGGTCTTTTATCATCTAAGTAAAATCCTTTTCCTCAGTAACAACATAATCGGAAAAATTGTACAGCTACCTTAGGGGGCTTCCCTGTGCGGGGATGTAGAGCTAGCTTCTCATCAGCTCACCAGACTTTCATCATTTTAGTAAACACCTTTTCTTCAGTAATTGAGACGTTTACTATCTGTAACAGGTTATAAGACCAGAAAAACAGATCCCAAAGGAAGCCAAAGATTTTTGTCAGAAGAAGTTACACAAGTAAGAATAAGTTTGTAAGAAGAGGAGTTCTTGAATTGGACCATAACAACTGTGATTTTAAATCCTGGTGCATTTCAGGCGGATCAAATTTTTGGGAAGAAATTCATGTTTACACCGTGTTTAGCTTACATTGTAGCTGCAAGCAATACATATAAGCTCATTTGTGGAATACTGGAACCACACACATCCACACTAGTCTTATGATATTACAGAAATAATAGCATTCACTTTTTAAGTAATTTTTTCAAACTTAGGTAAAACATCAAAATTCCTGTATAATATGCACATATTATTCCTTGAATGTGTCGACCAATATTTACAGCAAAGTACACACCAAATAACTTAGTCAAATATTTTTTGTGAATTCAGAACACCAAACATTCTTCAATTCTGTTTTCCACATTAGAATTGCTTGAAAAAATCACACTTAAAGTGCATACCTAGCTAGCACCCCAAAATACACAACACTCAGCACAATGATGCTGACTTTCAAGTGGTATGGTAATTCTGAGCTGTGATTGTCTTACGCGAAGAATACTGTCAAGTACTTGAATCTATAAATCTAAAGCATTGTAAGTTATAATGCTAAAGTGGACAGAAACTTTGGTTTCAAGACTGCTTTCTTACCAATCAGACAATGTTGCTAATAGATTGTTCTGTTGAGAAGTATAGCCATCACTTTTCAGGTCTAATCATTTCTAAAGACACATTAAGGTGCAAGTGGTGATATCTAGCTGCCTTGCATTTGATATGCTGTTACATGCGATAATATTATGTATTCTACAAATGATATTGTATCCATTGCAATTTCAGGGCAGCAAAATAAAAACAATATTTTGGATGAGGAAATCTATCTGATATTGACATTAACTGCCATATCTTTTCACATTATCATCATTATTTCATAACTAAAGCATTGGAAATAGTCAAATAATAGACCACATGAGAAGCCCCTTTGGCTGGAAATTTTTGGGTACTGCCTATACATGTAAATCGCTAGTACGAGCCTAGGATAGAAAACAATCAGTGACGTCGCATTTTTGCCTCACAGATATCAGTGCGATATGGGATAGGGTTGATCCAACTTACTACATTAAAAGAATGACCAGAAAAGTTTGAAAATCCAGTTTTGCCACCCTGAAATTGCATTGGATGTCTCTAAGAACTGAGAAGTCTCTGTAGTTTCAGACAGTGTTGTGCCACGGCGCTCGCGCTCCTGTGGCTGCCAGAGCTGACAGAGTACTGCCTTCCCGGGCATTTTTGCCTCACAGATATCAGTGTGATCAAACTTACTACATTAAAAGAATGACCAGAAAATTTTGAAAATCCAGTTTTGCAAATTGCATTGGATGTGTTTAAGAAGTTAGCAGTCTCTGTAATTTCAGACAGTGTTGTGCCACGGCGCTTGCGCTCCTGTGGCTGCCAGAGCTGACGGAGTAGCGGCTTCCCGGGGTGGACACGGTGGACGTGCGCGCTCCTTGCACCGTGGAGGAGAGCTTGTCCGCAGCTTTGAGAGAGACGAGGACTTCCTTCAGCTCCCTGCGGTGACACATGGTTCGGAGGGACATGGCTGCTGACTCCTGTACTGTCACCTGGTTGTCATGCAGAACAGCTTCTAGAAGTCTGGAAAGAGATAGAACATAATATATAATTTACACGGCTTCCCAGGCAAGCGGCTTGGTGGCAGCTGGCTATATATTACACCGAATAACACCTAACCTCTGAACATCTAATTTAAACTCCAAACATTGCATAAAAGTTTGGAAATACATGTATGATAATTGCATGTACTTACCTGTGTGGAGCCTTGTTCTTGATGAGAGGCACACAGAGCGTAGAGGAATGTCTGGACAGGTTGCCAAGTGCAGCTGTAAAATATCTGTCATGTCATTATGTGTTCTTTGAAAGAATTACAAGACATACATGTATTATTCATCTGCCTGTATTTAACTCAATACCATGCAAAGGTGTGACTGTATGCTATGATGTATGCTCCATATCTCCACTAAAATTCTGTATGAAAAACAAACTTGTCTTCTGACAACTATTGTCATTACCTTCAAACTACACATCATTTGAGAGATATAAGACACTGAAAACTAAGGTACTGTACAGTGTTCTAGCCAGCATCTGTCTTTTCATCATTTGACAGAATGATGGAAAAATGTTGCCATCTTTCATGGTCAAAATTTGGTGTGTTAAGATAGGGAAAGAGATATCATTAAACTAAGCTTAGTCTACAAGCAAAATGCAGATTGTGGACTCTGTGGATGTATGTTTTTGGAAAACATAGCTTTACTAACCTGCAGCATTTGCCCTGGTCCTGGCCAGATTGTCATTCAGCAGGCTGACTAACTGTGGCACAGCTGTACCCAGTACACTGTACAGGGTTCCATTGTGATGGGCTGCATTCCCAACAGCCAAGCAAGCACACTGCAACACAATCATACATCAATGTATTTTGTACAAATGTCCATAATTTGTTTTGATACTTTTTTTTTGGGGGGGGGGGGATTTACAGAAGTTTGGAGATGTACTAAAGTGCATACCAACCTTTCTGACGTTTGTGTCATTATCTTTAAGAAGTGTCAGCAGTCGTTCCACCAACTGCTTTCTGCAGAAAATATATAGAAGAACTTCATTGCAAGACAATTGCACATGGTACAATGTATGGCAACAGCTATAGAACATATGATGTTATATATACAGAATGATGTAACACTGCTCACCTGGAAGTTAAAAAAAACACTCACTGGTGATTAGGAGAGTCTGATCACCCTGATAAGACACTACATTGTCTTGCAACTTGTAAGTTTGTTAAATGCAAGTGTACAATTTCCTTTTGTATTGTGAAATCTATTCTGTCAAAACTTTTATACATGTATCTAACTTAAAAGTTGGTGAGAAATTCCGAATTGCTTTATACAAATTGTAAGTAGTCACAAGTACATGTACTTCATCACCAGGAGATACAGTGGTGAAAACTTTCTTTCCAATTCCATACCTGTTGTATCATGGAAAAGCTAAGAAAACATTACCTGGCTTTTAAGACCTTGTAGAAGTCGTCTGAGTGTCTGAGAAGATTACCCATAAGGCTGCAGGCTCTGGACTGTACCACTGGAGAGGTGTGGTTCAGGAGGGACAGCAGAGTGCCATAGTCACCTGGGGAAGAAGTGGAGCCATCCTTTCATTCAACTACAAACCATAGCTATGCCTATCTTCAAGGCAAATGACCAATAACTTCAAACATGAGACCTTACAAGCATATGACTCCAGCAAAGGGTCAAAGACAGGATGTTTTGAGAAAGATTTGCTAAGTTACATATTTGTACATACCTGTATAATCATAGAAATAATTTTCATCTTATTTTTACTTGACGTCAGCAAATTTAAAGTAAAATAACACCTTTTCACTGCTGTCAAGTGAATACTAGTCATAAAGGCACAACAAAAAAAGTGCAATATTGGCACATCAGTACCTTTCTGTCCCATAAGCAGCGTCTTCAGGAAGCCCATGTGATCAGCTGAGTTCCTGGCAATGTGACAGCACACAGACAGCACGTCAGCTGTCACTGCCACTGGAGCCTCTGGGGACAGCAGCTGTGCCAGGAAACCTGTGGACTGAAGGCAGAAGAGCGATGGACATAATTAGCTGTTCCTGGCAATGCTATTCAATCCTGTATAGCAGTTTTAGCTAATTGTCATGCTACAAATCAGAATGACATGGTCCGCCTACCTCTGTATTTTGCACCATGATGACAAACTGTGGAATGAGTTGAGAGTCCCCCAGAATCAGCCTGCTTACAAGCCCTGTAAATTAAAACATACATATACTCAATCAAGATACCCAAAGGTGGCTTCCCATGATTGTATGCTGGACATTATGTAATAGGATGACAAAGACTTGTCTAGCTTTATCCTGACTGTATGTTTCATCCGCTTCAGTCAATAACCATTGTGGAAAGGAAAATGTAAACAGGTTAGCACAAACAAATACAATGTAACTGTTTGTAAAATGTTCTCAAGCCCCACCTATTGGCATCTCCAGTAAGTGCAGCTTGAGGTAGCGCCTGGACACCAACAACAGCTGCGGGACCAGCTGTACCTCACGTACGCACCTGAAACATGTGAAAAGTCGATGTCAAGATTTGACTTCAACTTTTACAGTTTTGATCAGATAGTAATAATTTTCTTAGTACGTGTAGTGCACATGTACAAAATAAATACTTGATTTTTAAGGTTCTGGAAAAGCTGTGTTGCAGGATTCCTGTTACATACATGTACATGTACTGTATACCACACAAAGTGTTGCCCCACATCTCAAAACATTTGAAGATGAGCCAAAATGATGATTGTCAAAATTCCCCAACTCAACCATAGAAAACCCATATAAAGCTTTCTCAATACTCACTCGCTATCCATCCAGAGGAATATTATGTAATAGCAGCAAGATAGCAAACATTCGTAGTAAGTATTTCACATACATGTAGATCTTGTGAATTTTTACACAGTAAATATTGTAAACATACCGGTATTTGCCTTTATGAAAATGACCCTTTTTTCTGACTTACATGATTTATTCTCTACAAAAATGTAGGTCTAGGAAATAAAGTATACATTAGCATTGTTTTGCCATCAACACCGTACAATGTATTTGTGCTAAGATCACTGAAGATCTCCCCACCTGAGTGTTTCTGACAGAATGGTGTCGTTGGTGTCCACAGCGAAGGGGAAACAGAACAGCTGGGTCACCTGCAGGATCAGGTCAATCACCCTCTCCGAGGGGCTGGAGTCTTCGTCACCAGGGCTGGCAAAATAAAAACATTTTATTTAAATAATAATCACAGCTCAAAATACTTTTACTGCAAGTTTTACCTGCAGCACTCAGAATTGATGAAGTATGGATCACATTAAAAACTGTTCAGAAACCATTTCCATTGTTTTCTTACACCTCATACATGTAGGTGGTAACAGTCAATACAGTCAACAGTCAACACTGTACACCTACATTTTAGTACTATGTAAACCCAATACATGTACATGGATTATGGCAAATAAGGTACAGGTAGACATCAGAAATACCTACTCCAATTTTACCTGTACTAAGGTGCATAGTGCACCCAGTATTTCCAGTTCAGTAATTTACAGGAATAATTAGAAATAAAAGCTGTCTTTACCTTTGTGCCAGCTCAGCTAAGAAGAAGTCAGACAGCATAGTGGCCAGGCACAGCACTACCACGCTGTCAGCACTGGCCAGCAGGGGCACACACTGATGGGGTTCCTGTTATACATGGAAACAAAGTGTCTTTAATAATAATATAATGGTACGGTTGTAGATTTATCATTTATTTCATTGTAATACCTGGGCAGCGATAATGTTCAATACTGATGTCCTGGCCCATGTGATAACTGTATCACACAAGGTTCTATTTGGTTATCACACAGGCTTCCAAATGTTCCATGATGGAATTGATAAGTCTTGTTACAGTTTTTTTGTTTAGGGACACAAATTTTGGCACATTTCCCAATGAAATGTGTGTTTTTCCGAGTGGGTATGGCAGGAGTGGTGTGTCCTTATGGGCATTGTGTTAAACTGTAATATTTTATGGTTAGAAAGGTTTCTAAGGTTACAAAAATAGTGTAAACAATTCCATTTTATACTCTGTAACTAAAAAACAATTTATGTTTCATACTGTATTCTGATTGGCGAACTTTCTAGTCCAAGTACTATGTGATGGTGCAAGATCTGCATATGATCACAAAATAGTCAGATCTCAATGGGGTCGTGTGGCGCAACACCAGAGTACTCGACTTGGAACCAAGTGGTCCTGGGTTTGAGGCCTGTCATGCCACCGATCTTGTGCCCTTGGGACAGGGACTTAATACAACTTTCCCCACTTAACTCAAGTGAAATTGAGTATTGTCTGTCCTGTATTTGTTTCTGTGTGTGGGACACAACAACAACAACAGCTGCCTGTGTCTCATGTGTATTGCACTGTTGCAATTTCAATAAATCAAATCAAAATCAAATCCAAACATGACAATAATTTGCCTCTAACTCACCTTTGTGAACACAATGGTACTCATCTGCATCATCACCATCAGTCCTGAGGGGGACATGGCCGACCAATCAGGCGGCGGTCGCCGTGGTGACAGGATCTTCTCCTCCCCCTCCACGTCGTACACAGCCATCTCTGTCTGGGAGTTGATGTGGAGGACCTGGACCAGGCGGTGCCACAGGAGGTTCCACACGCCACACTCGATAAACAGTCGCACCACGGATACATCACCCTGTGGCCAGGAGAATGTTAGGAGTAAGCTAAACTAACAGGATAAGACTTAGTACCCAGATTCGGTGCATAGTTATTGGCACAATAAAGTGCTGAGCAGAAGTTTTAAAAAATCTGCACTTAAGATCTTCCTGTAGCAAAATGCATGAGATTTGTTCAAGTGTTTTTTGGGGGAACCCAAATAGTATTTACCAGTAGATTTCATAATGGTTCTAGGAGTTACCTCATGCACCAGTTGTAGCAGTAGTTCCAGCATGCCATCCAGGATTCCATGCTGCAGGGGACAGGGCACGGTCACCTAGGAATGGGGTGGGAAGAACATCAGAACATCCATCCATGTAAAAAAAATCGGGTGAGTACCAGTTTTAAAAAAAAGACAGTTATACCAATCCCCAATATATAACCATGTGCTTCATATAATTATGTTAATGTATATCTTAGGACTTCAATCATGTAACATGTAGAATTTGAAATTTCTATGTGTATTTTTGGTTATATTTTGTCTGATCCTATATTATAACCTTCATGACCTCAATGAAAAGCATCCGACGGGACAATTTTATGTATAAAAAAACTATAAACAAAGGTGCAAACAAACAAACCTCAGAGAGTTCTGACAGAACATGTCTGCAGGCCATCAGAACCTCGTCTATCTGCATCTCTATCTCCACTCCGTAGTTACTCATCTGACTCAGGAGGAGGGCAGCAGCAGCCTGGGGGAGGGGGGCGTCAAGGTCAAACAAGGACATCACAAGTATACATCAGAATGAAAGCTCATCTGTACATGTGTTGGTAGAATACATACTGAAGGATTTTTATGCTGTCAATCCAACACCAAAAGAAGCATTTATCATACAAATTTTCAAACCAATCGAGACAGGTGGTTGAAAATTCATATGGTGAATGAGTGACTCTATATTCTCTACACACCTGGAGTAAAAAAATATTGCAACTCATTAACAGTTTTCCCCTTATGCCATACACAAAAGACTGGTATATTTCACCTCTATCGATGGGTAACGTTTTCTTTTCTGGAAGAAAGATTTCATAAGATTAAGATCATTCAGACTGGGAACAGTTAAGGAATCAGTGTTAAAGGAAGGAGTAAAACAACTAGCTCAGTGTCATCTCTAAGACATAATATCTTATAAATTTTGCTATTTCGAGTTCACAGATCAGGAAAAATGTTCTATTTGCAGTTTATACAAATTTGTTTTTAAATTACAATTCGTCAACATCATTTGAAAACTAGACATAACTCACCCCGTGGCTTGGCACCTGTGACTGGACATAGATATCCACAATCAGGCCAGCTGCGTCTGCCAGCACCTGGGGCACCTTGTTCAGCTGCAGCAGGAACACACTCAGCAGCTGCAGGGTCATCTCAAACCCCTGCAGCAGAACTGACTCCTCCAGGGGAACCTGCGAGGGGAAACAAACAATGGAAATAGCCATGACTGAAAGTAGAAGAAATTCATATTACTAGACCATACTTAAGCTTACAGATCTCCCCCCATTCACATGAATGGGGGACATTTTGAGGGTACAGAGTGGTTGATCTGATCATTACCACCTGTTGCTTGGTCCCTTCAACTCAATGTCAAGTTGACAATACAGTGAGTGCATGTTCAAATTCCGAAGAAAAATTTTCAAGCTTTACTGTTTTTTAAATCACTGTTAGTCATCTGTTCAGGACAATTTGCTTTGACCCAGTGTTGATGTTACAGTTTGAAGATGCCATGTGACAAGCCTAACTGGGTCAGTCTACTGAGGAAGACCAGAGTGGCTGAGAGAACTTCTTTCTGTTGGATGTTAAGTTTTAACTCCAAACAATTTGCTTGTTTGCAGGAAGAGGCAGTTTGTAAGAACTCTTCAAAGTCTTCAAATCAAACAGTACAGACCTGTCCCTCCAGGATGGCCAGTAGTGCAGCCATGGGCTGTTCCTGGGACGTCACCAGTCGACACATCTTCCTCGACACCTGAGAGGTGGTGTACAGGACCTGGGCAGAACAACAAGATACATTTTTATCATTTGTACTTGATGCAATGTTCTAGCCAGCCTGAATTTTTTCTCTGTCACTTTGTTTGCATACTTTGTTTGGTCGAGGCATGGCAATTCTTGAAAATTAAAATTTCGACTCTCTGAATTTCGAAATGCTATTTCTTGTATTTTGAGGGGCACATTTTGCTGGTGGACTAAATTGTAAGCTTACTTTCATGACATCTCTTTCCATATTTTTACATACTGATTTTTGTCTGTCAATGATTACAGATTGGGCAAAATTTTGTCTGCCATGAGCAGCAAAATTCCTTCAGAAGACAGAAAGACTAACTTAAGCTAGAGCACTTACACAAAGTCTTGACAACATTTCAGGCTAGCAAAAATCAGACACAAAAACCAGACAACTGGGATTGTTTGATGCTTCCATAAAAAAAACCAAGCTGATATCTATTCTACATGGACAGCCGTATTTGCATAAAAAATGCACATTGGAGCTTTGTATCATGCTATACTTGATAAAATATCTACGGTAAATTCTACAGAGCCCACATCCTGACATAGACTCGAAGTGTGCACGTACCTTGATAACACTGACACAGTTGTTTGGGTCGATAATTCTCTCCATCAGTTCCTTCAGGATGTACTCATTTTGGGAGCTCAGCAATTGGTCGGTGATGTACGAGGCCACCTAGCAGCCAAACAAGGTATTGCACCATTACATCACAACTACCTGTACAAGTTTGAATTTACTACTGTATACAGCACACATGCTTTTGTTTTTACAATATACAAATCATTTATGAGCCATGGCATGAAGGAAAAAAATATAAACTATGAGATTTCTTTTGCTGTTGATGTATCAGTTTAATTTGGGCTCTAGTTCTTTTGTTAAGTGATGATTATTTTACCATCTTCTTTCCATTGTCTTTTCCCCCAATATGAATCATTGAGGCCAGGACGGATGTAGTCATAGTGAACATCTGTTCCACCCGTGCTGAGGCCTCTACTGGGCTGGGAAGCACAACTGGAAAAAAATTAAAGTTAGTAGAGGTAAAAAATCTGATACCTTCTTCATTTGTTATTTGTGTCAGTTTTTTTATAGTATGGTAATTTGTTTTGCTGTGTGTTATGCAATGTATATTAGATGTAAGTTTGTAGATTGTTTTGGCTCAAACCCATGGCATATACAAAATTGCATGTTGGCAACCTTACAATGTTGTTTGTCCACATAACATGGAGGCAGACACTTGACGATGCCCGATGGCAATGTTTTCTTCATTTTGCAGCAGAGATTTTGCAATCTAGGGTAGGTTTTAGGTGGTTTGGAAAGAAAAGGGGCATGTGATATTGTAATAAGTCCGGAATTGGTTCTTGACTGTTACTGTGTGTTAGGTTTTTTTTTACTTGAACCTTAACATTTTTACAAGTCCGGAACCGGTCCAGCAAACTAGCACACAGCACTAGACACAGGCAGCAGGATTAAACACTTACTTTCCAGTTTCCTGAGCAGCCCTGGTTCTATCCTGGCCATGGTGACCAGTGAGTTGAGCACGGTACGGTTCTGTTCTACTAACCGACTGTAGAACCTCTTGGGGATGTCTGTCTGGTTATGGTCCATGGCATCACACAGGAACATCAGGCACTGGGGGAATTACAGAACATTACAGAACATCCATAAGGTTACATTATAATCAGGGATAAAAATACCATTTTCTGCATACCTGCACTGCTGCAGGTAACATTGAAAGTTACCTGCACCAGACAGTATGGGTCACAGTAAAATTACCATTATTTCTCTAATATGCTAATATTTGGTAACAATTAATGCAGCGAATAGATATCTACTGATACCTCAAGGTATATATAAACCCAGTACATGGACCAGTGCAGGCAGACATCACAAATATCTGCACAGCTCCAATTTTGCCTGTACTTAACACCATCTGCAGGTGGTATTTCAACCTCTGAAAATGGTAATTGCATTGAAGGCTTGTTTGATAAAAGTTGGATACTCACCTAGGTAAGCAATGATCTACAGATATCAAATTGATCTCTACAACTGGATAAAATATGGAGGCTACTTCCAGACATTTTGACCCACATCCATTTCTATCACTAAAAGTACACAGCTTTTTTGGCAATGCCTCAGGGGTGGACGCATTTCTCCAAAGCAGAGACCATCCTATACAATCATGTACTTACCAGCAGTCCCTGTTCTCTCAGTTTGAGATCGTGGTCAGTCGGTTCCTTGATGACCAGAGGTAAAACCTCAACAAATGACAGGGCAGATTTCTCAAACACTTCGAAGCTGCAGGGAAGAATGAGGTTGTATACTTGTTTAGTGTGGCTTGTTGAAGGTAAGGCCACACCAAGTAAATTTTATGGATGACGTCCGCGCGCGCATTGATTTCAGCCTGTTCCTAGAAAAAAAAACAAGAAATTCCACTTCCTGTAACTATGACCAAAGAGTCACGACAGTGCCACAAATCGTCAGATTGACGTGAAACCCGTAACGCGAGAACAGGGCAGGACGACAACTGCTGTTCCACCTGATTTATTGCTGTTTTGATTATGAATAAAAGACTTCTTGCTTGTTACACTGTGTCACCTCATTCAAATTGTGCCCAAACATTTGTCGTCTCTTAGTATATTTCTTATCTAGGCATCTTGTTTTTTAGGGCCCTTCTTGTTTTTTTTTCGCCCTCTCGCATTAGATTTAGGGTCTCCAAAGGACGTCATCCATAAAATTTACTTGGTGTGGCCTAACAGTAGAAAAGTTAACTGGTAGTCAAGTTGCCACATACATGTACCTTTTACCCAGTGTTGACGTCACACTTCAGAGAAGCCACGTGACAAGTCTCACCGGGTTAGTCTACTGATTCAGAAGAAGACCAGAGTTACTGGTAAAAAGCTCTAGGTGAAAACATTATCCTTTGTGTTGGAATAAAGTCAAACTTGAAACATGTAACTACCAAAATGAACACAGATGAAATGTCATAATAAGTTGAAGAATTCTTTATTTTAATACCTTTAAAACAATTAGTAAATAAACATAATTATGGTTTAATTACATGTACTTTGCACAGAAGGTTATCTAATAGTGTTAGTGCACCTTTTTGTCCCCTTGATCTCTGAGATGTTGAAGTCACTGGAAAAGTATGCAGTGAGAAGACTGACCAAGTCACCAAGAACCTGAAGACACCATGGAAGCTGAAAAAGACATCCAATATTCTTTAAGACATCATCAAGAAAGGTCCCTGGTGCTTACATGATATACATGTCTTTGAATGGAGAAATCAAATCTTTGGCATTTAAGAAATATGAAATCAGTTGGCAGTACCTTCTTGATGTTTGTTTTCTCCAGCAGTTGTTTAGTGAGGTGGAGAGTGAAGGAGGGAACCTCCATCTGCTGACACAACTTATACAGCAGCTCATTGTCACTGGGAGGGGGGTACACAAACATACGTTTAGTACTCTGAACATTCATGGGACAAGATACAATTCTGTGCAACAGATTGAAACTGTCTTAGCATTGAACAATATGCTATTATACTCCATTGAATGACAACCATTATTTCACATTTTTACACACTGGGCTAAGGTCACAACAAAATGTGTACAAAATTGCTAAATACAACCTAGCATCAAATAGGCAAAAGCCCATGTCTTTATACATTGATTACCTACCATTTAGTGGCCAGGAGGTTACAGATGACCCTGAGTACAGGCCTGAGTCTGGATGCTCCCTCCAACATCCCTTCTAAAACCTGGAAGAAAATATATTTAATTTAGTCGATACAATGAATTTTGGAGATGTCAGACCTCCATGAAACATTTAGATTTTGTGTGATGACAATTGTGTCCTCTTATCGTTCACCATCACTGCGTCTTTTGTTAACAAGCAAGGGAAACAACACCTGTTGTCAGCTGTCAAGGAGGTCATGTAACAAAAAACAGTTGTGATAGATGTAGATGTGATTAATGACTTTCTCCCTCTGGAACAGAATGAACCCAACCATATCCACTACAATCTGACCTAACGGCCATGCGGATATTACCAGAAACACAGACATGTACACAATTTCAGCATTTGTCAACTGTATATTCTTTTTTCACATTTCAAAAAAACATTTCTGAAAAGGATACAGGTTTGACCCACCTGTTGTCCTGATGCCTGCAGCCGTGCAGATATCCTGGAGGCGAAGTGTTCGTCCTGTAGCAGGGTCATGGGCGCCGTCAGCTGCATGTTGGACGGCTCCGTCGCCTCAATGAACTGTTGCCACTCATCATCACTGTCCAGCTCCTGGCAAACAAGAAAGCAGGGATTTCAGACCTATGGGAAGTGTTTTTATCTCAATGTACTTATTTCTTTATTACAATTGTCCACGTACAAAATCTAAATGGAAGGCATAAATTTGTAACTTTGTATTTTGTTTTTGTAACATACATGTATGTATGGTAACTGTGGATAGGATTTGTGGACAAACTGTGACTGAAGGCTGGTTTGTAATTCAAACAATGAATTTCAAACTTTTAATCAAACCACTGCATTGATAGAAAGAAACTGTTACAAGGAGAAGGATCTTCCTACATTCTGGGTCCAATGTATGAGCATTTTGGAGTTAATTCAGAGCCTGAATTTGTTTTTTTTTACAACAAAAGAGGAACGTTATCACACCTCGCTCTCCAAGTTGACGTTCTCAAAGCTCTTCTTTGCCTTCCTTTCCTTCTCCTTGGCTGCTGCAGCTGCCTTCTGTGTAGCCACATCCTCCTCCCTGGCATAGTCATGGCTGATCCTGTCTGACCTGCAGGGATGTAGAAATATTGATGACTACTTTGTTGCAGCTGTTACACAGAGTCACTGTTGTAAAAACCAAATTTTTGTGTGGCATCCTTGAATAGTTTCATCAGGTTGGTAAGTCACTGAATAAGGAGACCGCATTGTAGATACTGTTTCCTGTAACTGTATACTTTGCGCTTGGGAATGCATCTATAGCAGCAACACCTGTGCTGTGTAATGTGAACCAATTAGAATTGCCCTCAAAAAGGTGACAGACAGTCACTAAAATGTCTGCTGAATGAAACCCTTGGTTGTGTAAAAAGAGTCTCTTTATTCACTTGTGTGACATTGACACTGACCTTGGGGTGACAGGCTTGCCCTTGCCCTCAGTTTCCCAGTCATCTTCTGCTTGTGCCTGACCTTTCATCTTTGCCACCACTGCAGGGTTAGCAGGCGTAGCACGTGGGATTTTTGTAGGAGTGCTCCCCGCACCCTTTTCAGGTCCTTGGTGTTTGTTCCAGGCCTCTCCCTTACCATTGGGCTTGTCCTGAACAAAAATCTCAGACTGCATTTCCTTGACAGTATGTTTCTATTCGTTATTGCATAAAGAGTCATTCAGAGAGAAACAAAGAGTGAGTCTTCAAATGGAAAATCTGAGACTACAATCTATGTACAGTACTAGACAAAAGGCTTTACAGAATATGTACTGTTACACTAGGTATTTGATATACCTGTACCTCCACAGTTTAAGATAACTTCTACAGTTGAACTCTCCTTGACACTATTCTTTCATCCTTGCTATCTTGCTACCAAAGTGTTGAATAGCTGGCAAAACTACTACCTTCAGCCATCTGACATCATAACTTACAGCGGCAGGTTTGGCCTTCTCCTCTCTGCGTTTCTCCCTGGCCTTGCTGAGGATCTTAGACTGCCCAGTCTTCTTAGTCTGCTCCTTCACAGCCTTGGCCTTGGCAGCCTGGACTTCTGGTGGGGGCTCCTCAGTAAAGGGCATCTCAGCAGCTGTCAGCTTCTTGGTTTCATCAAGAACTGATGAAGAAAACAAGAATTTTAAGACTTCAGAGATCTCAGATCTCCATGAAATATCTTGTATGGTGACTTTGTCCTCTTCTCATTCACGATCATGTCTACAAGTCTTTCTTTAACGTGCAATGGAACACCAGCTGTCAAGGAGGTCATGTAACAAAAGACCTGTGAAAACCAATGAAGTATCTAGAACCAGCCTATAATACAAAACAAGCAGCTGTTTTATGTCATCAGCATTGCATTTTACAAGAACACAGTGCAGCAAAAATGGATTTAATCCAATTTTGCTGTCCTGAAATTGCACTGGAGACCTTTAACTTAAAGTTTACGACTCTTTATAAACTCACCAACAACTCCCTCCTTCACAAAGGGATGGTGCAGCAGCGCAGGCCAGGTAAGGCGCTTCTTGGGGTCCTTAACCAGGAGTCCCTGCAAAAAATTCTGAAAACAGAAAACATAATTCACAATGTTACAAAAGAAAACAGTGACACAACATACTAAATTAGGACAAGGACTTTCTGTAACAGATGGGACTTACCTTGAACTCTGGGCTCATGTTTTTAGGCCACTTGACGGGGTCCTTGATAATGAGACTGACAAGCTGGAAGATACTATTGGTGTAGAAGGGGGGTTGGCCCACAAACAGCTCATACAGGATACAGCCAAGAGCCCTGGGGGGGAAAGAATAAAGATGATGTCATTACCAATAATACTAAAATAACGAAATATGTTGATTGAAATTTCAACTTTCTGCAGTGCAATTGCCAGCGATCTCCCTACCATAAGTCAGCATTGTGGTCGTATGGCTTTTCTTCAACAAGTTCAGGAGACATGTACAGTGGTGTACCCTGGAACAGAGAAACAAAAGGAGGGAAACTTACATGATATTTAGATTCTTCATGTACATGAAGTATTATGAAGCCCTTAGAGTTCAAAGACATTTCAAGATGCACTGTAAGCAGGATAGAGATATGAAAATATATTACCTTTATCGATGTCAGAACAAGTGTGTTGATACTCATAGCTCGTGCAAATCTGCAACAAAACAATAGACATATATTGTTACATCTAGAGGGAATCATACATGTATTACTCTCAATACACCTCAGGTAAAGTATCAAAGTTACCGTCAAAAAGTTAGTCACTTACCCAAAGTCACAGAGCTTGACCACCCCTCCTTTCCCCAGTAGTATGTTCTGAGGCTTCATGTCTCTGTGTAGGATACGGTGGGCATGCAGGTAGTACAGGGCTGAGATCAGCTGACTAGCAATGGATTGGACCTATAGGAAAAAAATAGTTCAAAACCTGCTTAGATACTGTATTCACTCTTCCTTCACCACTGTACAGCCTGAATAGTATCTTAATTGATCAAATCAAATTATTACAAACATTTCTGCTTCAAAGTTTAGGAAACACAGTTATATGATTCCTGTTTCTCATGATTTTTATCCACAGAAAGATGCTATTGTACATGTATTACCTGTTCCTCCGGTAAGTTCCCATCATCCTCTAGGATTTGGAACAGTTCTCCCTCTGCATACTCTGTGACAGCTACAACCTGAAAATTGCAATTTAAAAAAAAATAGCTGACATACATGTAGATGAAACAATTGTATGTATACCTTTGCCAAACTAAAGACTGATGAGAGTAATTTCAAAATTTGGTTTAAATTTGACAACATTTACCAAAAGTCATATTAGTCATTATTTCAGGTAACCATTTTCTTCTAATCAAAATCACACAAAACATTGTTGTCATACTGCTAATTTTTAAACTCTTTTTCTGATACACAAGACAACATCTTCTGCAATTAAATTTGCAAAGATTGGGTGTAAGACCTTGTAATATAATCTACTTACCGCGGCACGGTGTGCCTGAAAAGCTGATGTGTTATGCCAAAGGGCACTTGTACCGGCTATACCGATACAGAACATGAAACACTGTGTGCCAACCCTATATACTATATAGTATACAGTTGTGCAGCATATGGAGATAAGGTTGACCTGTTGTAACCCTAAGTGAATGGGGACCAGGGGCAGAGTTACAGGAATCCAAACCAGGCATGTTTAACTGTAACTAGGGATTACTGCTCATGCAAATATGTATGGTGTAATCAGGCACTGGGGTCATTCTAGCCCATAAACTGCACTGTTATCTTTGGCAGACTTACATGTAGTTTATCACTCTATCTATGACTACTGCCTATGAATTTTCTTATCATTTTGAAATTTCCATTGAATAAAAGCAATATATAGCTACCAGTGAAGCATATGGTAAAAATATATGTATCTAAAGAGTATAACTGTTACAGTAATAAAATTGAATTTCTTCTTATGAGTAAAATGTTATCTGCATATTGAAGGCCAATCATTATACTATTGCATAGATCTCTTTTTTAATATTTTGGGTATCAACTTTTTTTCCAATCTAACACTTATTTATATGTCGAGATTTACATAATAAGTCATGAAATTTTCTTTCAATTCTTTCTTTCACCATTTACAGTGTATTTGGAACATTGAGTTTGACCCTGCTACAATAAAAATACATACAGTATATGCCAATTTCATGCCATAATTTATGCATCAAGCAGTGTTCCCTTTGGTTTTTACCATTTTAAGTGAGTTTCCTTGCTTGCTACAAACAAAGTATTGGCATATTATTCTTAGCAACAACGGTTACGCATTTTATCAGATCTGCCAGATACAAAGACTAAAATGGGAATGTTATTCGCAGCTTGTGACACATGCTATGATACCATAAACCGTGTTACCCAGACCTCTCCCGTGTTTAAAAGTGTATGTAGAAGCGGTGTACAGTCGGAGGGGTCCGGAGGGCGTGCGGTGTCTAATCGTGGCTGATTAGCGATAGACGTTCACTTCAATAAAAACCTAACTGTGTTGTGTTGACATCAGATAGGCTTATCCTGTAATGGCTGCTATCACCACCCACGCCCAAAGCTTGACCCCTCTTTTATAAAAAAAATTTCTTTTTTTTTTGTCTCTCTTCTTACTTCTGCCAAAGAGGTTTTATGCTTTAAGGGTGTTTGTTAGTTTGTGGGAAGGTTACATTCAATTACTGTACTAGTATATATTTTACGATAATCTTTCTCTCTTTTGGGAAAGGTGGGCCCTGGTGTAATGACGACATTGTTTTCCTAAGGCAAGACTTATCTTAAGGTTCTAATAACCATTGTAAGGATGCAGACTTGTAACTACTTGTTAAAAAAATTGAATAAATTATTAGAATTCTAACTTCTAATCTAAGATTAAAAACATCCAAAATGAACTGTTAAATTCACTTTTATAAATGCTGGAATTATGGGCAATCGCTGTTTTCGTTTACATCAATTACTGCTTTTTACTGGTAGGCAAATTATTGGTAGGCACATGCAAATTATTGGGAGGGAAATCACCCAACTACATGTACACATGTATTAGTACCTTTTGCCTACCACTTCCAGACCATGACGTCATGGCTATTGTTCATATAACAGGATTTTTTTTTTCATTCTTGATATCCTAATAATACTAAAAGTACCTCTTTAGGTGTTTCGAAGCTGTCGAGCATCTCAATGATGTTAGGGTGGTGGAGGTGCTGCATGATCTCAATCTCACGACGAAGGTTCCGTAACTCCTTCTCAGGACGGCCCACCTTGGGGATGAACTTCAGGGCAACCACCTGTAGGACGTGGGAAGTGTGAAGTAAACACAAATAATAATAAACTTGAGATGCAACTATATCCATACATAACTATGAGTGGGTATAAGCGTCACCGTCCGGACCTTTTGGCCTAGTGGTTAGTATGTTGGGTTACGAGCTGACAGCCACATGCAGTGCAGGTTCGATCCCCGGGTGTCAGAGTCAGCCCTCGTATGATACATTTACATATAGTTTGAAGGAATCTCGTGTACTAGTTATGCTTTTGGAGTGACATGCAAACTACATGTATTCAAATTAATTGTGAGTTTGTGCAAGACATCAGCTTAGTGCTCTAGGGATCATGATTTTAAAACTTGTGAAAGCATGAAATATCGGTCTCAAGTTCTCTCAACGCATATCCATTATAAAAAATTACAAACACATAATTTATGAGATATAACAATCTTACTCACCTGCCCAGTGTACTTTTTTCTCCCTTTGTACACTTTCCCAAAAGACCCTTCCCCGATGCACTCCAAGACATGGTAGCGATCCATTCTTTTTCAATTGTCTAAGATCGAATCCTGTGAAATATAAAGTAAGACATTTCCAGGTGAGAAAATGAAAAATGATTTATCAAGAGAAAAATGCCAATAAGCTGACAGACGCAAACAACCAAATGAACATGGAAACTGTCGCGTTACCTGCATAGAATGGAAGCTCACAGCGATCTTATCGGTTCTCTGTGTTACCGGGTACTTCTTACTTCAAACATTTTTCTTGAATATATCTTTGTGAGGTTGATTTTTAGCAATTTTTCGAAGATAATTACCGGACTTCGAAACGGCCCGCCATCTTGTCGCAAATCTCGCCCGAGCTCAGTCTCGCGAGATATGCACGAGAGTGGATAACAGCAGCAGAACTCGAAGCAGATAGAAACTTTGAAAATCACCAAAATCAACTTCTTTAACAACAAACTCTATCATATTCACAAAAATATATTTTACTGGGTGTTTAGCACAATTAGTAGTCATGAAAAGCATTTTCTTGCCATTTTATCGTTTGTTAGCTTATTTTCTTTGTAGCGTTTAGATGCAGTTGCCATGACAACAAATTAAACAAAAGGTTTGGTGGTCTGGCGATATCGATTTGCGAAATTTGTCACGAACATTTCTAACTTTGAGCTGAGTCCAGTGCTTCTACCACCTCATACCCATCAACTATAAACTGTATCCTCTAGTGATTGAGCAAAACTTCAGGTATGGCTAAGACGGTGATCTCGCAGAAGTTGCCGCCGGACATCGACCCGACCAAGGCCCCGCTGGCGTACGGAGACCGGGCCCTCCCCAGACTCAACCGGGAGCTGAACGATAAAGAGCTGATCACCCGTCAGCGGGCCCTGATGACTCTCTGTGACTACCTGCACGACCCGGAACACATCGCAGAGGCACTAAGGGTTAGTTCTATTTTCCTCTTAAAAGCACTTGAAACTATTTTTTCAGTGTACGAAATGGTCTTGCTTGCACTGACTAGCAACTACATGTGTTAATGTAACATACTTTTAAAGGCCATGTTTGTATTCAAAAGTCTCTTGCTAAAGTTACAGTCGTTTTGCAGTTACCTTTAACGTTACTTATTCTAGCACATTTTAACGTTTTCACTTAAATCAAATAACAAACTCATCATTATTCCATTCATACAGGTGGGTGTGGCGGAGAGTCTTAAAAAGCTTTTGAGCGACAAGGACCCGACTGTCCGGCACAAGACCACAGAGGTAAGACAGTAAAATCTTCCTCTAGAAAAGAATGTCGTGAGTTTGAATGCAATCTCTCAGAGACACAAAGATTCGTCTTCAAATAAAGAAAAAATAGCATGGGCAATATTTTGCAAAATCATATCATATGATGAAGGAAAGTGATCACGTATCAGCTTTATATAAGCCTGAGGCTTTTACTTGGTTTACTCAACCTGAATGTAGTATAATTTTTATTCTAAGCCATTGCACTTCTTTTGTCAACTTCTGACATAATATTGCTAACATAAGAAATTGGGATTTTCTTATACACACCTTCCTCAGAGCTTCTGACTGGAGTACTGTCATATAGACATCGAAACGTAATCAAGGTAGGAAGAATACCTGGTTGAGTATAAGAAAATCCCAATTTCCTGTGTTCTACCAACCTGATGAAATTATTTTCAGAATATTGCTAACATTTTTCCACCCTCTCCAGGTTCTGTATGTTATTGCCACCCACAACAAGGGCAGGGATGCCTTCCTGGACTATGGCATTATCGTGCCTCTGTCCAAACTGTTTGATGACAGCGTTGACCTTGCCAGGAAGAATGCACACATGGCCATGGAGATGATGTCTGAGATCCCCTATGGTAAGTTATGTAGTGATACCTCCATGGAAAATGGAGGTATTGTTTTTGGGATGTCTTTGTGTGTGTGTCTGTGTGTGTGTTTGTGTTTCCACATGACCGACAGGTTGGATTTTATGGATATTATGGTTGTGTTCAGTCTGTCCCAGAGGAAGAAACTCATTAATTACATCAACATCTTGTAGTGCATGACATGATTTTTCATTACATGACCTCCTTGACAGCTGGTGTTGTTTCCGTTGCACGATAAAGAAAGATTTTTAGAAGACTGAAATATTTCATGGAGGTCTGAGATCTCCGAATTCTTGTTTTTCCATTGTGACATCCCCAATCATCATAAAGTTTAAGACTATTTAAGCTGCTAGGAAGTTTGTCCAAACCAGTCATCTTTCTCATTTTCCTTCTTTTGGACACACTCCAATGAATGCAACCACAGTTAATGACACTGGACAGAAGGCCATTGTCCCTTGCTTTTCTTCATCAATATTTCATAGCTACATAAGTACGTTTTCATGTTTTATCTATTCACCAATTTCTCGGTTGACCTTTTACATGTACCTTTGAAATGCGAGTTTTACATTGCCCAAGTGGCATTGCTTAGTGACAAGTCACCTACAGTACATTTTTGCATGTGTTAGGCCTAGGGGAAAAAATGTTGTCTCCTGACTGACCCTATAGAAAACCTGCCAACCCCAGCCTTTTTTTTGGGTGGACCCTTGCAAGGGACATGAATTTTTCAAGCGGATTGACCTTTTCTAGCTCCGTGATCTGACACCTGAGTGATAAAATGTTGTACAATCAGTTTTCCAACATTGACATTGAAAATGTGTCCTTGTTATACAAGTTTTACTGTGATAGTATTGTATATTAAAGTTGAATCACTAGCTATAGAGATTGCCAAAGTCATGAAAAAAAAAGAAGAAACAAAGATAATCCATAGTACCTACCGACCCTAATTTTTTCAGGACTGTAACAGGAAACACAACATTTTTATTTTCCTAGGCCTTAGTGATAAGTCACCTATGTGTTAGTAATGAGATTTAATTTCTTTCTTACCATTGTTACTCTACAGGTGCAGCTGGTGTAGTGGAGGCACAACTTGTCCCCAAGCTGGTTGGCAAACTGCGCGACGAACTGAACGAGATCAAGGAGCTCATCCTGGACACGCTGCACTTCTGCCTCCGCGTGGAGACCATGCACGCGCTCGTTGCCGGGGCGATGGAGGTCTTCACCGAGCTGCTCGGTCACAACCAGGCGATGATCCGCGCCAAGGCCGCCCGCGACATCATGGACCTCAGCGTGCCTCTCGACGGCAAGAACAAGGCCTGCGAGGTGAAAGCCCTGCCGCCATTGGTCGGGCTGCTGAAGGATGGGGACACGTACGTCCGATCGATGGCGGCGGGCGCCATAGCAACCATCACCATAACGACCCAGGGGAAGTACCTTGCCCTAGAGGCCGGAGCCATCCCCCATCTTGTAGAACTGGTAGAAGACAAGAACAGCGAGGTGCGACTAAACAGTCTGAAAGCCCTGACTACACTATCCGAGGCTCCCGAGGGGAGAAAGGAGCTACTGAATCACGTAGATCTCATCAGGAAGAGAATGGAGGATGAGAGCGAAGCCGTGGTGAAAGCCGCGACTATCGCCGTTAGGGTCATCACGTGGAAACCATAGGAACTCACCCGTAGCGCTAGTTTTCATGGTTTCCTTAGAATACTTCACATCTACATTTCATTTCTAGATGTAGTGCCTGGTTGTGCATCTAGGTACTTCTTCAGTGTACATAGGAAGTGTTTCGCTGTAAAGAATGCAAAATCTCTGAAGTCTTCTCAATCAAATAGACATGGTAGATATTAAATAGACCTCATATATATATAGGGTGCCAACATTGTATATTTTAACTAAAAATCATGACGTTTACCATTGTCATTGAATTTGACACTGCACTGAATTCAATTATCTGTGTGTAAAACTTCTTCTTGAGAAAAAAATGTAAAAATCAATACACATATTCTATACAGCCTCAAGTTATCATAAATAAAAAGGTTACTTTCCAGGACTTCATATATGTAAATAATGTGGTTGTGGTGTGATAACATTGAAATCTGTGGAACTCCTTGTCCTGTACAGTCAATAAATTTCAGCATCATTTCAAAGTTGGCTTAAGACTCACTATTCCCACATAAAGGTACTATAGTACTAACAAACAATAGTAGAAAGACTAAAATAGGAAGGGGGAAGAAGGGTGTGAGGAGATTTAAATCTATTTCTCAAAGACAGAAATAAAGAAAACTCATTTTGATACTGTATTGCCATCTACAGTCAAGCACAGTTTATGATCAATTTTATTTCAAATGTATCAATAAAGATCTTTACCAGGTAAATTACTGTGTGCTATATTGGGTCTATAAAAAAACACAAGGAAGTTTTCTGTCAGCATGTACACATTATAACATACTTCCATGTTGCTCACTCTATAACTGTTGAGCAGTGGCAACTCCATTCATGTACATGCCTACAAACTTCTTAAAGACGTCGGGATTGTACTCAAGGAGTCCAGTCTCCAGTCTTTTCTTGTTGGTCTTCACCCAGCGCTTGCGTTTCTTCAGCGGCCACACGTTTGCCGCGTGATCCATGAGGTACATGTAGTTGTACAAACGGTTGCCGCAGTCCAGCCAGACCATGTTCTTTACCCCGCCATCTTCTCGTAGCTTTGTCGTGTTCAGTTGGTACGCGAGGAAGTGGAAGACTCCGTCCTCCAAGGCCACGCCCTGCGCTGTGATTGGCTCCGGCAGGTCCATCTCGGCGTCTCCGTACAGGTTTCTCGCGCGAGCGAGGCAGTTGGCGTGAGCGAACATCATCATCTTGACGTTCATGTGCCTGCGTCGCGCCGCTCTGTCGATGTTCAGCAGAAACAAGGTGTGCGCGTGAGGGAAGGAGTACCCATCCAGGAAGCCGGTGTGATCCTCGGTCGTGTAGATGTTGGCTGGTCGTAGATCTATGATGGGAGCAATGGGAAAGATAGACTCTAACTCGTCACCAACGGTTCCCGCTATATCCTCAGGACCGGCAAACGGAGGCAAGGGTGACTTGGATAACATCATCGTCCCGATTTTTCCTTTCGTCTGGATCTGGTCGTCGCCGCGATGCCAGCTTGCTTTGACGTCCATCCCGTCTACGACTCGCCGGTCGAGCAGCTCTGGGTTCTGTCCGGTCAGCGTGGAGCACATGTGGAGCAGCTGGGACAGCACGTGCTGTCCAGACTGGTTCCTGCTGACCATGGCATCCTGTGTGTCGTGCTCATGTGCATACAAGATGGCTTCCCGTACGCGCTGGTCCTGATCGGGAATGGCTACACTGTCGCCCAGGTCTGTGATGTGCTGCGGAAGGGTTCCGTTGTCGCCTTCCTTCTGCATCCACTTAGACTTGGTCAGCAGCAGACCATGTTTCTCACCTTCCAACACCTATGTGGAACAGACAGAAGAAGACTTTCATGATTTACAACACTGATTCTGATGACTATTATAGTACTTACCATAAGTAAGTCTCATACCTACTGGTAACATGATTATTGATAGAAACCTCTGATGCTCTGAATCTGATCCAAAAACGTTTCTGTTCTTACCTTTTCACCATCACAGAGTGCTGATCGTGTATACATGTATATACAAGCCATTTTTTGCTGTGACCTATACTTAACCCTGTGGGTACTTCATTCGAGACCCCTTACCTTTGTGAAGGGATGGAAGATGTAGACAGGCTTGTCGTGCCAGTTCTTGTCCTCTCGACCTGGTTCTTCCCACTTATCCCTCAGTGGGCTATTGTTCCAGTCAAAGGGCTTCCTGTCAAACACACAACATACTTACTGCAATTTGTAAATACACAGTGTATCAGAGTTCGAAATACAAAGGTGCAATGTGCAAATTGCACGTAATTTTCAAGATTTGCACCTAAAAATATTTTGAATGTGCAATTTTGCACCTGGACAATACCGATATATCATGTTTGCACTGCGTATCTCCGAAGTTTCTTGCTGTGTCGGCATCGCGCTAGGATGGCAGCCATATTGTTTTCTTTACTGAACATCCTGGGAACAAGCTGCTCTCGTACCCAGGTGAAGACGCGAAGGCATTACGTAATGATTTACCTAATATGGCAAGACGCGAAGGCCTACGTAGCTGATTTACCAAATATGGTGAGACCCGCGAAACTTGTTGCCCGATGTGGTACGAAGTCCTTCGGCAGAGTAATTTCGGCTTTTTCGTCCAATTTTCGGTAAAATTCGGTGAAAAACAGAGTTTTCGGATTTCCCAGCATTCAGTGCTACCCAGGAAATTTGTAAAGCATGAAGAAGGGCCCATGAAGAAGGGGTCGATTTTCAAGTTCTTTTCACGGGCCCAGCCGGCATCAGAGGCTGGTGCAGCCGGTGGCGGTGGACCAGAGGCTGGTGCAGCCGGGGGCGGTGGATCGGGAGATGCCACCGGGTCCACCGTCTCCGAGGATCCCGCGGCCGATGTTGACGACGCGCCCCCAGAGGAGGGGGAGGGGAGCGCCAAGAAGCAAAAATTAACCGGACGTTATTTTTTTCTAAGCAGTATTTTTTTCCTTATATCGTGCACGATATTCAAGGTAAACAAATATGCAAAATAAATGAAATTTATTGCTCGCATACTGTTGGTAAATTTTTTTTATGACGAGTGAGAGGCCGGGGGTCACTAGCGGCGTCCTTTGAAGCTAATGCCGACAAATTTTTTTTGTGTTCTTTTTTTTATAAACACAGATGATACTTGCATTGTTCATGTTTTGTTTGGTCCCTTCTTTTTAATGTATACTAAAACTTCTATATGCAGTGGCAGGCTAAGAAGGTTGATACACAGTAAAACAGTTCCAAACCTAAAGATGCAAGGCTAAATATAATTTTGCACATAAATTTTTCAAATTGCACCTAAAAATTTTGCCAATGTGCAATTTTGCACGTACCTGAAAAAAAGTATTTCGAACCCTGGTGTATGTATAGAGATAATACTGACCTTATCACTCAAAGAAAAAAACACATTTCAATACTTTTAGCAAGAAATAGGAAAATGTCCATCTGATTTTAAAAAGCATGTGTGCCATGGTATTAATATAATATAATCATAACATCTGACATAAACATGTAATGTAATGTATTATGCAAGTATTAGATTATACATTATTTTTTTACCAACATAATACAAATACTTACTTGAATTGCCAAGTGGACCAACCAATGTTCTCTGGATCGAACCAAGTCCCAAAGCGGCACTCAATGTCTTCATAGTCATACTGTGGGAAAGGCATAGTTGGGAAACGTTAACTTTATAACCTTCGACAAGCATAACAGCATAACTTGAGAAAACAATGATTAATCAGATTCATATTTGGCATGTGGGTAGGGTTTGGTGAGAAGAAGAAACGATTAGATTTTTTGACCACTAGCGGTTTTCCTTGGTACTGCAGCAGAACTTCAGGTTTTGATATCTCGTGACATGCTTCAAACATCTTCTATTTTACAACAGCATATTTTGATGTCACAAACCTTTACTCTTTTCGGCTTGAGGAATTCGCTCTTGAACTTCCTGGGGTCGTAATACTGTCCTGACTGCCAGTCCGGTCTGTAGGGGTGGTTGGAGGGGTTGTCTCTGATGTCCTTGCGAACCACCTTCTCCTCCCCCTTACACACCCTCGCGCTCGTGCTCACCGGCCTGGGACAAACCGCCAAGCGCAAACCTGACTTCAGAAGCAAGCCAGAAGGCCGAGAAGCATTCATGGTTAACATTTTCTACTTTCTAGGATGGAAAAATCGTCCAAACTGTCATGCCATGCCGTAATCTCGACCACGAGCTGCCATCTTGTTTCAATCCCACCATTCCTTACGATAAGGGTGTCTTTTGTACATTCCTAGAAAAAATCTCCACTTAAAATACTACTTTGGTGTATTTTCTCCAAATTCTTCAATTTTTGTACTTTTAAAAACAAATTCGTAATTTTCTAATTCTATTTTTGTGATTATCTTGGTAGTATCTGGTAGTATAATTTTTCAAAAGAAATAATTTTAGTCAGGCACTTTTTTGTTCGCAGTAAACCTCTAAATTATCAGAGGTCGGAGGTCAGTACCGATACGAGAGGTCATCCCTTCGGTTCCAACATGGCCGGGAGTCGTTTGGAGAAGTTTGGCACGATTTTTACCCGCGTGCGTGACTTGATACGCGGGGGAGTGATGAAACACGAGGAGAGACCACTCTGGTACGATGTGTACGCGGCTTTCCCTCCCCGAGACCCGCCGCTGGCCGAGAGGAGTTACGATATCAAACCGGTCAGACAGATCCTCTACCCAGAGGACAAGATTCGTGCAGGTAAAAATATTCTTTTTTAACAAAACCAGTCCAAACACTGGTCACTTTCCTTGTAGAAAGATATTTAGGAGCGAGAAAACTACATATTTCTTAACTTCCATATTTCATCTTATTGGTAAATAAACATATTTTTATAATGATAATATTTTGATATGTTGATTGAAATTGAAAGTTTATACATTTGCAATTTGCAAGCTCTTGCCCGTATATAGGCTAATTGCAAGTACATGTAATAGTAATATGAAAACAAAGGATCGACAACAGATTACAATATACTATGTTACAAGAGCATCAATATAAATGTGTATCTCAATCAGCTTTTCCCATGATTTACACCACTCAGAATTCCATATCAAAACCATTTCTCATATATCATATACATGTATATTTTATTTTCAGCTTTCTATAAGACCTACGGCACCCCCCGGCCCATGGACCTGACAAACCCAGATGCTGTGTCGGAGTGTCAGAAATTCATCCTGAAGTACCAACAACTGGAGAGACTTGGGAAGTACCAGGAAGAGGCAGAACTGTTCGAGGCAGCAGCAAGGGCACTACAGAGGGACGGGGTCATCCTGAAAAAGAGACAGTTGAAACAAGCCACTGATACTGTAACAATAGATGAGCCACAGGAAAGACAGAAAGATCCTGCGCTGAACATTCGCATTAGTGACATGATAAAGGAAGCGTTACAGAAATCAGAGACAGAAAAATCGTGACCTAGATTCATCCGATGCATTGTGTTATAGTACCAACATAAAGAGGGCTTTGCTTGTGTCAATATTCTCATAAATCAAAAGCTAAAATTTTGATACATGTAGTCATCAGAACTCTCTCTGTACTTCAGAACTGCTACATGTAATATCATTTTTGCCAGAACATAGCCGGTAGTTTGAAGTAAATGAATTAACAAAGTGTACGTTTGTCATCATTATCCAGGCTTGCATTTTACAGTATATTGTGAATCTGCTCTCAATCAGCTGGAGAATGGAATAAAACTTTTTTTGCAGTCTGTGGGAGATTCATTGTTTTGTTGCTTGCTGCAGAGTGTAGGAAGTTTGGCATTGGGTTTCTTGTCTCATAATGTTGGACATACTCTTTGCTAGTTCACCTTCTTAGTGTTGACATTGAGCATATATACACATCAAATTTGGAAACAGGAAAATAGAGAAATTAAGAAAATTGATGAAAGCATGAAAATTGAATGTATAGAAAAGGTTCAAACTGTTACTCAAAGTTCCCTTATCAGTCAATATCGCCATCTAGCGAAGAATATTTGAATTGCAGCATTAAAAAAATTAAGTTGCATAACTCCACACTTTTATGTTACAGGAGTTGCTATTGGCCAGCCAGACGACTGATTATTTTTTTACGCCAATCAGATCCAGCGACACAAGTACGATTCAAAATGGCTGCTGTGTATTCTCAGGGAAGGACTCGTCGTCTCAATTTAGCGATCTCTCCAGTTTCATAACACTTTAATATCGCTTATTCTATCATTTCCTGTCATTTTATTGGTTTATGATGGTGTACAGAATGCGTCTGATATTTGGAGAAGTCACTCTAAGCCAGGTAAAGACCATTCTCGGCCCAACCCGGAAGTGTTATACAACGTCGTCTGCTAACGCTGTTTTTATAGAAGACTTGCATTTCGTTCCTGCAACCGACTCGGCTACCACTGATGACATCCGCAGGCTCCAGGAGTTCCTCCACGCTTCCAAACGGCTGCTGGTGATCACCGGAGCCGGAGTGTCTACCGAATCCGGCCTGCCGGACTACCGCTCTGTCAAGAGCCCGCAGCACGGAAAAGACCGGCCCGTCATCGGGCCTGTGATGTACCAAGATTTCGTGAAGAACACCCGCGTTCGGCGGGGGAACTGGGCTAGGAACTACGTGGGGTGGCCCGGGTTCTCATCCCACCTGCCTAACGTTTCTCACCGGGCGCTGGTGGACTGGGAGCGGCGGGGAAAACTCCACTGGCTGGTGACACAGAACGTGGACGACCTGCACAGGAAAGCCGGGAGTACGAGGATGACAGAGCTCCACGGAAGCGCGTTCAGGGCGGTGTGTCTATCCTGTAGGAACGTGGTGCCGAGGGCGGAGCTACAGCAGGTGATAGCGGCCATGAACCCGCACTGGGAGGCGGTACCGTTCGAGATCAGGCCGGACGCCGACGTCGCACTGACTCCGGAACAGATAGAGGGGTTTAGAGCGCCGCACTGCGGGTATGTAGATGTAGTGCAGATAGATAACACACACACACACTCACTCACAAACAGGCATGCACACACACACGCAAAGGCACACACACAGGAACGCGCACACACACACACAAATCACTTGCACATGCATGCACGCACGCACACACACACACAGGCACACACACACACAGGATCCTGAACGTAACGCACACACGCACAAATCACTTGCACATGAACGCACACGCGCACACACACACGCACACATACATACACACACGCACAAACTCGACAGAAAAGATAAACCAACTGTTGACAAGTGCACAAAAAAAGATTATACGGGCCGCTGACCTGAACAAAATAAACATCGACAGCTCTACTCTAACAGTTATATCTAACAAATCAATTCTTCCTGATCTACCAATTCCTACTCATCTATCGTCTCTGCAGGAATTGTGGCGGACCCCTGAAGCCTGACATGGTGTACTTCGGAGAATGTGTGCCCAAGGACACGGTCCAACTGGTCTTTGAAAAACTGGAGGAGTCAGACAGCGTTCTAGTAGCCGGGTCTTCACTACAGGTCAGTAAATCTGAAGGATTCTTACTCTGCAAATTATGTCTTCGGTACCGTTTTTTCAAGTTTCACTTTTTTGAACTGCCTTTTCCCTATAGTATTTCCCAAATTTTATTTTATTTCATTTTTTATTATTATTTTTTTTTTTTTGTTTTATGAAGATTTACCACATTTGTGGAAGGATTGACATAACAGGTGAATATCACCTCTTCAAGATGTCAAACCTGTGACCGGACTGTAAAGTTTGAAACTAGTCACACACGTTTATGTTTTCTTCTGTTGACTTTTAATTTCTTTTTCATTTTCTTACGCATTCTTCTCTGTTTCACAACCAACAGGTGTACTCAGCCTTCAGGTTTGTGTCCGCCGCTCACAAACAGAACAAACCCGTGGCCATCCTCAACATCGGGCCGACACGAGCCGACAGACTAGCCGGGCTGAAAATCAACGGTAGATGCGGGGACGTTTTGACGAAAATAAACATCTGAGGTCCTGAGTTCGAATCCTGCAATACCACCGATCTTGTACCCTTGAGAAAGGCACTTAACACGAATTTCCTTACTTACTCAGGTGAAAATGAGTCTGTTGTCCGTGCGAGCGTCTGCGTTGGTGGCAGCATAAAAATAAGTTGAAAAAATCTTGAGTGTGCTGTCGCCATGTCATAAATTTTGGAATAGAAAAAAAATAAAAATAAACATCTAACAAGATAGCCGCATGGACAGTTGTTTTTGGCAAGGGTCAGGGTTTAGAATTCGATGTTCATGAAAAAGATCTCTAAAATTATGCAAATAGGTGAGGAAAATTACAGAAATATCAATAAATCGATACAAGGATGATGCGAATATATACACTTATGTCATGACCAGACACCAGAAACGCACAGCCTATATATGTATATGTATATGCTTTATTTCTTTATTTAATAACCAAATAACGTCATACACTCCAGCATATACACCAAAATAATGCAACAACAGGTTTACACCGGCAATAACAACCTTAGTCAGCAAACATGTACAATCCTTTCAAAAAGAAGTTATATAAAAGTCCTTTTACATTTTAGTCACAGTTTATTTCTGATCTACAACTTGACAGCGAAGTCGTAGTTTTCTGGTTCTGGGGGCAGTGGTGGTGGTTCGGACGGCAACTGGAGTCCTTCCGTGTCTAACAGAGCTAGTCTCATCTCCATGGACAACAGCATCTCCATCTCTTTCTTGGTGGTCTTGCTGGTCATCTCTTGGTCCAACAGGGCGCTGATACCGTCCGTCCACAGGTCGTACATCTCCTTGGTGGGCGCCACGAAGTCTAGCGAGTGGTCGGGGTAGTACATGAGGGAGAACGCGTAGGGAGTGACGCTGTCCTTCTGACTCCGGGACTCCTTCATGTGCGGACACTGTTTCCCCGTCACCAGCTGCTTGATGTCGGCGAGGTCTAGCTTCCCGCTCAGCTGATCGATGTCTGGAGTCGTCCCCTCCCCGGCGTCTCCGTAGTGGAACGCCTTGAAGTTGGGCGCGAGGCGGCAGAACCAGAACTTGTCCTTGACTCTCCTCTTGTTGAACTTCTGGAAGAGCCCGCCCTTGACGAGGTGGGAGAGGCGGTGCGCCTTGATGAGTTGGACCACTCCCGGGGTGATGGTCTCCCTCAGCCCGCAGAACGGCTCCACGTCCCCGTCCAGGGGCAGCTTGGACACCCGGCTGTCCTGGATCTGGCGGATGATCTCGTGGTAGCTGTAGTCCTGGAGCTTGGCGCCGAAAATCGCGGGGCTGCGCGGGCGGTGGGACAGGGACATGCCGATCTGCTCCCGGCACACGTCCATCACCTTGTCGAAGTCCTCGTGAATGGCGCGCATTTCCCGCCAAGTCTGAAACACAGGATAATACGTCAAGACACGAAAGTCTGTCTTAGGGTTATCTATAGTCAAATGGATGAATTTGTTTAGTTTCCGTAGCCTGCAGTCCATCCCTGCGAGCTATTTACCGGGCGGCGGTAATCTACTAGAACCGCGGCAGATAGCTGGTAGGGATGGATTCCAGACTATAGTTTCGTTGCGTCTTTTTTGCTCGTTTGTGCGTTCGTCAAATGGTACGTTCCACTGATGGGCGTCGCCAACAAGATGAACGACACACATCTGCTTGGAGATTAGGTCTCCCTCGTATACACCTTAGCCTGGGTGCCATCCTATTTATATAACAGGCCTGGGGCTACCATATTCGCTCCCTAAAAATCCCTATTAGGAATCTTACACAGGCTATATATACGTCGTATGTGTACCTAAACTTTCTAACATAAACCAAGGTAGCCGATAATGATGATATATTTTCTATATATATTTTCAACATACATTTTACATGTACCATCGAGTATTTTGTTTTTGAGGTGATCTGAAGCAGTATACCTTGTTGAGCGACTGTATACAGACACAGAAGACCTCCTCGAAGGCGTTTGGGGTGGCGAAGAACATGGGATGGTAGTCCTGCCCCGTCTCGGAAGGGGGCTCTCCTACCTGGAGCATTTTGCAGAGCAGTAGGGTCAGGGCAATGGAACACCTGCGTACATGAAAAAAGATGGTTAAATCTAGATTATGATTTTTGCTCTCATCTTAATAGAAAACGGTTCAAAAGATTCATACGTTGAACTGCTAAACAATTTTCCACACAGTTTTCGTTTTGAAGAAGCAAATCACCTTGCGAAGGGACAGACGTATTGGTCATCCCTGCACGAGTTCTCAAACACTAGCTTGTTGTAACTTTCTGTGTGATTCTCCGCGAAGTACACCATGCAGTCCAGGGCCAGCAGGCCAGGGGG